TCCTGCCCGGGGACCGGGGCCGGGGCCGAGCCGTCCTGTCCTGTCCTATCCTGTCCTGTCCTGTCCTTCCCTTCCCACAGCACCCTGCTCCTGCCCGGGGCCGGGGCCGAGCCGTCCTATCCTGTCCTGTCCTGTCCTTCCCTTCCCACAGCACCCTGCTCCTGCCCGGGGGCCGCACTGCCCCCCCAGCCCCAGCCCGAGTCTCCTGGGGGTGCCAGCGGGCACTCCCTGCCCACTGTTTGGGCTGGTTGCCTTGAGAGCCCTGTATAAGAAAAGCAAAGGAGAATCTCCTGTGTGTAATCCGCCGTACTCGCGGCTGCCTGACCGCCGCTGTGCGTCCCTGGTTTCTGTGGGCCGCTCTGGGACTGTCGCAGTTTGTGCCCGGCTGCCATGGCAGCCGCGGTGTCGGGGGCAGCTGCGGAGCTGCTGTGGGGAGGAGTGAAAGCGTGAGCAGCGCTGCCTTGCGAGGGGTGCGGGTAAAGGAAGGAGTGTGTCTTGCCTCTGCTGGCAGGAGGTGCATCACTGGCAGTGTGCCCCAAGGCTCAGTACTGGGCCCAGAACTGTTCAGCTTGTTCATCCATGACATGGATGAAGGGGCAGATGCCTCCTCAGCAAATTCACAGAGAACACAAAGCTGGGAGGAATGGCCAACACTCTGAAGTGCTGTGCAGCCCTTCAGGGACCTCGGCAGGTTGGAGGGATGGGCAGAGAAGAACTGTCTGAAAGTCAACAAAGACAAATGAAGGGACCTGCACCTGGGGAGGAAGAGCCTCAGGCACCTGGGGCTGACCTGCTGGGGAGCAGCTCTGCAGAGAAGGACCTGGGGGTCCTGGGGACAACAAGCTGTCCATGAGCCAGCAGTGCGTCCTCGTGACCAAGAATGCCAATGGTATCCTGGGGGGCATTGGGAAGAGCATTGCCAGCAGGTCATGGAAGGTGATCCTGCCCCTGTACTCAGCCCTGGTGAGGACACACCTGCCGTGCTGAGTCCAGTTCTGGGCTCCTCAGGACAATAGAGACATGGAGATCTGGGAATGGGGGAGCAGAGGCTACAAAGATGATGAGGGGGCTGGAACATCATAAGAGGAAAAGCTGAGGGAGCTGAGCCTGTTCAGCCTCAAGAAGAGATAACTAAGAGGAGACATCATCAATGTCTGTAATTATCTGAAGGGAGGGTGCCAAGGCAATGGAGCCAGCCTCTTCCCAGTGGTGTCAAGCAGTAGGACAAGAGGTAATGGGCAGAAACTGATACTCAGGAAGTTCCAGCTGAACATGAGGAAGAACTTCTATATTGTGCAGGTGACTGTATACTGGAACAGATTGCACAGAGAGATTGTGGAGTCTCCCTCATTGGAAATACTCAAAAACCACCTGGATGCAATCCTGTACCATGTGCTTTAGGATGACCTTGCTTAAGCAGGAGGTCTGGACTGGATGACCCAATATGGTCTGTTCTGACCTTGGTAGTCAGGATCCATGATTCTCTTTTGTAGGTGTTTAGTCCTGTGATCCAAATGAAACACTAAATTATTTGGAAAATATTACCTTTAGTTAAAAACAAAGCCAAACCCACAAAATCCTGAGCACAGCTTAATTAATTCAAAATTAAGGAGGAGAGCAACGATGCTGAGTCAGACCAAGGTCTTATAGTTGCATCCTGTTTCTTAAAAGTGTTACTACTGCAGTTGTATGCTTATGGTTTGGAAGAAACTGCTGCTGTTAGCAGGAATCTTTCTTTAATGAAGTCAAGAATATATTTTGGCAGATGCTTGGGTAAGTTTAGAAGAACCTGGTAAGCCTGAGGATGTTCTTCTCACTTGCCTTTCCCCATATATGATTTGCAGCTTAGCAAATTAGCTTGTTGACCCAGAGGTGGTCTCTTAATATCCCTTGATTTGTCTTTTAGGAACTTAGCCGGTAGTTTGTGGTACTTAGTGCTTGTTCACTGAGATCAAAGCTGACAAGTTATTCTTAGGCTGGCTTGGCTGAGCAGGGATCATCTTCTGAAGCTAAGGGAAGAAATGAAAGCATATGCCCAGTGGAAGCAAAGTCAGATTACGTGGGAGAAATACAGAAATTCAGCTCTCCATGGTAGACAAGAAGTTAATGTGGCCAGAGCTCAGTTAGACGTGAAGCTGTGGGGGACATAAAAAGTAGTTTTTAAAAATATGTCGATAATAAAAGGCAGTCCAGAAATAACATGAGCCTGTTACATGATGAGGATGATCACCTCTCAAACAGGGACATAGACAAGGCAGAGGTGAGTTCTTTGCTTCGTTCTGCAACATTAATGCAGTTGTCGATCACTGTCAGCATGGGTTCATGAGAAGATCCTGCCTGAGAATCAGGAAGTTCCAGCTGAACATGAGGAAGAACTTCTATATTGTGCAGGTGACTGTATACTGGAACAGATTGCACAGAGAGATTGTGGAGTCTCCCTCATTGGAAATACTCAAAAACCACCTGGATGCAATCCTGTACCATGTGCTTTAGGATGACCTTGCTTAAGCAGGAGGTCTGGACTGGATGACCCAATATGGTCTGTTCTGACCTTGGTAGTCAGGATCCATGATTCTCTTTTGTAGGTGTTTAGTCCTGTGATCCAAATGAAACACTAAATTATTTGGAAAATATTACCTTTAGTTAAAAACAAAGCCAAACCCACAAAATCCTGAGCACAGCTTAATTAATTCAAAATTAAGGAGGAGAGCAACGATGCTGAGTCAGACCAAGGTCTTATAGTTGCATCCTGTTTCTTAAAAGTGTTACTACTGCAGTTGTATGCTTATGGTTTGGAAGAAACTGCTGCTGTTAGCAGGAATCTTTCTTTAATGAAGTCAAGAATATATTTTGGCAGATGCTTGGGTAAGTTTAGAAGAACCTGGTAAGCCTGAGGATGTTCTTCTCACTTGCCTTTCCCCATATATGATTTGCAGCTTAGCAAATTAGCTTGTTGACCCAGAGGTGGTCTCTTAATATCCCTTGATTTGTCTTTTAGGAACTTAGCCGGTAGTTTGTGGTACTTAGTGCTTGTTCACTGAGATCAAAGCTGACAAGTTATTCTTAGGCTGGCTTGGCTGAGCAGGGATCATCTTCTGAAGCTAAGGGAAGAAATGAAAGCATATGCCCAGTGGAAGCAAAGTCAGATTACGTGGGAGAAATACAGAAATTCAGCTCTCCATGGTAGACAAGAAGTTAATGTGGCCAGAGCTCAGTTAGACGTGAAGCTGTGGGGGACATAAAAAGTAGTTTTTAAAAATATGTCGATAATAAAAGGCAGTCCAGAAATAACATGAGCCTGTTACATGATGAGGATGATCACCTCTCAAACAGGGACATAGACAAGGCAGAGGTGAGTTCTTTGCTTCGTTCTGCAACATTAATGCAGTTGTCGATCACTGTCAGCATGGGTTCATGAGAAGATCCTGCCTGAGAAACTTAATTCCCACGTACTTGATCAAGAGAAACCAGTTGATGTGATCTTTTTGGATTTCAGTAAAGCTTTTAGTACTCTCACAGTATCCTTCTGGAGAAAATGACCAGCACACAGCTGGATAACACATTATGTAATGGGTGAGTAGCTGGCTCATGAGGTGGGCACAGAGGGTTACAGTGGATAGGGTGACATCAGACAGGGGACCTGTCCCTAGGGCGTTCAACAGGGCTCCATCTTAGGCCTGCTGCTTTTCAACATCTTCTTAATTGACTTGGATGCAGGTGTTGAAGTAAGTTTGTTGACAATACTAAATTAGGTAGGCTGTTGATTTCCTCAAAGGCAGAAAATCTACCTGGGACAGGGCAACCCTGGATGTGAGAACAAACTGGAAAATCAGAGGTCTACCTGGGACAGGGCAACCCTGGATGTAAGAACAAACTGGAAAATCAGAGGCTGGAAAACAGCCCCACTGAAGTGGTCTGGTGAATCCTGGTCAATGGCAAGTTGTCCGGCAGCCAGGAGGGCCAGCCGTGTCCTGGGGGCATCAGGCCCAGCATCACCAGCTGGGCAAGGGAGGGGATTGTCCTGCTCTGCTCTGCTCTGCACTGGGGCAGCCTCACCTCGAGTGCTGGGGCAGTTCTGGGAGCCACAGTGTAAGAGAGACATTCTGCTATTTGAGAGCATCCAAAGGAGGGCAGTGAAGATGGTGAAGGGCCTTGAGGGGAAGCTGTATGAGTGACTGAGGTCACTTTGCTTTGTCACTTGTGGTGAAGGAACCTTTTGAGTTTTGAAAGACCAGAGAATAGTTTCAGTGATAGAGAGCTAGATCCACTTGATTGCAGGGAAGGGATATGATCTTGGAGAACTGAAAACAGAATTCTGGACAGTGGTCTTAAGTTATTGAACAAACTTTTGAGTAAAAGCCTTTCTTTTTGACTTCCTTGGACTTGTCTGTGTTCACACTGAACTCCGTTTGCCATCCTATTTCTCAGAAAAATCAATAGATTAGTTCTTTTGAAGTGTACTGAGAAGGGAAGGTATGACAATATTTGGAACTTCTGGCTGCAGATACACATATAATTCCTGTAATTGCTAGATAGTTGGTTCTTTGTGGTCTTCACTAATGCACACACATCTTTGAATAGATCCACAGTTTTTAGAGTAGTCAGGATCCACAATTTAAGAAACTATGTAGGAAAGCATATGAAGTTGAAGTTGTCTTTTTAGGATTGCAGAAGTATTTTTTGGTATTGAAAGACTTTATCAGCTAGAAGAAGGCACTATGTTATTTTGGACTTTGGTTGATGTCATGTAGTGGGTGGGCACAGTACAGCTTATACATTCTTATGTTGCTCTGTAGGAATTTTGTACTGAAACAGCCTGATAAACTAAAAGGCAATACAGTATGAATAAAAATGAGAGACTGACACAGGAGTATATCTGTAACTGCAACAACTGACATTGCTGCTTTGGGGTCTTTCCGTGTTTTCTTATAAGTTAGTGAAAATATTTCCATTATTTTGAGTATCTATCAGACAGTTTCCAGCATTATGAGACTGTTCAATCAGTTTAGTGCAGCGAATGGGCATTGATCCAGTTGTTACAGCAGAATCTGTTTCTGGGGAAAATGTTGGTGAATATATGTTTACGTACTGAAACTGAAAAATGAAGTTCAGCTTCTACTGTTTTATAGACTTACTTTGTGCAGAATGTCATCTGATGAGGAGAAAAGCACAAGTCCAGTTTTCCCAAATGACTTTGTTCAGGACAGTTCTCTTTCTTCAGATCCTCAGGTAGGACAGAGGCAATATAATTTGATTTACTGTCATAGCATTTTATTTGGCGCAGGATAACTATGAGGAAATCTAATTAAATGCCTGTGTTTTTTGTATTTTACATATACAGGAAAATAATAAAAATATTAGTGAAAAGAAAGTAGGCTGCAAAAAATACTGATTCTAAAATATGTTCAGTTATATTCCACTTCTGTGCATTTCACAAGAAATTTATGTAAGAATTCTTATCTAAACTTTAGAGTTTGATCAGCTGCAAGTAAAATTTGTTGTTTTCTTACCTTTTTTTCCCTAGTGTTATTCTCTATTTGTGTTAAGTCTTATCAAGAAGCCAGAATTTGACACAGTAGGATAGAAACCCATGACTTGTGAGAGATGAAGAGTAACTATATTTTAGGCTTTCACCATGATTCAGTTTTGTAAAAACTGATTTTTTTAATGGATTTATTTCCTCTGGAGTAGTATTATGCCCAAGTTAATCACAGAATTGCCTTTTGTTTTGTTTTTGTTTTTTACTTTCTGCATCAAACATATTAGGACATTCTGTAACTATAATACTGGGGGTTGCCTTTTCTGTGCTCATCATACTTTCAAGAGGATGCAATGATACTGGATTAAGTCTTTGTACCATTCTTTTGAAAGCAGCAGATTTTCATAATTTAATAATTAGCTATTCCTGTTTGCATAGTAGATTGTGTGGCTTTTTGCTTTGGTAGGATACAGTCCAAACCAGGACAGTTTTGGCAATAACATGTTTGGCTAGCTGCCTGCTAGAAGTGCATCTCCACATTTGTCACGTGGTGAAATGGGCATATCAGCAGCAGCACTGTTTAAGGGGTTTTCTTCTTTCTTTTTTTTTACCATTTGGATTGACTTCTACCTTTTAAACAACATTTTATGGGGCAGTTAATTTCTGCAGTTCATGTACTTCTCTACTTGTGCTTGTATCTCATAGATAAGTTTTCATAATCTTTGTTTAGGAATAGTAATGCATTTGTGTTTCCAATGCTTTTTATAGTCAGAGAACAAGATAAAAGCGTCATGCTACAAATTTTGAAGGACCAGAATTTTCTGTAATGAGCTGGTTGATTATCAAGGAGCTGTAAGGCCACCTGCTAGAGAATGATAAAATTATACTAATGAACAACTGTTTTGTGAATGAGAACGTGTCTAGAGAAGAATAATTCCAGTTGGAGGTGATCTACATCAGTCGTTGGCCAAAGTGCCATTTTGTGGCTGAGCAAAAGTTAAAGCATGTTATTAGAGGGCATTGTTCAAATGCCTCTTAAACAGTGACAGGTTGGTGGCATCAAACGCTCTCCCTAGGGAGGGAAGCCCATTCCAGTGTTTGATTGCCTTCTCAGTAAAGAAATGCTCCCTAATGTCAAATCTGATCCTCCCCAACACAATTTTGAACCATTCCCACTTATTCCATCCCTGGGTCCCAGGGAGATGAGATGGCCATCTCTTCCATTTCCGCTGCTCAGCAAGCTGTGCAGAGCAATGAGGCCCCTCAGCCTCCCTTTCTTCAAACTAGACAAGCCCAAAGCTACCCCTGGCAGGAGTTTGCTGCTGTTGAAAAAGAACAATACTGAGGTCACAGGTGATCAACAGGAATGTTGACAGGGAAGTACCCTACTCCATTTAGATAATTTTGGAAGGTCTGTTCTGTTTTGTTTGTTTGGGCCTTTTTGATAATGTGTTGCTTTTAACTAGAGACCAGCTTATTACTTTTTCCTTACAAAGAGATCCACTGGCTCTTAGACAATTTCCATTACTTATAATTATTACTTATAATTTTTCCATACTTATAATTATTACTTTATCCATTCAATATATTCTTGCTATATTGTCTAGTTACCTTGACTACAATCCTCTGCAGTATCTGTATATTTTTATTTTAAAAATAGGAAAAAATTATCAAAAAAACTTCTGATTTTTTGGTGCCATTTGCTCATTGTATCACTACATTTTCTTCTACAAAATCAAGGCATTAAGTAGTCAAAACTCCACAGACTTCAGGTCATAGAATTATATTCCTCTAGTTTTATACATGAATAGAATTGTTTGCAGTTAATGAAAGAGCTTGAAAGTTCTGTTTAAAGCAGAACCATAATAATAAACCAAAGATATATTGTTAAATTTATTATGGTTTTATTTTAAATGTACCGGTCAATATTGCATTCCAGTTGCAGCATACTTGTTATGGAGTATTTAAGATTGAGGTAATACACTTAAGCACTCAGTGTTTCCGTACATATTCCCACTGCTGTCTCCAGGATTTTTTTTTTTCCCATGTGTCTAAGTTTCTGATTACAGCTGGGATACATTGCTTTCTTTAATATTTGCCTTTCAACTTCATTCCAACAGTGTTGTAATATTGTAATTTATAAACATTTATTTCCAGATTTGTCACTGGATGCTGTCTATTGACACTTTCTGTTGGCGCGCAAGCGTGCGTATTCCTGTACAGATTGGATTCTTTGAGTTTTCATAAAAGAATTAGAATTTGAAAGAAATTTCCTGATGTAACTTGATATGCGTATTTTGAATGCTAGGCATTATTATAGTAGGCCATATTGCATGACAATGAATAAGTTGGGTGACTCAACGTGAGACACCCGCTTGCATCTGACATCTAGCCTACTAGGTCCTTTGAATTGACTGACATAATCATGGAAGCAGCTGGATCAGCTCTGTCTGAGAACTAACTTGTTTGTTGGGAAGAATTAATTTAAAATTGCTATTTGGTTACATGATGTCTTAGAAGACAGAGGTGTGATCTAACATCTGCAGAATCACTAAATTTTTATTAGTTAAGGCTAATATTGGCTTTTTTTACTCAGCTGAGATTTTGCTGCAGGGAATTTGGTATGGTTCCATGTAGTTCATGATTGAGTAACAGATGTAATGGTATCTGTTTTCTTCTTTTGATATCTTACAAAATTTAAACTGTATACATTTAGAAAGACATGGCTGTGGAAAAATTGATAGCTTGTTGATTTGCAGCTAACTGTACCTTTTACATGGATTGTGACACACTTGCATGTCCAAAAGATACATCATGTATTTGTAATTGTGTAGCTTCCTATACATTTATTTAGGCTTTTACTTTGAATGTGATGAAGATGGGAAATGAACATTTAAATGGAAACTAGAATTCAGATTAAATGTACCAAACCTAGCTTCTTAAATTCTCTAATTAGTTGAAACACATAAAAATATACAAGTTACACTGGGTGTTTTGAAGTGTTATCCTTCTCAGTTGTTAGATTCAAAAACATATTGCATGTAATTGGTACCTTTCATTGATTGTTTTCACTCTAACTTCCCCCAAGTTTAAGAGGAAATTAATTTTTGAGGTCACACTTGGTTTCTGAGGTTTGATCTCATTAGGATACTGAATAGAACTAATGTGATTATACTAAGTGAAGAAAAAAATAACTGCTAGTGACCTGGTTTAGTATTTTCCAATGGACATTGTTTTCCAAATCTTTAATTAGTAGATTTGTTTTAGTAAGCAATTGTTTAATGAATCACTAGATTGTATGTTTAAGCTATAATACAGATTGTTTATGGTTTCACAATGAACTCTGAATACTTTGATCCTGAAAATCTGTTTCATCAGGAGGTTTAAAAAAATATTAATTGACTTAGTTTGGTGAGTAGCATAATGTCACATACCAGTTAGATAGGTTTATAGCTTCTTAATAGGAAAGCTGCTTTCTAAGTTATATATACACATTCCTTATACCTGTAATTTTAAGAATAAATAATATAAGGTGAGAATAATTATATCCACTCTAAACAAAATGGTGTATAATCAAATCTCTTTTGATGATTGGCTTTACAACTTCCACCAAAGAAATTGTTATGATACATAGTGAAGTGTGACTGTGTTCAGTAGCATCTTTGTCGTGGCTAAAAAAAATAGATGTTTTTCCTTGAAGCACTAGTAGTAGTGATTAGAAATAATAATGGCTGATTAATAACTTACATGATCAGGGACTGGAGTTTTTTTCCAGTTCTTGTTTTAGATGCCTATTTATAGTATCCAATGCTGGAATCTCAGAGTCTTTCTGTGCAGCTATTAGTGCATACAGTTGTAATCAGAAGGAATGTGAACATTAAACAAGAGAAAGTTAAATTATTATAGTCACTGTAGGAAAACAGCTCACTTTTGCAGCTTTAGGGGAAATCCCATTATTTAGACCATAATAATAAAAAAGAAACCTCTCAAAATTATAAAAAATAATATGCACTTCTTTTTACATATGCTTAATTTTTTAAAAATGTAATTGTAGTTTTATAATTCTTTGTCACCGCTTTGCAACAGGATGAATATGAAGAGCTGTTTTGTTATACTGCAATGACTCCGAAGTTTGAGCAGTGTGTCTCAAAGTTGCTAGAACCTGCCTCAGCACAGAGACCACCTGAAAGAGTTTCCAGGTTAACAGATTATGCCAGTCACCATAATACTCCAGGTAGTATGCCCAAGGCTATGTGTTGTACTTACAAGAACAATGATGGAACTTTGACTTAAATTTTTTAATAGCTTTAGTTTGAAAAATACATGTACCTCATTTGTAGTACATTTACATTTTGCACAAGAAACGTAGGAAGGCATAGTCTCTGAAGGGTTCTCTCTCTGGCATCACGTTCAGATGACAGTGTTGATGTGCTGGCAGTTCTTTGTGTTTTGTGGTGCAGATATTATTAAAGGTGGTTGGTGTAATAACAGAAAAAGGGATACCCTTACAGTATACTTCATTGAAATTTGATGGGTCACAGCTGGTTTTCCTCAAACTGGTATGGCTGTGATAGAGAAATACATACAGAAACAATGATTCAATGTAAAGGACGATTACCTTAAAAGGGCTTTGTGTAGTGATGATTAATCATGTCACTACATGAATGTCATTCTTACTTTCTTAGTTCAATCCTGTTATTCTAATTTTAATTTATTGCTTGGTATTTTATTTATCCATGTTACTAATGCATCACAAGACACTAAACTTAGTGTCTTGTGATGCATTAGTAACATGGATATTTTTGATTGTGTTGTTTGCTTCTGTCACTAGTGTTTAGCTTGAGAATCTTGCTTTGCTGTTAATTTGGTTCAGAAGAAATAGTAAACAAATACACCTGCATTATTTCTTTGCTAGAAAGTTAAGCATAATCAGGAAAAACTGACTTTAAACTAACTTATATTCTTTATCATGCTATTTAATTATAAAAATATTTAGCTATCTTTTTGTCTTCACTTTTATAACCTTTGTGGATGGCTTTATGTCTGCTGTTTAGAGGAACAAGTGACATATTTATACCTTCCAATTTGGAAGTTTGGTCTGTACTATTTTTTTAAGTTTTTAGATTCTAAAGCAATGGCTAGACAATCTGTGTGGAAGGATTAAGGCTGCAGGAGCTAGCAAGTGGTAGCTGATGACAGCTACATAATGACCTGTAGCCCTTCTGTCCATTGTATCTTGCCTCTGTCCTGCTCTCACCTTGACCTCATGGCACACTCCTAGGATACACCAGGCCTTAGCATGAGCTGTGAGTTAGCCAAAATCTGAGCAGGACATAAGTGAACAGTTCCAGCACAAGCAGAATGTCTGCAGTACACAGATCACAGTGCAGCTGTGACTCCTGTTGCCAGTCTCTGTATATGAACTTATCATGACACAAGCTGTCCCCAGTTGCTGTGACAGTTTGTGTGGGTTAAAGCCAGCTCAAGTCTTTTGATATGTTGAAAGTTCATTTTGCTGATTGCTTAGTTTTTATACTGTGCTGGCTCAAGCCATGCTTGTCTGGGTAGGACAGAAATGTGTTCAGCGTTCAGTTAACTAAGGCCACTTACACAACCAGTTGATCCTCTCAACTGGTGCAGCCTTTTGTGAGAAACAAAAGCCACCCAGAGCCCCTTCCTGTGTTGAGATAACTTCAGCTTCCTTTAAAACAGCTGTGATCACTCCCTGTATATTCTTCCCAGAGCTCCATGAGCAGAGTATTTACCTCCTGTGGATGTTCTTCCATTGCTGATCAGTCACATTGTAAGTCACCGATTGTCAGGATTCAGGTACACTTGCAAAACTCTTGATTTGTAGAGTAGTTAATGTCAGCTGCTGGAACTTTCTCAGCCTGAGTTGATGTCCTTAAAACAGTAGAAAATTTCAAACCCAGCTATGTGGAACTATATTATGGAGCATAATAATTCTAATTTGGGTATTGTTCTCAGTGCTCTGTGCTTAGAGTTTTGTCTCCCAGTTTGAGTGGAATATAGTTTTCTAAGGGATTTTTTTGTGATGTATAATTCTGCTGTTCATAAGAAAGACTATCAATATCAAAGCACTAGACATTGTGCTTTTTTTGGTACATGACTGTATACTCTATTTTCTATCATATTTGTCTGAAGAGAAAATTGTAGCCAGCCACCCAGTCTCCTGTCTCTCTGTAACTCTTTTGGGTTATGCTCTTACTTTTTAATTTTTTTTCGGGGCTGTATTGGGTTTGTAGTAGTGAGCATGCTACAGGGGTGCCTTCTGTGAAAAGCTTCCAGAAGCTTCTTCCATGTCCAATAGAGCCAGTCCCTGGAAGCTCCAAAGGATGGGAGTGCAGCTGGCTAAAACTGACGTAATTTGAAATGGTGGTAATGCCTCTGTGATAAGAGATTTGAGAAGAAAAAGTTTCACATAGTCAAATTAGAATAGTCATTTGCAAGTTCTTGTTAATTGTCATTAACAACAGGGAAGCTAAACATTTTTAGAACAGGGAAAAGAAATAATCTTATACTTGATGGTGATCAAAATTTTGCATTGTAGTTCTCATTAAAAGACTTGTATTGCTCGTTACAAGGAACCACTCAGGTATTTATTATCCTAGCAAAAGGCAGCACCCTGCAAAAGACAATTTGTCTGTTTCAAAATGGGAAAAAGGTGATTAAAGACAGTAAAAAAGGTGCTTATGAACTTCCCAGAGAACACAAGAGACAAGAAGAATATTTACACAGACTTATTCTGCTTCTGTCAATTAAAATGCTATCAACAAGTTTCCTTTGCTTTGCTACTTTATCAAAACATGTGTTTGCTGTTCAAAATATCACTATGTCTTCTCAGTCTGGGAGAGAGATGGGTCATACCTCCTAAAGATAGAGCTGGAAACAATCTAGTTGTAAAAAGGTTATTTCAACTTCTAGGAAAAGATCTGATCAAAATCTTGACCTCTTCTGTGTAATCACTACTATTGATTGACAGTGATTATATATTGAAGTAGTGTTGACCACAGTGTTAATGCCCTCAGAATATCTTCTTTTTTCATGATGGAAATAACATGACTTTGAATGAACAGTGAGAAAACTGTTAAGTTCAAGTTTAATACTATACCTCTAATGCTTAAATTCAAGCTTAATAGTCTGCCTCTAATGCTGATCAAGTGGGATTGTTTACCAGGTTTTTTCCTGAAGGATAATTAATTTTTTTGTTAAACTCCATTCTTTTGGCTCTGCTTGCTTGCTCACACTAAAAATCAGGCTTTTTGAAATTTGCTGTAATGCTGCTACTATGTTAAAATAACAAAATCATAAATTATTAGGTTAGTGTTCTGTAACTGTAAAACAAAATGAATGAATGTACTGAGCATGGAGTTAAAATCTGAAAGTTTGCTCTTTTGCAGAGCTTCTCAAGTTTACAATGTATTTTCCCCTTCTCCATATGATGGTATTGGGACAACAGAGTTTCCAATGCCATGTGATGCCTTCTGAAATGAATTTCTGGTTATGAAGTGTTCTTTGGTCTGGATGCTACCATTATGGTTGTAGAATTCTGATTACTGGTAATCTCTATTTGTTGCAGAAAATTTAAGTATACATTGTATCTTCCCTAACAGCTTTCAGTCAAATAAGAAAAGTAATTGGAATAAACATGCTGTACTATTAAATTCAGTTCGATGTCCAAATGTTTTTAAACTTTGAAGCATAAAACTTCATTTCCTGTTCTTGTTACCAGTTGAGTTGATTAAATTTGAAAATTACTAAGACTGGAGCAGTAAATTATTTGTTGCAGAGACGTGCAATGATGACTCATACCCAAAGAGTGGAAAAAAATCCTTCTCTTTGAGCCTGCCAGTCCTCAGTATATATTCATTAAACTTCTTAGAACATTTTAGCAAATTGCTGTGCTCAGCTTGGGCCACTAATAACATGTAATGTGGGAGAGCAATGTCAGAGCTTATTTTCTTAATAAAAGCAGAAAAAGTCAGAACTAGAACACAGAAAAGCTCAACAGTAGTAACAGACATCTGGATAAACAGCTAATTTCATTATCTCCATCTAGAGATTTGTTGCAGTAAATGCATGTGGAGGTTATTTAATAAAGTACATTTCTATACTTATCATATCCAAATGGTTCCAGTATCATTGATACCTCAACACACTGTAACTGAATGACATCATATAATTCTATGGAAGGAAGGAATAGAGGTGACAGAAGGAGACCATTAGAAATAAGAATTAAATTAATATGTGTACAACTAGAAAATTATGGCAATGCTGGAAGGCCAAGATGAATTTCGTAAGATGATGTTATAAACATGTAACAGATACACATGGTGGATTCAGTGAAGATGATATACATCGTATGGTAAATGAGAGAAATGAAAGCTGTGTTAGGATAATCTGTTCATAGGGAGAATTAAGGGGAAGGGAGTGATGAACTACTGTGATTCTCACAATATGGCAGTTGTCAGACTATTAATATCCTGCTTTGATTGGTTATGTTTTGTTCTGTTGGGCATTGTTTTTTGGTTTTTTTTGGAAAGTATCTTACAAACTGTGCTGTGTAAGATATCTTTGTAATCTAACCAAGTAGTAGAAGTTTAAAAATAAAAACAAAGCCTCATGTATTTCATGTCACAACTGAAGGAGTGACATGCAAGAATGAGGAAAAGTGGTGAAGGACAGAACAGTGAATATTTGACAATGGTAACAGTGCCAGATAATTTTATTGTCAGATGCCAGCCAGATTCTTCATCACAGAAATTAGATGTATTTTAAGTAATCTGGCTCATCTGTCTGGCATGTCACGTATTTTGGACATTTTTACAAGCAACAAGTATTAAAATTCTGCAACTACTTTAGCAATACTTCTGTCATTTTCAAGAGAATCAATGACAAAAAACTGAAGCCTGATTTTAATATACTCTGTGATGGGAATAGTCTCTTTATGCTTCTGTAATAGGGTAGAACATTTAGCTATAGAAATAACTCCTTTAGCTCTAGCTGGTGTTAATTTTATGATGCGTGGTTGTGTATTACCTTGAGAGAAATATCAAAAAGCAGTTGTAACTGCTTCTACATCATGGTTCCTCATTATTTCCCTTTTGTTTTAGAGCATGAGTATAGTAGTTTTGTGGCAGGGAGTATTAGCCAGACAGCTCTTCTCGTTTCCTTAGGAAAGAAAACCTAACAGTAAAAATAACTATAAAAGAATATCAACCATCAGGCTCTGCCTTAAATAAATTAGAAACGCACTTTTCTAGTGTCCACTGAAGATACTGCTTTGTGACAGATAAGCTTATCTCTTCTAGGTTGAATAAAAAAATAGTATCCATCAGACAATACTTGTTTTCAGAAGTGAAGACTAAAATGTTGGAAGTTTTCTCTGTTTATGAACTTTTTTGAAGTTGTTGTGTTTGTTGTTATTAGCAGGAATCTGCTGATACCTCTTTTATTCAGTTGTCAACTCATATAACAAATTTTCTGTAAGGAATAACTAAATATAAAACAATATTTTACTTCCCAAGTTTACTTAAATATTGACTTTATTCTCAGCTCAAATGCATGCAAACTAGCTTTGGGGCAGGGATTAACTTTTCTTGCAGTGGAACCTAGTCACAGCTCCTCCTCTAAAGGTGAGGATTTATTGTATAAGGCATTATATAAATTCATGGTAGATACATCCTTTCTCAAATTGCGTGAACGCTAATTAGATAAACAGATTTAAGGCTTTAAGAAAAATGGATGCAGGTACATATAAACATCAAAATATATCCACAGGCTTCTTTGTGAATTCGTAAAGGAACACCACAGACCTCAGGTATTTACAGGCTCATTGAGAAAAAAAACCCAGAAGTTAGTAGATTGTTGACTTGAGATGTAAATTGTCAAGAAGCCTGCCTTTAGAGATGTTCTTTCTGGCTCTATTTTTAGTGCTTGCTGTGATCATTCTCTTTCAAATTAAGATACTATATTATTAAGATATTAAGATACTGTATTTTAAGGGTGCACTACTTTTGAATTTACTAATGTTACAGTAGGATTGTCATTTTAAATATATGTGTCCAGGAGGTATGTATTAGAATTGGATTGTTTTTTCTTACATGGGGTTTTTCTTACATTCTTTCTGATGTGATAAATATTTTGTTTCCTTTTACCAATGCCTGTCTTCTGACTTCCACCCACAATGTTGACCAGTGAGCCTTTCCAGAGTGTCAGTTCTTATTCGCTTGTTTCATTTTCAGTCTCAACATCAGTGAAGCAGGCTGGTATGGAACAACCTGCTCTTCCAGAAGCAACTTCTTCCACACATAGTTCAAGAGAAGTCAGCAAAACCACAGTGACTGAATTAACTTCACCAGATGGAAATGTGACTCAGATAGAAAATATAGTTGATCTCTGGAGTGGAAATCTTAAGGTATTTATATTGTATGGAATCCTTAAAAGTCATTCAGAGCTATCAGTGCATGGTAGAGTTAGTGCAGGAGATTGCAGTGTGATTGCTGGGAGAATGGTATGTTTTGTTGTTGCATATTGCATATAAGCATATGTAGCACAGACTGTTGTTTTTCAGAAACTTTGGAATAACTGTTTCCATTAGGAATGTTCAGATATCATGATTATTTAATTAATTGTTAATTGTGTCTGGTAATACAGCTGTACACAGCTTGTATAATGAAGGTATCACTGCAAATATTTGTGTCTCCATAATTGCTAAGTGTTTCAAGATTAAAATAATAGAAAGGAGGGAATAGTTTAAACTCATTGCATTACTGTCATCCTCTTACCTTTTCAGACAAATATTCTGACTGAACTGAAAAATTGGGAACTTAATTTGATTCAACATCACAAGCTTCAAATGAAACAAGAGAAAGAGAAACATGCCACACAAGTGAAACAACTGCAGAATGAGATTGAAAACCTGAAAGAGTTACTTCATACTTATGAAATCTCTATTAGCAGGAAAGATGAGGTAGTAACTCCATTTCATATCTTAACAGATCCTCTTTGTTTAAAAATATCTACACTAAATTTTTTGGTCCATTTCTTTGAACAACTTTTTTTTTTAAGCAAGTAACATAGAGACATAAATAATGCATTCAGATGGTATAATAGAAACATAATAATGGTTGCTAATAGAGTTGTCTATATTAACAATGAAAACACATCATATGTGCATACTTTGCATTCTTTGCTCCTTAAATCTAGAATCTACTCTTTTTTCTCATTTATTTCATGAAGATCACACAGGCATAGGTGAGTCTATTAGCTCTTATGCTTCAAAAGCCTCTAAATTTTCAAATATTAGATTGGTTTACCTCAATTTTAAATGGGCAGCAGTCTCATAAAGTTGAGGAGCCTCTATTTTAAGATTCTTAGGAATTCTACATTTGTACCTATTCATAAGATTGGACATTTGGAGTCTCTGGTTTATACTTTCCTGCTGGCAGCAGTGCAAACAACTTGAAAATTAACCAGAACTGTGAAAGCAGATATAAAATCTTGGCAGTTTTACAATCACACAACATAATTGAGTCTTCTTACTGCCACCCTGAACATATAACCTAGTATTTGAGAACACTTAATGGAGTTTGGGTTTCTAAATCCTACTTATATTTTTAAAAAAACATACATTACAGGAGTTAAAATGTGAATGTATATGGTGTTCTCTGTTCGTTTGGAAACAGACTAATCTTACCAAGAAAATATAAATGTTGTAACATTACAATAACTGGATTAGTCTTGTACCATGTAATTAGTACCTTGTGCATGGTTATTTCAGCCTATACCTTTCAAACATCTAATTCTGTTGAATATCATTGTATGTCAGTCATATTTAATGTGCCATAATTCTCAACGATACTTTAAAAGCCCTATTTTGTTTTCTGCTGCCAAAGAAATTATTTCTTCAGCCAATTTTATAGTTCTGCTTCTAAGAAAAAAAAAAAAAAACACAAACATTTGAATAGAAAATTCAAATGTTGCCACCTGAATGGAAGGTGGCAGTGCTTCCATGCTTCTGCATATCATTCCATAATTATGAAATCTGCTGTATCCTGATATGGACATAAACCAAGGTCCATCAGCCTCACAAACAGTACAACTATTAGATTCTTATCTCACATTGTAAATCTTAAATGCTTTTTATTTGCAAAAATATGCTAATTAACAAAAACAGACTTAGGCTAAGACTTCTAGTGTGTAGCAGTATGTATGCAGCTTTGAAATTTGATTTTTATGACACTTTTTCAACAAAAGTAGTTAATATATTAATTTAATTAGTTTTAATTTTTATTTTAGGTATCATTAATTAAATTGATGCATGTTCAATAATTATTACTTGTAATAAATGCAATATAATGTTAACATATGCTAGCATGTATTGTCATAAAATATTGTTCTCAACAATATTTATGCAGAGTTAAAATATTTGCATTATTGCCCAAAGTCCCAGGATAGGTCCCTGTCGACCACTGGAGTTGCTCATATATGGCTGATGGCAGGATCTAGCTTAAGAAGTTAGGCAGAAGTAGGGAGTAATATTCAGATTTGGTCTACCAAATTTGCATCATACCTGTCTTAATTTTTAGTTGGGGAACCTCAGCTGTTTATGCGTACTCATAAAATTTAGAGATTGCTGGTAAAAGTCCCCAGTTGCAGTCTCTGTCCAGTACGACATCCTGCTCTCAAATGTTTTAATTGCTATAAGCTTATATAGTATCTTTCATGAGAACTTCTAAAGAGAGTAACAATTTCTAATAAGGTTTTTCTGGTTTATAACAATGACTTAGCTTGTTTATTCTTTTCAGACAAGTGAAACAAACTTCTGTATAAATGGTTTTGATTTATTAAAATTCTCTTTGAAGTAATAGGTTCTTCTGATGTTATGCGACGGTAACATTTAATTATGAGAAGGTAGCTCAGAAACCACCAAATGTAGGAGGAAATAACAATTCAGTTGAACTTTTCCTAAAACTACACAATGGAAGTGCCACAATCTGAGTGTCAAAGCCACAGGAATTTTACTTCTCATTTGAACTCTGATTATTGTTTCTTACTTGATTACAGTAAGGGGAAGTTTCAATAGAAAGCATCTGTTAAAAGCAAATGCTTTAAGTGAAAAATAACTGAGACATAAAGACATTCTCTTTGATCTTACAGTGATCATAGATATTGAAATAGTGTTAATGAATATTTTTGCAGGTAATTACAAACTTGACCCAAGCATTAGAAAAGCAAAAGCAGAGAGTAATGTTGATGAGAAAGTTTACACTGTGGCGGATTCAGCATGTTAAAGCCAAACAAGAGGTATGTGCACAAAGTCAAAATGCAGTGAAAATTAAACCTGTGAACTCAAAAGAGTCAGAGCTGCTGCAGTTCCTGTTACAGTTTGAAGAAATCATGGTGTTTCTGTTTTGATGTGTTTGACAATGTCAAATAACAGTTTGAAAATATCAGTTCTAAAAGGAATGTTGCTGTCAGAACACTCTCTGGAATGGGAAAAAAACTGTTGTCTGCTGACTATTTTGAAATATAGAGTTGCTTTAAAGTAGTTTTTAAACAGTCCTGAAGTCTAAATTTATTCAAAAGGTAAGTGTTTTACAGTAACTATCTGCAATCTGTGATTGCAGGTTTTAAATGATTCCTGCAGTGAATCCAAATGTGCCACATACCCAACAAACGGCTTCATACTTCTCTTTACACTGTGTATGTGAGGTTGTTGTTTGAGTGTCATTAAACAAAGAGTACGACCACTGTTGTGTGTAACCTAGGAGTTCACAAGTATGTTTTCTCATGGTGAGGACAGTAATGTGCCATGGGCACGTGTGCAGAGGCAACACTGAGCTGCTGACGCTGCTTGTGTAACACTTCACTGCAGGAACTTAACTTCAGGGGTTCCTAGAGTGGTCTGTGTAATAAGCTGTAAAACAATCATCCACAGTAGAGTGCTGAACTTTTTAACAACAGTGAACTTTTGTATGATGTGGTTGTATTTACTTCCTAAGGAATATGCAATTAGAATGGCAGATACACATTTCCAGACAGCTTTGATGAAGAAAGTGTGGGCCGCATGGCGCTCTGTTAGTGAAGAAAGATGGAAAGACAAAGTAGCAAGAGCCTGTCAGTTAAGGGCAGAAGATGTGTGTGTTCAGCTCACCAATGATTATGAAGAGAAAATTGCAGAGGTAAAATTAATTTTTCTTTCCTTCTTTTGCTCCTTGACTCCAAACCCCTGTTCCTCCAAAGCATGTCTTTCTCTACAAACCTAACAAACATGAGTATTTTCAAGTAGAACAGAGCTCCCAAGTATGCAAGAAGATCTGAATGGATCTAAGATCTGTTATGTTTTTAGACATGCCTTTTTCTCCCTGCATCTGATATAAAATGTTGCCAATCTGCAGGCACAGGTGAAATAAATTGTATTTTCCTGAAATAAGGCAAATCTTTGTTTGCCTACTAATGGGAATGCCATTGGTTTTCTAACAGCATTGTTAGTATGGGCTATGCATTTTGAGGCCTTAATGAAGGAGACAATGGAAATAGAAGACAATTATTTCTTTGAATGATCATGATGAGTACAATATTTTTTTTCTTTAATAGCTATTCTGTTAAAGGCTGAAATTAAGTTTGATTTTTCTTTAGCTCACTAAATAAGTTTGTTAAAGAATTTTCAGAGCTTAAGGTGAACTTGTCAACCAATTGTCAACAACGCAATTGTGCGTTGGTACGTACTAAGTAATCAGTTTTAAAATATTACTTTCAAGAGCTTTGTATTTCAGCATTAAACCGAGAATTTTAAGAACAGGATTACCAAATGTGTCTTAACAGCACAGCACAAAAACCATAAGCAGCAACTTGCTCTGATATTTTCTCAGCATTTTTATTTTTTTACAGTATCTAGAGAAGTGAGACTGGTGATGAAAATTTACCCTTATACTTAAATAATTTTCAGAGAAGACTTGCTCTTCTGTTGAATGAACTCATGTTTCTGCAGAGATCTGGGCTGTGCCAGATGCCAGCTTCTAAAAGACAAAAGCTTGCAAGATATATTTCTGCTTAGGCAGAGTCTGACAGTCCTTTTGAATAGTCTTGTCCTTGATATGCTCTATTATTAATATTGTGCTGTGCTACAACAAAACTAAAATGAGCTGTTCATCTCTAGTGAAGCAGAGATTTTCAAGTGAAAACCTCTATCTTTGTAAATACAGTAAATTATTTTTAAGGTTAATTGATTAGTATGTTTGTAGTTTGCATTCGGAAGTAAGAGAGACCTGTTTCCTCATTCTGTTCCATAGTTAACTGCTGCTTTGGAACTGACAAGAGCTGAGATTCTGCGACTGCATACTGAAAGAGATCATTATGAAGACACCATGAAGAAAGCCTTTATGCGTGGTGTATGTGCTTTGAATCTGGAAGCCATGACCATGTTCCAAAGCAAGGAAAATAGCCCAGATCCTGGTTAGTATGAGCAGCTGGTTTAATCTGGTAATGTGTGTGCATTTTTGTTGGATTTGTTTGGGAACTTTTGGGTTTTTTTCAATGGAGTTCCTTTTCTCTCTTTTTTTTTAATTTGCAAATTTTTGGCAATACAGAGTTTATAAAACTTTTATTGCTTTAATACCCTGTTGAATATGTTGAGAAGTACTCTGATGCTGGACTTCACACTGCTGTACCTGAAGGAGGAACATGTTCTCTTTATTGTTCCCACATTGCTGGGAGAATGGTAGCCTGCAGCTGAAGGGAGAAAAGGAAGTCAAAGGTGGCAAACTTCCTAAAACATCAGGTTATGGAGCAGTGAAGACCAAATCTTGAAAATTCCTTTATACTCTGGAATCTCAGTGTGCCATGAATCAGCTATTCCCAGACAGCTCTCCCTTCTTTCTTAATCCTGCTTTTGAATGTAAAAAGGGCAAGCAAATCTCTCAGGTTCTGTATTTAGTTGTAACTCCATGCCAGAACAGGAAACACCTGTCTATTTTTATCAGCAGCATACCTGTAAAACCTGTGCAGCTACACAGGGAAGCGCTGCACATGCTTACAGACATAATGAAATCACTCTCTCAGACTGAGACAATCCATAGCAGTGGGAATAATAATCATGCTGGTGCAGCAGCCTAGGTTAAAGAGAAAATAGCTGTGCCAGCAGGAGTGCCACAGCTATACATGTGGCTCACCAATTATCTGTACTGGCAGCAGTGGTTAATAGCCTTAGACAAGTAACTTCAGTTGCTAAATTTAACAGTCTTACGCAGAAGTTTCTGAACTACTTTAGAGAAATTCTTCATCAAGAAAGGTAGATAAAAAGAGGAAATAAAAACCTGAAGAAGATGTAAGCAGATACTTACCTAGGCAGCTGTCTAAGCCTTTTAAACATAAGTGGTATTTCTGCAGTTGCTTAAGAAATTAGTATGACATTAGCAAAGTGTAGTAGCTGTGTGCTAGTAAAAATTTACGTCTAAGCCTTTTAAACATAAGTGGTATTTCTGCAGTTGCTTAAGAAATTAATATGACATTAGCAAAGTGTAGCTCTGTGCTAGTAAAAATTTAGGATCAGTATTTATAGAAGGTTAAGAATGAATGATTTCTTGAAGATTCTGGGTTTGGGAATAAAATTACAGGGCATTTTCCCAGTACTTTATTTTTCACTGTGGTACTAATTAAGAATTATTGTATCTGGAAGCATTATCTTTTATTTGTTTGTCCGTTGTTTTCAAAAAACATGCAGCAGACACCAGGTCTCCCTAATAATGAAGGTTAATTGACTGGTGTGAAAGTATTTTTTCTGTAGACCTATAAAAATGAGAGTAAGTAGTAAGGAAATAAAGAAAACTGAGCTCTATAGGAGTTGTGACCAACCCTTTATTTTCATGGACCAAAGACATTGCTTGATTTCTACTAAGCTGGAACTGATACTCTACACCAGCACAACACCTAAAGATTTTGTTGTGCTGGATGTTAGGGTTTCCGTAACTCATTTCTTTGTGTGTCCACTATTGTGCTTTTTAATCAGGCTTTGTAACATTTCACAGACTCTGTTGTCCTCAGTCCTGAGCAGGTCACCAGCTTACACCTCCTGGTACCACCTCCTCCCCTGCCCCAGGCATACTATCTTTTGCTTACAGCCAGATGGTGGTTTTAATGAAGTTAGTTACATAATTGTTTAATATGGTTGAGCAACTGTTGATCTGCATTCTTAATCAGTTAGAACAGTGATCAGGACATGGAGGACTGCAAATATCAGGGAAGATGACTGTGATTTGTTTCTAGTCTTTTGATCTGAGGACATCAAAACTTCCATGTGCCAGAATCAGTCAGCAATTATAAATTTATATGAACACTGCAGTGCCACCTACTGTCATTGGACATAAAATGCAGAATTTCACCCCTTTACAAATTTATTATTAGGTTATTTTAATGTACATTTAATATACACAAAATCTAAAGGTAAAATACATCATTATAGTATTTATTAATAGTGTGCATGTATCACAAACTCGATGGCTTCATAATATTTAGTGTCAGTGTTGATCGTGTTAAAGTTACCTGCCTAATTTGCTGACTTTTTTTAGTTAGTAGTATATTAAGATTATTTTAACCTCTTCATGTATTTAAAGGAACACTGATGCCACAGGAATTCATAACTTCTTGCTTATAGAAGTCCTAATACTGTTTTTCTTCAGTAAAATAGATCAGATCTTACTGATCTGTAACTGTGAATTGGTCCTGTCTGTGCTTAAGATTAACGTGTGTGTACACACATAGAGATGTACAAAATGCACATTCTGGTATCCTTTTACTCTTGACATCTACAACTATTGCACAGATTGCAAGAACCTTCCTTTTATTTTTCCGATTTATTTCAGCTAATTAAAAAAACCAAACACAACTACCACATGGTGTCACTCTAGTTCCTGGAATGAGCACATGACCTTTGTGTTTTACTATCTAAACTGGATTTTGTCTTTTAGGACAAGAGCATCTCTTGCATGCTGATTTTAGTTTTGCAAGCAGTAGGAAGAACCTCAATTCTTTGCACTACAATTAGGTGACATGTGCCACAGGGATGTTGAGACATAGAGAAACAAGTTCCTTGAAAAACATTTATAAGCATCTCAAAAGAGGTTAAAATATAAGAATGTTTGTTTATATCTGTCTACCTACCTATCTCTATAAAGAACAGCCTGCTCTTTTTTAGATTATACATAAATTATTTAGATTATATATAAATCCCAAAGAAATATTAATTTTTTTTGTTGTAACTTATCTTCCCCCATATCCCCACCCCTTAGGTTTAGCTAGATTATGTGCTTATCCCTTACTTTGTGTTTCTAATAATAGATACAGGAAGCAGGAGAAATGATCACGCTGCCACTGGTGCAGGAAGGCCACCTCCTTCACAATATAATCAACCCCCACCACCACCTCCACCAGCAGCTGCTCTTCAGACAGAAAACATGGTAAGCATGTAGCTGGAAAACTGGAACTGAATTGTATTTCCTAGTGACAAAAGAGAAATTCCTTGAATGGGGCTTTTTTGAAGAGAGTCCAGATCTAAAAGGAAACCTGCAGGTGTGTTCAGACTGCATTGTGAATGAGGCACAGCTGCTGTGGCTTACTGTACTTTCATTAAGCTCTTTTTTTTATTTTAGTGAAAATGCATTAAACCAATGAAGACAAGGTCACTACAATAAGTATAATTTGCTCTCTAAGTTTCTCTCTGGAAAAAAGCTGTTAAGAGTGGTTTTTTTAAAAACCTGAATTTAGTCTCGAAAGATGAAAAGCTGGCTTGACTTCAGACTTCTTTTTTAGCGGGCGTAACGCATACAGACATTGAGGGAACTCAGCTTATTGTCCTTCATACCAACTTAGCAAGATCATCTAGGAGCATGGTTGTTTTGCATCTGCCCTGGAGTCATCCTGAAAACTTTGCCACTGTAAAACAGTATCATGCTAGAGAGTAGGTTTAGAGCAGAGATGATGTACATGCCTCTCTACTGACTTTTCATTCTAATACCGATAAATGTTACTCACACCATTTCTACAATTTTTAGACAACTAATTTTATATTAGACAATAAACAGTAACACTAGAGATATTTTATCTGCAAAGACATTACAATTAAAAGGGTAATTGGGATAGTAAAAAAACTGGCTATCTAAGGAGTAAAACTGTATTTTCTAGAAAGTCGTACTCATTCTGTATAAACTCTGGTTTCATTTCAGTTTTGTTGCCACTTGGCTCATGCAAGCACTCCTGAGACCAGGCTAGATTCTGATTCTCCAGTTATTGTCACTAGCACGACATCAGGATCTGGTGTGACATCAACACAAAAACTGGTAACGTGCTAAAGTTAACTTTTTTCCTTCTTTTAGACCATAATCATAACAAATATTAGTTTGGGTATTGTTATTTGTGCATTTCTCAGAGCAGCACAGGTATATAGTTGAGGACACTGCCATAGAGTTTACATAGCAATATGAAGATGTGGTGTTACATTTTAATATTTAGTTAAATGGTATTCTCTATCTGACCCCTCAAAAATGTAGAGTTTATTCCAAGCCTGTGATCTTCCCCTGAAGTATCATGTGTCTGTAATCCCATTGGCCCAAATCTTATTCCACTCCCACCTTGGATCTCCCTGTTAAGCTGTGCGAGGGAGAAGAGACCCTCTCTTGGCCCTTTTCTCCCTAGACTGTCCCTCTCTCCCCCTTTCCCCCTTCCCCCTCAGTAACCATGCTGCTCCCGGGGGTGGGACCCCAATGAAGCCCCATCTAATCAGCACCCTCAGAAGCCGTGAGGAGTCTCCTTGCCTGCCTGCTGCTGCCAGCGAACCCACAGCTTAGGGGACACCCCTGGGGACTCCCAGACAAACTGCAACATGAAGACACTGGCTTGAAGTGTCATTTATGTTACATGAACTCATTTACGCTAGGAGCAGTTTTAAATCCTTTTTGTAGGTAGGGCAGTGTGGCAAAGTGAAGAATAGAAGAGTGCACTCGGGTATAATGCAACAGGAACAATCGGTGTTTGACTTGATAACCTTTTGTTATGGAAAGTGCTTTGTCTCATTATCCTGCTCTTTGAAATTTCTTCCTCATTCCCTTTTCTGTGCTTTGTGCTAAACTGCCCTCCTTTCATTTCCAGATTTGACACAGTTTGCTATCAGCTGTCAGAGAAAGATGCATTTTAGTATGCATGGGAGGGTTTTTATCTGCTCTATCATTGCTAGAAAGGATTTCCACAATGATGGAAGTACCCTCAGCTGTCACTCAAGCATGCAGTCAGAAAGCAAAGCTAAACTATCCATGTTTCTTAATTTTTGTCAAATTAGTCTTACTTCCCTCAGACATTTACTTGAAATGCTATCACATAAGTAGAAAAAATGGAGTAATCCTGGTTGCAGCCAGGTGGAGCAAATTCAGTCCTGTGTAGTGTAACTGGACTACCTACAACATCACATGTTCCATTTAGGCATGTGGCAGATAAAACTGAGCAGAAACACCTAGCATGGTAAATATTATGTTTAGAATTTTTTACTGATTAATATTTAATTTATTTCTAGCCCATGCCAAAAGTAATAACATCTGCACAACAGAAAGCAGGAAGAACAATCACTGCTCGAATCACAGGTCGAGCTGATATGGGACAAAAATCCAGAGCGTCTGGGGGTTTAGCAGTGATGGGAGTTGCTCCACCCATGAGTTCAGTTATTGTTGAGAAGCACCATCCAGTCACTCAGGTAAATCAGATTGTGTATTTATGTTCTTAAAGTATTTTTATTACAGCACATCTGGTAGTGGTTTGAAGAAAAACTACCTTGTCAAGAGCTATTAGACAAAGCTCAGACTTGAGGCCTGTTGAAAACAGCAAACAGTATTTACTGTCTTTGTGTAGAAGGCACGGCTGAGGAAGAGTCATGGTTTAACCCCAGGCACCAGCCAAGCCCCACACAGCCACTTATTCATTCCCCCACCAGAGAGTTTGGGAAGAGAATCAGAAGGGTGAAAGCTGGAGAAATCTTGGGTTGAGAAAAAGACAGTTTAATAGGGAAAGCAAAGGGTGTGCACACAAGCAAAGCAAAACAAGGAATTAATTCAGTGCTTCCCATGCACAGGCCATCTCCAGGAGAGCAGGGCCCCGTTCATGCAAATTGCTTACTTGGGAAGACAAATGACATCACTACAAATGTCCCCCCCTTTCCTGCTTCTTGTCCCCACTCTATGCACTGAGCTTGGTGCCACATGGTCTGGAATATCCCTCTGGTCAGTTTGGGTCACCTGTCCTGGTTGTCTGTTCCCAATTTCCCAAGCACCCTCAATCTCCTCACCATCATGGCAGTACCAAAAGCAGAAAAGGCCCCCATTTCCTGCTATGACTCACAGCTGTGTGGCTTGCTGCTTTCAAGAATTTGGGTTCCTACGCAGAAATTAATATTTAAATTTTATGTTCTTAGGAGTTTAGAGATTCAGTGTGGTAATTATTTCATGAAGAACAGTTTCTGGCTTCAGATTTTGTGACTAGTGTGACAAGGAAAGCACCTGAACTACTGTAACAAAAACTGACTTCTGAAAATGTAATAACTGTGACAGCCCTGGAGATACATTCTGTATACCCATTCTGCAAATAAAAATCTTAAGTCAAGTAGTTGTCTTGAGTTAATTTGAGAGGGAAGAGAATTTAACTTGGTTAAAAGCAGAATGAATACTGTTTATTACACTAAGGTGGCTAGTTTTATGGGCAGAAAATTAATTCTTGATAAAATTGCAAACCTTTTATTCTCAAAGATCTTTCACGGACTGCCTCATAGCAAATACTTCAAAAGGAAAGTTGGCATGATTAACTTAGCTCTACAGGGGAAAATTGTGAACAGTATAGTAAAAAACTAAAACAAACCAACCTTGAAATACAACTGGGATGATAAAAGCCCAAAATACTTAGGTAACTGGAAGTTTAGCACTTTGTATTCTAAAAAGACTATTACAGATAAGAAAGGAAAAAAACTTACTCTTTCTGTTGAATGACCATTTTTTTCTTCTTGATAAGTGTATTTCTGTTTGCTAGGTTGCAGGTCTTTCTTTTTAAACAACAGCTCACCTAGAGCTATTTTAATGTGGCTTTTTTGTGTCATTAAGTGTTTTGATGTATCTGATTACTTTTCAGCAAACCATATCACAAGCCACTGCTGCTAAGTATCCTCGAACTGTGCTTCATTCTTCTGGCTCTACCACTGCGAGACCTGCAGGACAAGCTGGGCGAGTGCTTCAAACTCATACCAGTGTTCAGTCAATAAAAGTTGTTGACTGACTGATATCTTGCTCACCAGTAGGGGTTTTTAATCAAGGTACCACTACCCAGTCTTTTCAGATTTGATGCAGTAAGGCCTAAAGTACATATCATGTTTTTACCCTTTTCTAAAAAAAGAAGGTTTTTTAAGTAAAAGTGCTTTTATAATAAAACCTGGAGGGGAAAAAATAACTTGAACTGTTTTTCTACCTCCAAACTTTTATTATTAGGACAAATACTTTTTATTTAAGAAATCTTTAGCACACTTTTTAAATAAAGGATACAATGTGATTTTTGTCTGAATCTCTTGTTTAATCCCAGTGATACTAACATCTGTGTTCAAGAGAAAATGAATTTTTTTTTTTCTTACAAACACTTTTAGTTGTTTATGCATGTAAGTATAGCTGGCTTGAACCTTAATTATATCCTGCAACACTGTATTTAAATGGAGAACAGCAGGGTAGCATCCTCCTCACCCACGGTCCAGTTTAGGCTAGGTGAGGTGCTAGGTGAGTCCATCAAATTCTTAAACATTTTCATTTTGCAAGCTAATGTGGTAGAATTTGATGAATACTGTAGGGTTCCAAGCATTTATATTTTAGATCCCTAATTCCAAAACTTTTATGATTTACTGGTCTGTTCTTCATATTCCTGGGATGCTCTGCAGCAGAGTCAAAGAAGCTTGCAAACAGGTGGGCAGTTTGGAGTAAGACTTCAGACGAAGGTGCAGATGACTTTTCTAGTATAAACAGTAGGATTCAGCTCTAAATAATGCTAACTATATGCAAATAGAAAAGGCAATTCAATTCCTACATTACACGATAAAACTATTGCTATGTTATAAAGATCACTAAGACGTTTACATAATTTTTCAGGTATTAAATACGTTCAGTAATAAGAAAGCCTTTAAACAGTCAGCAGGACACTACCAAAAATTAATTCAAAATATAAACAATAAATAAGTATATAATTGCTAGATGTGTGAAGTATTAAATATCAAATGCTCTTATGAGGGTATGTATACAGTGTTAGACCATGATGGAAAATTCTGCAGCCAGCCACACGTGGTGTTTACACAAGACATTTTTGTGTTTCTTCACTACTTAAATCAAATGTTGCAGCAGAAAGATTTGTCATAATCCTAGCAAGAATTCATAAAAACCTGAATCCCAAATGAGGCCAGATGCCAGCTTATTTGCCAAGTGTTAGTTGATTTATACGCATAACTTTCATTTACTAAATTTAATTTTTTTCATGTAGGAAACATCTTATTTACATTTCACATCAAACACAAAGTAGTTTAATTTGCAGTTCCAATACAGAATAGCTTTATCAGTGTTTGGTCAGATGTAGAAATTGTAAGTGGTGAATCTTACTTAGCAGTTATAAGCTACCAGTCAGCCATTAATTCTTAATTTTTTTACATTTCTGTTTAGCAAGCATTTGAGAAAAAAGTAACCATTTCAGGAGTGCAAGTTCTTCTAGGGTAGAAAAAGTTGTACAGCTTCAAAAAATGGTTTTTGTTTCCCAAAAAGATATTTGAAAGCCACTTTCCTTCTGGCTTGTAATTCCATCATATGTGCCATGTTATGTTGATGAACTCATGAAATGACACATTTCCTGGAGTCCATGCCAATGCAAACTGAAGCTCTGATCTTCTCTGTAAAGAGAAGATAAAACACTTGATTGGTGTGCTCTGCTTTGCACAAGGTCAGACTGACTGAAGGATGGCCAGTCACAATTTAACTGTGTGTACAGGAGATGAGGGAAGCAAAGTTTGCACATCTTCCTTTAGAAACCTTAAGTCTGACATAAATGCTTTTTCTCAAGCAGCCTCACCCCGCAGTGAGGGCAGTCCCAGTAAAGAAGAAAGTGTCCTCTACCCTTGCCCTAGCCACAGCTTCCCAGCAGCAGCAGGGACCTCAGCATGGCACTGCAGTCTCATAGAGGACACTGTAATGTGCTCTGTATCAACTTACCAGCTAAAGGCTGAAGTCCTGCTCCCACCAGATCTTCATATAGATGTTTAACAGGATTCTGATGAGCCAGCAGTGTACCATGTAACCAGATGAGCAACATTCTGTTCCCGTGTTCCTTGTAACTTTTTTTCCCTATGCAATACACAGAGTATTTGTTCAATATGGTGGAAACAGTGTATTTTGTGCTTTTGCACTTTAAAAGTTCCAAGATTTTTTAAACTTAATCCTTACTCTTAACTACATTTCTCATCTAGCAGAAAAATGAAGACTGAAGCTTACAAAAGTTTTAAAAAAATCTCATTTTATCCTAACACTATTATTAAGACATAAAAAACACCTAATACATATTAAAATTAAATTTTCCTTTCATTTTTCCACAAGCTGTGGAAATACACCCTGGAGTAGCAGTAACAAGTACAATATGTGCTGCAGAAGTACTGTCTTCCCAGCACTTGAGAGGTCTGAAACCAGGAACTCCTGTTTCATGGCAGCTGTGCAGACAGAGCACGAGCAAAATTTCTCTGTGTCATGAGGTTCCCCAGGTCCTCACTTGCAGCATGACCCCCAAGAATCTTCTATGATGCTCACGGCTTCTAGTTTTGATCTCCAAAGAGGAAGGTTCCTTCAGGCCAAGAGGGAGAGCAGAATGTCCTGTACTGCTACAGCACTGCTTCCCAGGAACCAGGGACAAGGCTGGTGCCCCTTCACTATGGGATACTCAGTTTAAAAAGCAACACTTCCTTGTGGGGGCTTTTTATCCTACATATTGTGTCTGGCCATTCAGATATTGTTACCTGTCCACTGTTCTTCAATAGCTTTAATTTGTTCATCTGTGAACTTCCAGAACAAAGCCAGTTTTTTCCATTCATGGGGTTTTAACTGGTTGTATGCGAGATTCCAAAGGGAGGAACGGATTTGCTTGGTCTGTGTGCTGTGATCTTGTTTGAAGGACACACTGAAGTCTGACCCATTACCACTATGAGCTAGATGTGTCTGAAAAAAAAAGCAGATGACAAATTGTGTAACAGAGCTGGGAACCTTTCCTCAGTGAGGTCCTGTACTGACGTTGCTGCTGACAGATGCTTGACTCAGTGCCTGTAAAGGAACTGTGTATTGCTCATAGAAACAGAACCGAAACAAAGAGTTCCAGTGTTTGTTGCTATGTATTACTAAGTTAATTGCAAAATAAGCCACTTTCTCTGGTACTTGATGCACAAAAGCAAAGTAACAGCAACTGTTGTGTCAACACTGCTTGGTTCTGTCTATGTCATGTTTAGAACACAGCTGAGTTTCAGGCACAGTTCTTAACCCTTTCTCTTGCTTCTCAAAGCACTAATCTTTCTCTGGGGAGAGGGTAGGCACCATGAGCACAGCACCTGCTCAACTGTTCCAGCCTCTGCCCTGTCGGCTTCACTTGGCTGAAGTGGGGACTTCCAGATCCTTTGCTGGTACCATCAGCCATTAGGTTCACCACAGGGACTCCCATTCAGCAAAGTGTCTAAACACCAATGCGCACATTGTGTGTTGAGCATGGATCTAGTTTCATTCTTGCATAAGTAAAATCAGACAGAAACCAAAATCACATGGATTTTACCTCCCAATTAAAAGTGATGCTCCTACTGTATGCATGGCTCACCTGGAACAGGAGTGACGGGGTTACCTCTTGTTTGAGCACCTTGGCAAAAACCATGTTGAATTATTTCAGTTCTAGATAAGCTGTCCAGGATCATTCCTAAGTAGGTAAGCTCCAGCTATTTCTCTATCTCATTACATTTATGTACTAGTCCTGTTTCAAATAAATCTTCGAAGGGAAAAAATTTCTTTACGAATTTGATAAAGGATGACAAAGCAGATACTAAGCAATAAAGGAAATGACAGTAGGCCACATTTTAAAAATAGTAAGCATAAAGTGCTTCATTCCAAGTTAAATTCAGAAAAATACAGCAGGGTTATTTCCTAGCCTTACAAGAGACTTACAGAGAAAAAGAGTCACAGTTAGTAACTAAGCATTGTATTTCTGGTTCCATTCATCTGATGCAGACTTTATTTCATGCTTCTTAACACATGCAAGGTAAAGTTTAGAATATCCTACAGGACAGCTTCAGGGTCTCCCTGATTAGATCATTTGCTTATGTTTAATTTAAAAAAAAAAAAAGCCGCAGGAAAATAATCTCAAACAAACAAACAAAAAAAAACCCCTTTGCAGCAGCACAGCTTCCCTTTGATGCTAAGTGTGTTTTGAGGCAACAGCAAGGTGGGATAGTAACAGCTGTCCTCAAATCCAGTTAAACCCAGCCTAGACAATTATAGGGAAGGGTTGTATAGAAGTGATAAATAGAAAAGAGGGCAAACAGAGAGATGACAGTCACACTTCAGTATCATGTGCCCTTCCTCTCAGCTACATGACATTTCCTTTTGTAACTAATGTTTTGTCACAAATGACAAGTCAGCTGAATGTAACTAAAAGACAGTCCTTAAAATAATGGTTCAAAATGCTGTAATTCCAGTATGGTAACGCCACCAGCATCATATTCCATAGCTGTAAGACTTAAGCTGTTCCAAAGAATGCGCTCTCAGCTTCAGGCAACAGGATACAAACACTTATGTTTGTATTTCCCAACATCTCTGGTGCTTCTGCAGAAAGGCATCTGCTTAACACCTTTTCTTCAGAAAATTCAGTGAACAATGCCAAAATGCTGAGAATATGATGGGCTTACTGCTGTCAGACTTGTTATGTCTTCTGTGGCAATAGACTGCTTCTTATTCATCTTTGAAGCAAACGAAACAGTAATGGGAAAAATTAACAGGACCTGACAATTCCAGCTGAACTGGTGCAAATCAAATGCTCAATACAAAGTGTTCATTGAGGCTTTTTTTACAGTAGTTAATTTAGATCTGTGATTTGCCTGCCCTTTAACATTAGTGTCATGGATTTGGCCACTCAGGACAGGAGTGGGGTGGTAAAACCAGGTAATCCTGTACCTGCACCAAGACAGGATTGGTATGCTGATACCCTTGGCTAACTCAGCAGGAAGCAGGAGTGAGAACAAAATCACAAAAAGATATGGCAGTTACTTTTAGCCCTTTAGAGTAGCCCATCACTATGCAGTGTACATTTAAGTAACAACAAGGGAAAGAAGGTGAGAAATTCAGACAACCTAAGCCATGTCCTTCACACTTATTGTAAAGTTCTTTTCCTTCTCATTGCTTTAAGTTTATAATAAACACTAACAATGGACAGAAGAGGAAGCTTCTGTTGAAGTAGCTGTGCTCTTGCTAACAAAGGAATCACACAGACATCTCCACTCTGCTATTTTTCAACCATAGATTTTACTCTACCAAAGGATCCAGGAATCAACATGGATCCATGTTATCCCAGCCATGGTACTGATGGCACAGTTTGGATTTGGCTTAGAAACTCTCTCCATCCCTTTATGTGTAGAGCACAAGGCAGGAAATGCTAAGATCTGCTTACAGTTTTACAGCTAGTCAGGAGTAAAGCCTGGATGGGCTTTCCCATTCCCAGTCCTAACTTTTGTTCATCAACGCCAGTCTTACTGCCTGCCAAAAGGAACCACCTCAGCCAAAAGGCATCTCAAAATTAGAACTAGCTTTTCCCTTAGGTATCTTGTGTTTAATGAAAGATGACTCTTACCTGTTTCATGGCAAAATACCTTTCTGCTTTAATGATCATATCTACAATGAGGGCATGATGGCTCCTTGATGCTATGGCTAGTGCAGTTTTCCCATGCTGAAAGCAGAGACAGTGAATAAGAACATTATCTTGGGTGTGTCACAGAAGAAAAACACAGGGACTGTTTACAGAGCCATCGCTTTTTCATGGCTTTTGGGTAGCTACAATCAAAGTCCTATGCTCTGCATAAGCTGTATCACCTCAGCCCAGAGGTGGTCGGTTTTCTCACATACTAAACTCCCCAGTAAAAAATTCTGGTGAGGTACTGCTGCTTTCAGAAACCTGCACTCAGACTTGCATACTTCATACCAGCTTGCACACTCCAGTCCCTGCATCCACATTCAAGCTACAACAAATAAAGCAAATTCCCATGCTGTGGTTAAACTAGCATTTCAGATGGATAGGCTGGCAAAGTTGTAAATCTCCAACTTAAAAGGCAAACCTGTCCCTTGTTTTAGATGGTAAGCTGGCTCACAGAACAAAAAGAAAATTACTTTCTCATTGGACCTGAAAGGAGCACAACTGCAAGATGATGCTTCATGGGTATAGAAGGAGCCACAGTTATTCAAAGCCATTGCTGCAACACCAGCTGCCGAGGTTTGCTCAGTCTACCTGAACCCTCTCTCCTATTAGCACTTAGATGCACAGGCATCACGGAGGCTCTAAAAGGATTTCTCTGCAATTGTCTATTTTCAGCAGATCTGCACTGAGTGCAACTGCCTGGGATTTAAATATTATCATTATTCTCCACATAACAAGGCATTTCTAGAAAATTAGATCTAAAGAAGCCAATCCCTTAATTAGAAGGTTCATTAATTAAATTATAAGGTATTTCAGTTCTCCATATAGTATAAAGTTCCCTAATATATGCCTTTTGAGTTCTAGCTCCTGGCTGTGATCAAGATCATTCTAATTAACCTGATTTTAGAAGAGCATCACATTGGATGCCAATGAACATACATTTCATTAAATCTTTTAAGCATAGGCATATTTTATATGTGAAGAGTCCAGAGACCACAAGAACTCCTTGGGCTCTGGTCTGGAGAGCTGCTTTGCATTTCACAGAGGAAGAGAAATGCAGTGGATAAGGGGGTTATTTCTGTACCCCTGTGCTAGTGTAGACACTGCTGGCATCCTGCATGCACATGCAGCACAGCAGTCTGCACATGGGGAGCTCTCTGCACTCACAACCAAAGACAGAGTGCATTTCCTGACCTCTGACAGGAACAGATGCATGGTGTTCTCTGGAGACTGAGTACTGCTGCCAGGGCATGGAGGTCAGAAAAATACTGTGCAATCAAAGCAGGCTCCCCTTCTTCCTGTCTACTGTTCAGCAAGCACAGTAACAACTTTGGCATCTCAGCACCAGTTCAGTTCAAAGGGTGCTGTACTTGCATATGTTCCCAGCAGTGGCATGATGGGCCACCCAGCCCAACAAATAGGCAAGGAAAAAGCTACTCCAAGAAATAAAACAGAATGCAGAAAGGTGACCTGTATCAGAACTTGTACTGTCTCAGAGACAAATTTCATGACAAGCTCTATCAGTGTTGCTGTAATACAAGGGCACTGCCTCGCCCAAAGACCTGCAGGTGCTTAAGGTCATAGGCAATAAGTAATTTTTTGTGTCTGCCTTTGGAATATGAGTATGTTGAAAAAACTTCCCAGTAGCAAAGGTGTTGTTTAAAGTGGACAAGATTTCATTCTGGGTTGATCCCTACAATATTGTACGCAGGATGACCCCAACATGGCAAATGATTGCCATCTGACTCCATTGATTCAGAAGGCTGAGCAATGGGATGCTTTATTAAAACTACACTATATTACATTAATACTATATTGTAACTATACTAAAGAGGCACTAAAAGAATACTAAAGAAAAATCTGTGACTGTCTGGGACAGCCAGGACACAGCTTTGAGTGACTGGCCAAGGGATCAAAATAATCCTCAGCAGAATCCAATTGGCAAATCCCTTCAGGTAAACAATCTTCCTAACACATTCCACATGTGCAAAACAACAGGAGCAGTGAGCAGAGAGAAGAATTTCTCTGAGGTTCCTTGCTTCGATTCCCAGGAAATACCCTTGGGAAGTTGTGCCTGCCTGCTCTCTGTGAAGAGAACTGTGGCTACACTACGAGAACTGCAGCCCTTTGACAACTGTAGGTGTGATTCTAAATGGAAAGGCTTAATTACAATGCAGCATCTTACCTCAGCATCCCAAAAACATACCAACCATGCAACCCCCACTCAAGAGTCCCAGGCCTCATATCAGGCTAGGGCAAAACAAGACAATTCTAGTCTGTAAAGCTTCATTTCTCATCAGAACAGTTTTGTGCAGGAAAGTTACTTTTTAAAGTTACAAAAAGGCAAGATTTTGCTCATAATAAACATCAAATCCTTCAACGCAGTCATACAGAATATCAAGAAAAGTGGTAACAGTGTAAAAGGGAACACTCACTCTTGCAGTAATTTAGCAAAATATGTAATACTGTGTTTGGTACTCTGTCCTTTCAAAAGCACTTCCCCAGTAACTTTGCTCTGGTACTTCTTCCAGCCATTACCATTTTTGTTTCTATTTTTCAGGCAGAACATCATCTCAGGGTTTAAGTATCCATCTGAATGGATCTGGAATGTCACCATGATTCTCAGATGACCTGGAGTGCTAAAGGGAAAACTCTCCATCACTGCACCTGTGAAGCTGCATCTCTTCTGGCACTGAGCCTGGCTGCAGATGCACAATTACAAGGAGCCACAAGACATTTTCCCCTCTGCAAGCCATATTTTCCATGAAAAATTTCTGGAATGTCTCCATCTCTTTGGGAGCCCCCCAGGAACCCTGGCCAGCCCCGACAAGGCTGACAGCGGGGGGACACTCTCTGGTGCCCCAAGGGTACCAAGACACCTAGGCTAGTCACCTTTGCAGCAGAGGCAGAGGATGAAAGGGCTGACTCTTAGCAGGGGTTAATCCAAGGTTTTATTCGGAGCTCGTGGATGCTCCCACACCTCAGGGGGCCTCCTGCTCAGAGTGTCCGGGAGAGGTGCCAAGGTTGCATTTAAAGGGAGGTATAAACCAAAAAAGCAGATAAATTTGCTGACCAATAAAGAAACTTCAGGGGTGAAAACTTAGGGAAGGGACATTTGGTAAGCATATAGGGTAGCACTCGGGGAGTTGACCCCTGGTCTCTGGCTATTCACTCGATGGCCTGGACTGAAAATTCTAGATAGAAAGGATGGGATGCTGAGTGACTGACAGACAGCTAGGGTGGGGATTTCGGGATGACCTCAACAAAGGAGGGGGAATACACAGGTAGAGGGAGGAGGTACAATCAGGGGTAAACCATTTGTGAAAAATAAGGAGATACAAAAACAAAACCATTAAAAAGTATAAACACATTACAACACTGGATGCAGTGTTTGTCTTTCAAACCACAGAGCTTGGGAGCTTTACAGCTCTTTACCAAAACCATCAGATCTGTACATGCTGCAGGCATAGCAATATTAAAATACTTCCTTTGTAGTTAGCTTTACTTAGCAAACAAAATTCGCAACATGTGCTTTATGCACCTGTGTAAGGAAGATTATAGAACAAAAAATAAAATAATGTAATCCTTATAGGTGTGAGGAATGCAAATTACCTTATCCATGGTTTTGAGATTGCAGCCTGACTTCAGCAGCACTTCCACCAACTCCACATTGCCAAGATCAGCTGCCAGATGTAGAGGGGTTTCCTGCCTCTGAATTGAAGACACCAAAAAAGTGCATTGAGTCAAACTTTCTCCTAAAAGTAGCATGCTCACAGGCTGGATCTAAAATCGATTCACAACAAGAGGTGACCTTGGTGAGAAAATACTGAGCAGAAGGAAATCATTTAACTTCTGCGTGATCTGCCAGTTTTGTTTCAGGCAGACAAGACAGCATATGGGATCTCTGCAGGAAAACCAGGCAGAAGTTCCAGCTGGAACTGGAAGGCTCAGGAAAGGGTTGCTGTTATGCCCCTCTAATGTACTGTAAACCAACAAGCTCAGTCTCTCTCTTCCCTTTTAGAGCAAGGTGCTTTGGACAGAGGACTTCATGTGTCTGGCAACCCACACTCATATTATCCTCTCAAGTAACCTTTTCCCTGCTGAAATTCATGCTCAGACAACTGGATATCCACAGTTCTCAACAGTACATTATGCCACATCCACAATAGAACTTTTTAGTCAGCCCTGCCACAAAATGATGATATACAGTAGAAGTCCACCTGCTCCATAGTGGGTTCAGTGAACCTTAAACAACACACATATAAAAAACCCTAAAGAAAATCATTAAACAAGGCCAAACCATTAACAAGAAATGCAGCTAAAATGGCATTCACCTTCAAGTAAATCTTTGAGTCTGAAAGGAGGGTTGTATAGTGTCTGTGTAGCTATATATACCCGAATATGTTTGGGGTTTTTTTTACAGAAATTAGAGTAAGAAAATCCAGACATCTGTGGGTGAAATGCAGTAGCAAATAATGGAGTAATTGTGGAAGCCCTCCATATATGGGAATGTTCCTTAGTATGTTTCTTGGGACATGTTATCCTTCTAAGTTGAATGTTTTGTGCCTGTTCTTCTCTGACATTGCAAGTTTACATTCTGTAGGTCTGGTTAGAGAAATTCTTTGGCCTTTAGATCTTAATTATAATTCGCACCCTAAGAAACACCAGGCTCAGGATTCCACATTAAAAGTATCATCAGTTAATTTTACAGTTTACACTATGATCACACAATCTCATGTATTCACCTTACTTTTTTATTCCCGTAAATAAAAAGGGGTTTTCTATTCATATACCCTACTTTCTTTCCTGCAGAAATGTAGGGATACATAAGTACCTACTGTAGGCAACTTCTGACATGCTAGAGACAGAGTGCAAGATATTTCTAAAAGATGTGTTGAAGAAATTTACAGAATTCTCTGGTTTATGTAACCAGAAAGTCTTGTCATTATACTTTACTCCAACCACAAATGACAGCCTCTGTCTTCTACAAAAATGTGTATAAATTAATCTTTAGCAATAAAAGAACAATGGGAAGGGGTGAACCACAGATTTCTCAAAGACTCATCCTTGTTGCTATTGTGGGGAGAACCTCCACATGTCATGAAGGAGACCAAGCTGTTTTTCCTCAGCAGTGAGCCACAATGCCCCAAATGGGACTCGACAGGCCTGCTGGAACAGTCTTTCCACTGAGATGGCTGGCTGAGCTATCTGTAGGGCTGATGGGGAGGAGGAAGAGAGGTTCTCCTTGAAGTGCCACAGGTGGCAGGGCTGTCTGTACACAGTTGGACCATTGGAGTCTGTCATGGTCAGGAGCCGGTGTATGTGAGCTCTGTACAGTCTTCTGCCACATGGACCACGGGCACAGGATGTCACTGAGATTTTTGGCGACCTAGTTGTTGTCAAGTCACTGTAGTCCACTCTACTACCACTCCCTCAGATACTGGATACCTTCTGTGGTAGTTTACTTGCCTTGCTGGTTTGCAGTATCTTCTTTGAGGAGACACTTTGCATTCATGCTCAGTAAGAGCCACCTTCAGAGTCTTGTGAGTGGCTGCCTCTGTTATGATCCCTTTGTCAATCCCTTAGTCCCTAGAGGTGGACTCCCCTAAGCTTCCCTATCTTCCCAGCACTGGAGCAGTCAGGTGTGTTTACCTTGCTGACAGATGAATACTTGCTGCCTACCTAAGAGATCATTCAGAGATGGACACCAGGTAGTTTTGCTTCTGTTGTCATTCTTGTATTTTCCCTTTCCTGTCCTGCTACAGGCCAGGCTGCCTCTTTTTGAATCTTCCCCCTTTTGCCCCTCAGCAGGAGCTGCTGTTTCTCTTCCTAACCAAACCAACATCTATTTCCATCATCTTTCCTTGAGTTCAGGCACAATTATTATATTTGAGGGCTGGGTCTCCGGTTAAGCAAAGGTGTGACACGTCCAGCTAAGTGAATTTTCACTTATGGTGACTTCAGAGCATCTCAGTGTCCCTTTGGATGCTCCTTGGTCAGGAAACCTTTGTTTTCTTTTGAGGGCACTGGATGGCAGCTTGGTAGGCAAGGGCCAGACCCAACATAGTACTGGAAATCCCTGTGTTTCATCAGGGCAGGCAAGGCTCTCCATTCAGATGGTGTATTAATAGAGCTGCTGTTTCTCTTCCTAACTAAATCAACATCTATTTCCATCATCTTTCCTTGAGTTCAGGCACAATTACTATATTTGAGGGCTGGGTCTCTGGTTAAGCAAAGGTGTGACATGTCCAGCTAAGTGAATTTTCACTTATGGTGACTTCAGAGCATCTCAGTGTCCCTTTGGATGCTCCTTGGTCAGGAAACCTTTGTTTTCTTTTGAGGGCACTGGATGGCAGCTTGGTAGGCAAGGGCCAGACCCAACATAGTACTGGAAATCCCTGTGTTTCATCAGGGCAGGCAAGGCTCTCCTCCTTCATTCAGATGGTGTATTAATTACTTGGGACTACCTTCCTGCTAAGGCATGAAATCCCAAACCGTTGGAGGCAGTAAGAGCCTCAGGTACCTGTCCACTTCCTTTTACACATGATACCACCTCAGAATTGATTCTTCTGGGCAAATCCCTGTGTGGCATTCCCAATTAGTTGTTAATTGTCACTCACAATAATCTAAACCTCCTCCAACACACACTAGTATGAAGAGTGTGATTATGCAAGGATATTCAAGGAACTGAGTAGTGTTACAAGAAGGTGGGAGAGACTGCCCTGGGGGAGAAGAAGGGGCAAATGCCTTTCTTTCCTCTCTCAACAAATCACCTCTCCAAGGAGGTGTGATTGTTGATTTTCTCCATGAGACGGCCACCTGAGTAGACCTGAGTGGCATTGTAAGGCCCAAAAACACCAGATCAGGCACAAGCCGTGCTTCTATCATCAGTCTACCAGGCAAAGCAACACAAAGTGATATGCAACATAGCAAAAGGAGAAATGGACATTAACAATTACAGGAGGTTTTGTACAGCAAAGAAGGGATCAAGCATGACAGCACCAAGGTATGGCACACATCAGTGGTGGATCTAATCTACAGTGAACTGATCTGATCTACAGTGAACTGGCCAACAACTAACCAGGCCTCCAAAGGCTGCTGACACCAAGCAGGGTGAAAGAATCCTGGCTAAGGTAAGGAAGACAGGTGTAGCTGTGGATGGGCTCAAACCAGCATCCTTTCAGTTAACAGCTGCTCACTGATTGCATCACAGAGACTGGTGACCTTGTCATTCGGTGTTGCTGTGCTGCTTGGCTCTGATCAGCTCTGCCCCCTCCCAGCTCCCTGAGCACCCCTGCTGATAAAGGTGTGGGCACAGAGCATGAAACAGAGAAGGCCTTGATATTGTGCAACCATTGCTCAGCAAAGCTTTAAGAGCATTGTCTTACCAGCCCTGTTTTGGTCACAGATCTAAAAAACACTGCACATGGTGGGTGCAGTGGGTCCTTAATTTTTAAGGAAAAATTAACTTCTTTCCAGCCAAATGACATTCTGCAATCTGCAATGGGCTCTCTGAAGCCAATACCATTCGACGTTTCTGTCATTTATTACACATAACACTTGAACAATACATTACCCAATCATTTTCTGAGTATACAGCATTGTGCTATCCTTATCTTGCTCAAACAATATTAGCACAGCATGTACCAGTGACTAATACAAATGTACACACACAAAAAGATTAGGAGGGAACTGCCTCTTCCTTCCTGTTTTTTTGTACCCTGAGCTCATAAGGAAAAAAAAATTCAAGCAAAACCCACATAATCTCCCCTTTACCAATAAAACTGTGTAAATTCCCAGCTTTTCTTACGTGATTTAAGGAGTTTATGTTGTGATTGGCATCCAAAAGGCTTTTTACTATCAGTAGATTATTACTGAGAACTGCTAAATGGAGAGCGGAATTCTTCTGCTGTGGAGGGAGAATAATAAATTATTATATTTGGGAATATTGTACACAAGAAAGAGGTTCTAACTGAAGCCCGCCACTTGCAAAGGTGACATGCTCTAGCAGAGGCTCAACACTGCAGAAAACACATCCGTATGTGTGGAGTTATACCAGAGGTGGTAGCCTGCTCCCATCTAGAAGCAGGTAAACAGAAGAAAACTGGAAATGCTGAGTGTGTGGGGCGTGCATCTGTGTGCCACCACTTAGCAATGCAGAAAGGCACTGCTCTTAAGTGTTCCTGCCTGGGATGTGCTGCTATTCTGACAACAGAGATGTAATGTTCCTGCTTCCTCAGAAAAGTGGATTTGCCCTTTGTTGAATGGCCTGGAGACAGACTCATTTTGTATTTGGTAAACTCATGTCGAAATCTACTTTCCAGGAACAAACTCTTGTCATGTGTTGCTGCTGGAAATATTCTTCAAATTAAAGTAACTTACTGTCATATTTATAAAAAATGACAAATTACAATTAGTAAGACAGAGGTTTTATTTGAGTGATTATTTATTAGTATAACCAGGGCACAGATTCAAAACCAGTCAAAATCCACACTAGGTTGGTACGATCACTTTGTATGTTGAACCTGTGACTGATCAGTTTCTTGTGAAATACAACTAAAGAATAATTCCATACCAGTATCATTCATGGTGCCAGGCACCAGTTCAGTGTCTTTATAAAACACAGCCATTTCTTCTGGGCTACAGAAAAATAAAGCAAATTCTTATGCAACATTATGATGGAAATATTTGCAAAATGTAAGTTAAAATTATTTTAGTTGCTTCTGCTACAGAAAGCTAAGGAGAACAAGCAGCACAACAATTGCCTGACCTTTGAATCATTTCAAGCACAACATAAATTGTTATTCTTTGATAACTTTTTGCAAGAGGCCAGTGATCATGGCATAAGTCATGAAACTCAGATTCTATTTTCATCCTGTACTGTAGAAGTGGAAAATAATTTCCTGTTCATAAAAAATCTCAAATATCTGTAATACCTAAACTGAGAGAGGATTTGGATGATATAAATACAATTTTCTTTTTAAATCACAAAGAATGTTGGCATGCAGACTTTGAAGGCACTGAGGGTGCATTTACCTGCAGAGGGTAAAAGCACTGAAGTGTTTATTTACCTTTTAGTTATCTTTATTCAAAATCATGTTGACTCTTAGCCCATGGCATTACTACTGCTAAGTTCAAGCAGTGCACTTTGCTCTTCTTCTCCAAATGCCTGGCCCTTGGTGTAGTCTGGCCATGTCTACTCTGCACTGCACCAGCCACTCAGGCACTCACTGGGCTGGCAACAGGATCTTGTCTCTATTGGTCTGTGTGTTGCTAACCAACACCTAGAAACCAAGTAATAGTGTGTCTAGGAAAAACTTCAAGGAACTTCTCAATCTCATTCAGCTGTCTGAATTCCCACAGAAAGACAAGACAGGCTGAGCAGCAGGAGAAGAGTTATTCTGATAAACACTCACCTCGGGTTTAGGAACCAGGTCAATATTCTTATCAATCAGAAAAGTAACCAAGGATAGATGTCCATTCTGAATTGCAACCTGCAAAGCACTGCTATTGTTCTGAAAGAAATTTGATAGACAGAAAAACTTACATTTTTATTTCTGAAAAAACAGTATTAAAGAGAGGTATAAATATAGGATAATCTTGCATTTAAATTTGTCTTAGTATCCCCTCCACCAATAAAATCTTTTCACAAAATTATACAAAATGAAGCACATCAGCAGCTGGCATGATGTTTTGACAGCAGTGAAGGAAATTCTCATTTTTGTTATATCACAACAAACATACTAAAGAACACCTGTACCCTATGGCCCCATCCAACTTCTCTTAGAAAAGAGACAGATCAGCATCATCATCTATAGTATGCCATGGACAACAACAATGCCAACATGTCTCCTATTCTCTTAGTTATTTTGTTAGACCCTTACCAAGCAAGTATGGTCCCATCAACCAGTAAATCCACAGAATAGTTAATAGAAATAATCAATAGAAAAATAAATTAATATAAAATAAATTTTAAAAACTAAGTTTTACAAAATAGTTCTGCTTAAACAAACAACTTATTCTGCTGGAATCATAAACTTCTTGCAGCAGGCTAGCCAAGGCCATTCAGCAGATATGAGTTGGACTGCAGTTCAGGAATCACACAGAGAGAACAAGTTTGTCATCAGTCACATACACTGCCAAAAAGGAGGATTTTCAGTTATCCTTGTTGGTAACATTTTCTAGTCACATGTTGTACTAGTGGGCATACAGGAAATTAAAAGCTCCACCACAGTACTCCATCAAATAAAGCTAATGCTATTTTACTTCCACATTGGTTTTATTCTGTTAGCACTCTCTACACTCCCCACTCTATTTTTAAACTGGTTGCATTAAAAAAAAAAACAAACAAAAAAAACCAAAAAAACCCCCCCACACACACAAAAAAACCAACAAACCAACCAAAAAAACCCCCCAAAACAAAAAAAAACCCAAAACCCAAAAACAACAACAAAAAAACACCCCAAAACAAAAACAAAACAAAAAAAAAACCAAAAAAAAACCACCCAGAGCAAATATCCTTTGCTAGTAAGGTCCTCTTCACAGTCTAGTTTGCCCCACTAGCAGAGATATGTGTACATACCTGAGTTGAAATATTGATGTCACTCCCTGCCTCCAGTAAGAGCTCAGCACATTTTTCATGACCTCCTTCAACAGCCAAGTAAAATGGAGTTTCTCCATTCTAGACCAAAAGAGACAAAATGTCTGTTCCAATTTAAGAGATGTGACTACAACACAAAGACACCTCCATTAGGCTCCATCAGGCTCATCCAACTCTTGAATGACATGGCTACTCATCAGCAGTCAAGTGACAGATGATGTTTATCTGGACAGATGTATAGTAAGGTTTACAATACAGAAAACTATTTCAAAAATATTAATCATGATCTTTTTGGTGTGCAGCAATTGCTGTCATTCAACACTAGGAAACATCACTAGTATGCTAGTACATACAGTAATTCCAGTTTCTGTCAGTGCAATGCCATGATTTCTGACAAATTCACAACCCCAAGTGCTAGCTATAAGGAGAATTTTAAGCAGAAATAATCATATTTATTTCAAATATTTTCACAATGAAGGAGTCTCCATGTCTCCACAGCAAGTCTATAAAATGGGATACATCAGCTACACAATTACCTAATTCCTGCTTCTCAACATCAAAATACACAAAGGTTTGATGAAAGTTACTCTGGTGTTTTAGCAATCACAAAAGGATCAATAAATCCTAATTTTTCTTTATTTAAAATCCTGATGTTATTCTGGTAAACTTAAAACATTTTAGTACTTTGTTCATGCTATGGGTAGAGAAATCTATTCATACACAGATCACAACATCTCAAGCTGGATGGCAAGATCACACCAATAGCCATGCCAAGACAGGGGCACAAGCAGCACAAGCTCTGTGTGCAAAAACAACATTCTTAGATGAGCCTTGGAAACACAAGGGCTCCACATTTTGAAGAGGCTCATGAGCCTCACAACAGCTGAAAACAGCAGACAAGGTGGATAAGAGGGAACTTCTCAACTCATCAGTCTGACACTGATAAAGGAAGAGGAGGGCCTTGGTAAGAGTTATTCATTTTGCCCCCTGGCCCAGCAGAACAAATGATCAGCCACATGGCAGATTCCCACAGTGGGCATTCCAGCCTAAAACAAAGAAAATTACCATGCCCAGGTTGTTCTAGCTGCCCCATAGAAGAAACAGAAGAGAACAAAAGAACGCTGTGAGGAGCAGTTAGTGCGCATTTCCTTCCTCCACTCCTTGTTTAAGCCTTAAAATGAACCTCAAGAGTGCATTAACTCAGGGATACAATCTTCCCAGCTAATATACAATTGATGAATATGCTGGCTGAGCTCACCAACACTAAACCAGGAAAGCAAATTGGGTAGGCAGTGTCTGCAGCCAGTTTTGTGCAACTGAGGTCAGATGGACAAAATACAAATTACCTCTGAGGTGCCTGTGATGGTATGTGCTTGCTATGCAAGTCACAATTGGGTAGGCAGTGTCTGCAGCCAGTTTTGTGCAACTGAGGTCAGATGGACAAAATACAAATTACCTCTGCTGAGGTGCCTGTGATGGTATATGCTTGCTATGCAAGTCAAACTGGCTCAATGAATAGGCTGAAAAAGCAAGATGTTACAAGGAATGGGATCACATGGCTAAAAGTGCTTCATGACAGAAAGCAAGGGGGTTAAGGCCTTCCTCTGTTGTCTTCTGCCAGTAGTTATGCAATAGCTTGCCAAATGCAAGGGAGGACCTGGGTAAGGGATAAAGGACAGAGGAAGACACCGAAGGAGTTAAGGAAGGTTAATTCATTGGACAAGGAACAAGGAAACAGGATGCAAAGTTACTAGGAAACCAGCAAGACTAATGAAATCTCCTCAGTGCCACATCTCTTCCTTTCAAATTTGATTTTTTTAGAAAATTTTTCAAATCTCTAACTTTATTTCTTTCAATAGCTTAGTATACTTACCTGATTGAAGTCATTTATTTCCTCCCATTGTTCAAGCAGAATTTCCACAACTTCACTGTGACCATTTTTGGCTGCTAAATGCAATGCTGTGTTTCCCTCCTTGAAATCAAAATGTCAAATAATATATTTGAAAATCCAGAATAAAGACATTAACTAAAACCAATACAATGCTTTTGGTCTTTTACATACAAGTCTTTCTTACATACAAGGAGAGGGAGGCAACTGCACACAGCATGTGCCAAGATTCGGTCTAATTTTGATGTACTCTGATCTAGTTAGTTGTCTGAAAACTTCAGTGTATACCAGCAAAAAGATCAGAAATTCTAACTCCTAACAAATGAACCAGAAGAAAACTTCAGGTATTGGCTCCCACAAGGGTGGGTACTACACTGAGCCCCCAAGACCACTGATTTAAAGAGTAAAAAACCCTAGGTCAGAGCATAGAAGTTTTCATGGTTTTGATATCAACATCATGATCTTTGATCTCTGTCACCATCAGAGCAATTTCTTTCCAGGAAATTAAGAAGCACAAAACAGAAACAAAACCAAAACCAAAACACCACACCACCAAGCAAAAAAAAGCAACTAACAACTTCAGGCAGAGCAGCAGCTTTGGAACTAAATAAAAATGCGAGCATACAAAATAGTATGAAAATGCCTAAAAATTTTAGAAGAGTCCTAACTCTTAGAAAAATGAGAGTCCAGAACAGTTTTTCATTCATAGCATTGAGTGGGAAGATGTGGGATTCCTTTTTACTATTTATGGTTACAGTGTGATTGGGTTTGGTGACCCAGGAAATGAATATCTATCCTGGCTCCTTACCTAATTTGCAGGACCAAAGCATTTACCTCCCGACCCTGTCAACACCTTTAACCTGCTAGATATCTGGGACAACACTATCTTTGAACCTCTGCTGGTAAACTGCTTAGCACAGCAGAGCTCTGGGTGGCACTTCAGCTTTTAAACTATTACCAGAAAACCAAAAAAATCCAACATCACTTCCTGAGTGCTTACTTATGTGCTTCTGTAAATGCAGTATCTGACGTATTCACAATTTTTAATGTATTTGTCCTTACAATGCCTCAGATGCAGAGAAATACTAACTTGCGCAGTCCAAAAATAGTAAAGTGAGGAAAAATAAATTTAAGAGCAGATGCTGAAAATTACTAAGATACCTTAAAACACAGTGTCAAAGCAAACTCAATCAGATTGACGTGTTAAGGTACTGCTGCAAAAGAATTTATGGGTGTTTATTTTCATCCTGGAGCTTTTAAACCTTTGAAAAATTGGTCACACAGTGACACACAGACACAGACAAACAGAGTGAAATACTGAGAAATATGATCTCCCAGAAGAGGCTGACACCTTGATCACCAGGCCTCCCCACTTCTCTGAACAGACATCATATGCCAGTCTTGCTTTGCATGAATTATGAATGTGTACAGAAAAGTCTCCTGGCAATCATCCCACTGCCTTCCCTTTAGCACTAAAAAAATCATCATTGTTTGTTGGCCCCTCATACCACTGTCACACCTGTGCAAGCACTCAGTTGAATATATAATAATCACAGTGAAACAAAATAATTTTTCATAAGCACATTTGTAGCTGTACATCTGTGGAAAAGAAACATTTACCTTATCTTTTTCAGATGTAAATAGCTTCAGAGCAATCAAATTTTTTATCATGTCAACATGGCCTTTTTCAGAGGCCAGAAGAAATGGCTTTTTACCTTTCTAGAAAACAATTATGGAAAGAAAGACAGTGTTAAAAGTAGAAATACTTTATTTCTAGTTACTAGATACATGACATGCATATGTATATGTGTATCCTACATAAAAATTTATATATCATATGACTAAGGAGATTAACACAAGAGTAGATACATAGAAGAGCAGTAATTAAAATTACACTTAGTGTATACAAACAGATCATACATCTTTCATATCCTGAATAAAATACACTAAAATTGTTTAGAAATGGTAAAAAAGTGGAAAACACACTCAAAATATTTTAATCCTATTTTTTCAGTATGAAAATAATAATTAAAATAACTGTGTCATTAAAAATCTGAGAATGCTCAGAAACAGGTGTCAAAGAAATTGCAAAATTTATTTCCATGGGTGAATTTGTTTGATCCAAATTCTGGAAACAGAGACCAAAACTGACCTATCTCAGAAGTTTCATCCAGGAGGCCTGAATTTAACACTGTACATTGTAGGGGATTTTGGCAGTGTTGAAACTAACAAAAACTTTTCAAACTACTTACGAACTCAACCGCAGAAAGTTATCTTGACACAAAACCATACCACTGTTCAAGACAGTAGGCATGTAACCAGCTAGGTAAAATGGCTTCATATCATGCCTGGTAGTGCCTATAGAAATGTCTAGGAAAAAAAATGCATGCACCAAGTAGAGAATTATGATGCAGCCTCAACAGGTGGTTGAGTTCCTTCCTCACCCTTCCTTTCCCAGAGCCTAAACCTTCAAAGGTATGTTCTGTTAAATTAACTCTGTTTTGACAGACTTGTCATTTGTAAAAAGAATTCAGAATTTGCACCCTTGGGTCAATAAAATTAGAAAAACTGAGAAGGAAAAAAAAGGGGGAGATTTGTTCTTTGGATGTCAGATCTCACAGGAATAAGTTTTCCTCGTGTAATGCTAAAATATCTGACTTATCTACATAGCATTTCAAAACAAGATCCCAACACTGTGGAAATTAAAACCACAGAAAACCTGGTAAGGACAAGGCACTGTTGAAGAGTCAGTGCCCCTCTGTAGGATAGCTGCACAGAGTTCTATGTTCTACATTGATGAAACATGGCCATGTTGGCCATAACTGGCATATTTTGGTAAGGGCAGGAGTCTGTGAAGATGAGCTGTGTGGGAAATGTCAGAGGCTGCCCTGTGCTGGTCACAGACATTTCCAGCTGGTCCCACAGTGGACCAAACTGCCCCACGATGTGCCAACAATTAACCCCCCATGGAACCAAATGATGCCTCTGTGAAAATGTGGGAAGGATGCACAAGGGGAGATACAACAGGAGACACAATAAGATGCAAGGGAGGAGACACAGGGGAAGCTACACCCCCCAGGTGACTGCAGCCCATGCAAGAAGCTTTCTGGAGCAGAGAAAAATAGGGAGAAGCAAAACATAGGAAAAAAAGGAATCAACTGGGGACTGAACCCAACCTCCTCTGCCTTCCATTGCCTTACCACGACTGAGAGCCACATGCAGCAAAAGCAAGGACAGCAGAGGGTGTCTGCAGTCCAACCAAAATGGGCAAAGAGGGAGGAAAGGTGTTGCCCCCTAAGGGCTTGTCTGGCTGTTTCATTCACCTGTTTCCCAGTATCAAGTCAGTAATTAAATGTAACTGTCAATAAACTAAAATTCATTGAAATTCCCCAAGCCAAGATTGTTTCCCCCAAAACAAAAGCCTCATGACATCAAAGAAATGAACAGAAACACACTGTACCCCATCAGGTTTGTTCAAGTCATTCAGATGAAGATCTTGGAGGAAATAATCAACTATTTTAATGCTGTTGCTCTGAGCTGCAAAATGCAGTACGTTCATTCCTTCCTGAAAAATGGTAAGTCAGTCCGTAAGAATGTTTATTTTTTCCCAATATAAACTTGTTTAGGGTTGGTAAAAATTTTTCCTCAACAAACCTCATTTTTAGCCTTCTGATCAGCACCTGCTTTAACTAGTTTTCGTATTATATCCAGATTTCCAGTCCAGGCTGCAAGATGAATCACTGTCAGGCCATGCTTCAAATAAAATGACAAAGGCAGAAATTACCACCAAAATACCTCAAGCCAAATTTCTTTAAATCTTTTTGATTGATTCAGTGTATTAGTGGGTTCCAATCTGTAGGCTTTTAGAAAAGCAATATGAACACCTGACTGTGGGTGGGATTCATCTCACTTAAATTAAGCTAAATGCAATAGAGCAAGACCTAGATAAATGTTTGACTTCTTCACAGAAGGTCTAGCATCTCTGGGGAAGGACTGATCCCATTTTATGACAGAGGGATTAAGTCCTACCTGGAAATTATTTTCTCTCTCCAGAAACCATGTAGATAGATAGTCTGGGTGCAGTGGATGACATTTCAAATGACAATATGCAATGACTATACCTCCATGAGTCACCATAATTTTCCATTTAGACCTCTTTCTAATGCTCTCACCTCTCAAATTCTCTAAAACCATTTTCTCTTATAGGAAAAAAAAACAAATCCTGTTCTGAACATCTTAAAAACAAAAGGACTAGCTCAACTCTGTGCTGCTGTGGCCTCTTCTTAAGTGCTGGGGACAGTTTTGGATGCCACAACACAAGCACATAAAGCTAGTAGAGAGTGTTCAAAGGAGGAACACAAAGATGGTGAAGGACTTGAGAGGAAACTATATGAGAAGCAAATGAGGTCACTTGGTCTGTTCAGCCTGGAGGAGACAGACAGGAGCCCTCACTCCAGTTATAACCTCCTTGGGAGGGGAAGAGGAAGGGCAGCATCGAGCTGGCAGGACCAGAGAAAATGGCATGGAGCTGTGTAAGGGGAAGTTGAGGCTGGATATTAGGACACCTCCTGATATACCTTGTTCTACACTTCTAATCATTCTAGAAACTCTGCATGGGACTCACTCCACTTTACCAGTCTTTCCCATCTTTGCAGAAATTGCAATGGAAAATAGTTGAAGGCAATTTGGAATATGTACCTGGTATGCAGGCAATAAGACAAATCTAGGCTTCAGCAAAATGTGTGGTTCTGGCCTAAAAGTCTGCCCTGAAAAACCTTCCAAGCTATAACAGCTGGAGGCTAGCCACAAGCAATGCACTATGCATCCATCCTGGGAATGCTATTTAACATCTGCATTAATGACCTGAATGATGGGCAGAATGTACCCGCAGCAAACTTGATATTAAACTGGGATGAATAGATAGATAAACTGATAGACTGTATTGGTGTGCTGCCATCCAGGGAAACCTTGACCTGGCCAAGGGATGTGCCTTGTGCTCATTCAGGTATTCAAGTTTCCAATACTTTGGGCATTGTGTTTTTCCTCGAAAAATGTTGTTTTCATACAAATATGTGTAGTTCTAAGGCAAACCAGGTTTTTACTGCAAGCTCTTAATTTTTGCACAATTGGGAGTACAAGAAAATTAGCTGCTTTTACTCAAAGGAGTTCCTGTATACGTGAATCAAAACAAGTAAGCCAGCTTACCTGATCTGCCATGTCAAGTCTAGCTTTGTGATGAAGAAGAAAATCCACCACGGACACATGGCCTCCCGCAACAGCAAAATGGAATGCTGTGCGCTTCAGCTGGAATAAGCAAAGCTTTGTTTGTCAGGTCTCTAATACAGTTCTTCCCCTGCTCAGATGGTCAGGATTTTGGAATTCTCTGATTGTTACCAAGTGTACCTAATAATATACATTATTTCACATTTCTGCTTTAACAGTCACACTTGATCTTTGTATTTTGTTTTGTTTCCTTTGACAGAATTTAGATATTGATCTTAGAGAATTTTTGTAAAAACAGAATTATTTTCGTAGTCTACATAGTATTGTCCTTTCATTGAAATGTCAAAATGGGATTAACACTGCATAGGGGAGGTGCATGCAGTACAAGAAGCATCCTTGTTTATTATTTTATTGCATGGTGTAGTTTGAATAGCTGAGGTCTATATGTAGATAGACTTGCTTTTGGTATCCTCGTTGCTTTTGACTAAACCTCTGTAATGCAAGCCAAGATTTCTCCCTCAATAGTCACCTTCCCATACTGAGTCACCATCTACGTAAATGAAAGCTACCACCTTGCAAGCAGTGAGTAATTTTACAGAATTGAATGGGCTCAGAGCTCCTCAAGAAGACTTCCATAAAGTAATTAGTGGTATATATTTAAAAGGGATTTGTTACATTGAATCAAATTTTATTTGGAGAGAGTTTTGCTTTCAGTTAAAGTAGGCATAACTGGGTTTAACATTAGTGACTAATAGCTTCCATACGAAGATGTCTAGGAGATTTAATCTATTCACTTTAAAAGTCAATTCGAATTTGCTTTCTTTGCTTCTCTGAAGACCACCTGACTTGTAAAAATTTAAATTTACAAATCATATGCATCAAAAATAATGAAAAGGTAGGATTTATGACAAGTATTTATGTCAGAAAAAAGCCTCTTGTACTATAGAAAGAGTACTATCAAAAAACTCATCTTTTGACAGCCTTCCTTATTTGGCCTGAGAGTACAGGGGCAGGAATGATCAACATTAACAAAACTAATGGCTTTTCCAGCATAACCTACATCCCTACTAGGATAATCAAAGCACAACACCTCCAGCAGCTATGCTAGTAACTCTCTCATACTACAGATCTAATTTAAGGATGACAGAAAAGTTTTAATCTACTGAACTGAAAATGTATTTAGTTTAACTTCCTGAATTCTGAAAAGCAAGAAAGAAGAAAGAACTATTTTAAAGGGACCTTTAGAGTGTAATGCAATTGATACTCTCAGGATTCAAGAGGAGTGTGCTCAGATGAAATGTTTGTCTCCTTGTCTGTTTCATAAACAAATCAAGGAATGCACTATACTATCTTCCCAGTGAGTAAAAATGCATGTGAGCATGGGAGGCAATTTTTTTCAGAACCCAGAATAAGCAACAGTGGATACTCAGGGGTAGATGATTTTTATGCAGCCATTGAGAGGACACTGTTACAGAAAACTCCCAGATTAATATCATGACTACTTGGTTGCTGTTGAACTACCTCTCATGTGGAACAGAGTGCTATATTTAGCTACTGTGAAGTATACACCATCAGATTCAAAGGCCTGATGCTGAAGTCAGCATAGGAAATGCATTTTCGTATATCTAGGGTAAATCTGATCTCTGAGCTCAGGCTGGAGCCAGAGCATGTTGTAGAATGCTCCCACAGTTTCATGCAAACCAAAGAGTAACACTTCTTTCTAGAAGTTTGTAATGCTAGCACCATGAAGCCATTCTTAAAGTGGCAGTGAGGTAAAGCTATCCCACTCAGGAAGATGGAGAACTTGAGAAATTAGTCACAAAAGAGCTCTGAGGAAACACTAGAGCATGGGCACAATTGAGAAGTCCTTAGTTCCCAATGTGATACACTGACTACTGCAAAACCTAAGAGTTAAGCTGTACAACTACCAGTGTCCATAATGGCTATATGAAATTATTTCTTCATCAGGTCCTAGAGGGCACTTCTGCAGCCTCACTCCTGCAGCTGACGGGCATGCTGGCATTCCCCCATGCAACCTCAAGGAGTCACCCTTCACATCAGTGAGGCACCTTATACTCACAGCATCTACAGCATTTATGTTCACATTCTTTTTAAACAGCTTTTCCATGGTATCCAAATTGTTCATTTTAGCAGCATGTTGAAATTCTCTCTCATCTGGCAGTACTGTGGGAAAACATGATGGAAAACCCCATATTATTAAAAAAGTAGCCATAACCAATGTAAGGGATGATGATACTTTCTGTTCTTTGTACTGATTTAATGTTATGAGAATCACTTGCTTCTCATCATCAAAGCATTTAATGACTGGGTTTTTCACCTTTAGAGACATCTGGTTGTATTTCTAGTTTCAACTTTTAAGTGCAAATAAAGGGAGACTTTTCACAACACAGATTACCAGAGCTAGCACTCACAGGAACAGTTTATGAAGCTTTTACTACCTAACTGCATCTCAAATTACTGCATAGGCACAGCAGTGAATTCTACAAACTTCGGCATTTATTTCCTTTTCTTTGAGAAATTGCTCTTTTTTAAAACACACCACCAAAGCACAAAATATGCAAAGCAGTAACCAAACAGTGTGACATGACTGGAAAAACAAACCAAAACAAACAAAACCCACTTTTAAATTGAGGCCTTCCTTATAACATCTCAATCCAAAAATCAGCATCTGTTTGGTCAGCTGAAGTAGCAAGACATATTTAGTAACTCTGAAAAGTAAAATTCCAGTGTCTGACCTCTTTTAGCTGGAGGTCAGAATATTTTTCATGTTTATACTGTAGCATTTCATTAATCATTAAAAAGAAAATTGTGTAGCAGTTACACCAGTTGCAAAAACATTAGTACATACTTTTAATCAAATAGCATGTCACACTTAAAATACTATTAGTGAGATGTCTTCTGTCTAGACTATTTTGGGCTGAAGGCCACTTGTCCAATGATATCAACAAGGAGGCACCAGTCTGTTGGACCAGGAACTACAGGAATTATCTTATTCCTGAGTGCCCAGGCAAGTTCATCCCACCACATTAAATCTAAGTTCATTAATGCCTAATCAGGACACAGCCTGACGCACTATGACTGCAGAGCATACTAAGGAAAATCAGGATGGCATTCACTTAATTGCATTTATATGTTCCCTGCTATCATCTCAGGGAGAATAATCACATTTTTACTCTACAAAATGAATCAGAAATTAAACTGGATTCTTGCAAAGGTGTTTCCAGTTTCCCTAAGAAATTATCCAAGTGCCTCAAATAAAAGCATAATACTTCCAAACTTCTCTGGGAATCACAGTATATGAGTTATTTGCAATACAACGTGCAGGCAAAGGAAGGAAAAAAAAAGGAAAAAAAAAGGAAAAAAAAAGGAAAAAAAAAAGAAAAAAAAAGCATTTGCAAATGAAAATGCTCTCCTGGCATTTGGGACAAGGAGCATAGCTGACAGCAAAATCATCATTAGGAACAGTGATCTTTGAAGAACAAATGCCTCATTCCCAGTTCTCATAGTCATTACCTTAGGTAAGTATCCAACAGAGCTTTCTACTAACTTGATTTCAAGCTCAGGTGAACCAATGGTCAAAGGGCATGTTGCTCAAGGCAAATTTATGTCAAATGTGAAAAAAAAGATACAGCACTAATTAGAGCAATTAATTACAATATGGCCACATTCATTCCTGCTGACTGCTGTCCTACATGAGGATGCAAAGATAAATGCATCTCAGGACAATCAGGAACAACCCTAAGACTTTATGCAACACTGCCTTCAAAAACAAGATAAATTTATGTTTCTTTACTATATATGTGTCAGCAAGGACAGTTTTGCAGTTCTAACAAAAAATAATAAAAAATAAATTCTCTCCTGTCCAGAAGCCCTGAGTTGGCCATGTGCTGCCAAAAAGACCTTTTCCTCTGTGCATTATATTGCTTAATATCTCTCTCTCTTCACACTTAGTGATTCAGGAGTTGAGAACTATGACAATGTAGACACACCATGAATGATTTGTTGCCCAAACTTTTGCAAAATATTTTTTTCATGTATGAAATTACAAGAGTACAGAGTTGTCAGACTAAGCTTTATGGAAGCCTTCTATCCAAGCAGGGGTCTCCAAGATTTAGCACTCCTCCTGTAACTAGCAATTACTCTATTTTCAAGTAACAGCAGCAATCAATTATCTCTGTGTGACTGCCAGGTTTTTTTAGGGGGTATTTGCTTCGGCACCATTCAAAACTCTGGCTTATATAATAAATATATATTTATATTGTAACAATTTAATAGTTATATTCTGTTTTTCTTCTGAGCTAACTGAAATTAGTACTTTGATTTCTTCCTCTGATATTGCTTAAGAAGAGAGAGAAAGTTTCATAGAGAGTTCTGCCAGCAGTACATTGAACATCCCAAGATTTTTCATCTCTTGGAAGAGCAAGAAAGTAATTAAAGTGCAGAAAAGTAAATAGCTTAGTTGACCTCAAAACAAAAAGTGAGGTATCTTCAATCATATTTTTCCTCTTTTTTATGTCTTTAGAGGTCTCATTCTTTCTTTCAGGAATACCACAAATAAAGATGATTTCCAATGAATTTAAAAAATGCAGCTGAGGTTTCAGTACTTACAGAACAGCAAAAATCCTACATGTGTGTATCCCTATCTCCCTGGTCTGCTTTTAACTTCCTGATGTGATGTCCACAAGATGAAATGCAAACTAACTTAACACATGGGAAAACAACCCCTGAATTTGAATTGGCTGAAGAGGTCCAAGGAGGTAAAATTTTAAAAAATTAACAATATTTGGATTCAAATGACAATATAAGTACTTTTATTTGATTGTTTCTAAAAATGAAATAATCTATTTAATGATCTGGGAACATTTAAAAAGTTTTCTCTGGCCTTTTTTTTTACTGGAAATAAATTTACTAGAGCAATGTAGGGATCTTGTTAAGTCACTAAGATTTTTTTTTTCCTAAAATAGTAATCTTCCATTTCAAAGAAGTCATGGGCAAAATTACTTATTGAGTCCAATGGTGTTATTTCATTAGTTATTTTTCGTTTTCTGCCCTCTTTGCCAGCCTGGGACCAAGAACCACAGCCCAAGATAATGGCTCCTGGCTGCCACACTGTGATCACAGGACTGGGGAGAAGCAGGGTTTGGCAACTACCACTTAGTTTCCACGAATCACCTATTTTCACTATCTACAGCTCACGCCAGAGCAGACTGTTCTTTCACAGACTAGTTCACAGATGGAGACCCCATCACTGGGTTGTGTTTCTGAGTGCAAGATCCTCTGGTTTCTGTGTGCCTCCCAAAACTGGGTGATCGGCTGTGAAACTGGTGGCAGACAGCTCCAGGGATGTGACTAATACCAGGGAACCCTCTCAGAGCAGTTCAAAGCAGAAGTTAAAGCACGGCAGTGGGCTATTTGCAGGACTTGCCCCTGGGGACACCACAGGCCAAAGCCCAGCTCCTAGCCCCACATCCACACATCTGCTGGTATTTTTTACTACACGTAAAACAGCTCATGTTCATCGTTGTCCTTTCCAACCCCCACCGCTCATTTTGTTCTCCGGTCACGGCAAAAAGCACGTTTGGGGGGGTCCCAGCAGCCCGAACGCGGCCGGGCTCGCTGTCCCCAGGGAAGGCCCCGTGGCTGTGCCGGCCGCGGCGCGGAACGCGGGCCGCGCTGCCCCCGGGCCTGCTCTGCCCCCGGGCCTGCGCTGCCCCCGGGCGGCCTCGCCTGCACCCCGCGGACTCACGGCCCTCGTGGCTCACGGCCACGGCTCCCTGCGCGGCATCCTCCCAGGCGCGGAGCAGGCGGCTCAGGCCCTTCATCGCTGCCCGCTGGGCTCCTCTTCCTCCTCAGCCAAGGAAAAGGGCCCCAGGGCGGTGAGCCGAGGGAGGTGTCCTGCGCTGGCCCCGACAAACCGGTTCCCAGGACGCCAGCACACGCAGCCGGGCCAAACACACCCCTCCAGGCACACCTGCACAGCACCCCGCCGGTGCCAGGACACCACCGCGCAAAGGGGCAGAGCTGTGGAGCAGCTTTAGGAGTTTGTTCTAAGAGAAACCAAGCACTAAATACACTGCATTTCTTGACAGTGGCTAGGCACTGAATGGGATCATCCTTCTCCATCCAATCACCCTCATGTCTTCCCTAGTGGAAGCAATCAGCACCCTCAAGCGCTCACATCAGACAAAAAGCAGTCCTGTTGCACCAGACAACTTTTTAAAAGCCATGCCATAAGCAGATGTGTACACACGCAGAGGTATCACAGCTTGGATGGGATGCCTGGAGCCAGGTGGATTTCTTACTAACTACTTGGTAGTCATGGAGCTCTCTATGCAGGTTGAAGAACATTTTGGGGAGTTATTCTCATAATTGTAAGCAGTGTTCACTGGACAGGAGAGGGTGACCATCCCTGCACTCCTGCGTGCTTCACACAGCCTTAGGATGTGACAGACTGAAGCACTTCTGACATTAATTTGTACATAACTATGCACACATGGCAGCAGTATTCATCCAACCACAAGACCCTTCAATTTCAGGTAAAAACTGTTTGCATTTGCTTTTGTCAAAGTCCATCAAAATCAAAACACACGTGCCCAACAGTCCAAGTTTTGTGACCTGACACACCGAGATCCATCTAACCTACCTACTTCTCAACTTATCTTGACATCCGTTATGACTTTGGTCTTTGGTATTTCCTTTCACATAGACAATGATTTGCCACCACAGGGAATAATTTTTTTTAAAGGGACTACCTTGAATTTTACTTTAAAAACAGCCTTTGATATTGCTATTTCAAAATAAATATAGGAAAAGTAGTTCCAAGAAAGCAGAACCACCAGTGTTCAGCCTCACACAACTGTAGACAGATTGGAGTTCCTTTGCTGTAATTTTTTCTTAAATTACACAATCACATTAATTTGCAAGATAACTAACACTGTATCTGTCCATAATAAAATTAATCTAAAAGACTCAAGAGTTTGTAAATGTAACGAATTTGGATACAAAAATTATTTGCTCAGATTCTGTTTACCATAGATAAAGAGATTTCACAGTTATTGTCTCCTTTGAACATTTTTGGTATAGAGAGGCTGCGATGTAAAAAAATCTTTACAATTTATACACTTCAGTCTGATAAGACAATTTCACCAACTGTACTTCCGGTAGGCGAATGTAATTCAGCTGCAACAAAAAACAACCCTGGGAAAGTAAGCTCAGTGAGAAGAACAAGCCATAACTGATTTAGCCATAACTGAATCATGGAGGTTTCCTCTGAGTCAAATGTTCCAGCAATTTCTTAAAAGTCAGAAAGGTAGGTCTGTATTATTTATAGTGATACAGACTGTTTTCAATCAATGTTAATGCTCTGTTTCAAAATGAGTGACAACAGACAACTACGGAGTGATTAGGTTAGCCTACAAAGGTGGCACCAAAGGAGGGATAGATTTGCAGTCTCATATAGAGCATCAGTTACAGTAAAATCATAATTTTCAGTCATGACACAAGCTGCTAATTTCCAGTTCTATTTATTAATACATAATACTATTTCACAGCGTATCCTGTGCTTAAAGGTTATATGTAGCAAGTTTAGCACATTCTCTAACCACTTCCTACAATCTTGACTCTTCCAGATGGCCCCCACAGACTGCAGACAGCCTGACACACAAACTTACAGAGCTGAAGAATCTGAAACAAAGTGCAGAGCCAGGAAGTACTGTAGCATACTCCTTACTTGCCTTCACAGAGCTCTGATTCGTACAGGAAATTGAGCATTTTCTTTAATAGTTAAGATAACAACAGTAATACATACAGAAATTAGTAGAGCCAATATAAAAATAAAATGTAAGGTAAGACCCAAGCACGTTGAATGTATAGATCATCTAAATTTCTTTCTTTAGAAATGGCACAGAGAGTAACATTAAGATCACAGAATCACTATCCCTTTTCTCTGTTACTCAACTAAAAGAGGAATTCAAGATTAAGTACTTACATTTATACCTTAAATAAGGAGGTACTTACATTACACAAGAAGTTGCATCTGCTGCTAACCTAGATCATTCACATGTTTCAGAACTACGGATACACTAAGTGTGGAATGGCTCACATACAGGAAACAATTTACAATTAATTAAGGACAGCTAAAAATAAACTGTCACATACTAATAAAAACAGATTTTAATTTAAGATCAATTGAATGACACACAGAGTCACTGAGGAAAATGCAAAACAAAGACATTGCTTATACAGTCTTCTCCACAAGAAACAAGAAGAAAAATTGTATCACAGAAATTGTCAACAAAGCTTAATCGTGAACTGAAGGCCTTATTCAGATGAAAGCAGTAATAAGCATGGTATAAAAATCTGTAAGAAGTAGGGAGAAAAAGGACTTGTAAACCAGTAAACATGCACAATTTTGTATTGGGTTTGCATAACCAAACTTTGGTAAGCAGGGATGCTACAGGAGTGGCTTCTGTGAGAAGCTGCCAGAAGCTTCCTCCATATCCAGCAAAGGCAACTCTAGCCAGCTCAAGATGGGCCTGCTGCTGGCAAAGACAGCCAAGCAGAAACAGTGGTAAGGTCTCTCTGATAAGAGATTTGAAATGAAAAAAGATTATTGCAAAATTGTAATTGTGACCACAGAAGAAGAGAGTGAGAATATGTGAGGGGAGCAGCTCTGTACACACCAAGGTCAGTGGAGAAGCAGGGACATGGCGTGCTCCAGGCACTGGAGCTGGGATGCCCCTGCAGCCCATGGAGGTCAGGGGGGTGCAGGGATCCACCTGCAGCCCATGGAGGAGACCCACGTTGGAGCAGGTGCCTGTCTGAGAGGGGGCTGTGACCTCATGGGAAGCTCACACTGGAGCAGGGACCTGCAGACCTGTGGAGAGAGGAGCCCATGATGCAGCAGGTTTCCTGGCAGGACTTGTGACACCGTGGGAGACCCACACTGCAGCAGCCTGTCCTTGCAGGAGTGCACCCCATGGAAGAGTGACCCACACTGCAGCAGTTCACAGATCTGCTGCCCATGGCATGGACTCATGTTGGAGAAGTTCATGCAGGATTGTCTCCCACAAGAGAGACCCCATATATTGGAGCAGGGAGATTCCTCTCCGTGAGCAGGAACAACATTGAGGAACTGACCATAACCTCCATTCCCTGAGTGCCACTGGGGAGGAGGAAGAGCTGGGAAGGACAGACAGATGTGGGAAAGGTGTTTTTAGGTTCTTATTTTACTTCTCATCCTGCTCTTGTTTTTTTTTAGTGACAAATTCATTTAATATCCCCAATTAGAGCCTGCTTTGGCCCATGATGGTATTTGTATTTCATGAGTGATCTCTCCCGGTCTTCATCTCAACCCATGAACCCTTCATTATATTTTCTCTCCCCTGTCCAGCTGCAGAGGTGAGTGAAAGAGCAGCTTTGGTGGCTGCCTGGCGTCCAGCCAGGGTCAACGCACAATGGAATTGTAATAAATAATTTACAGTCACATTATGAGTTTTATTTTTACATTAGTACTGACACATCCACAACCTTTTCATGATACTAGGATAACTCTATGACACTTCCCTTTTAAACAGATGGCAAGGCAACTTTGGAGGCTAAGCCAACTAACTTATTTTTTTCAAGCACTTACGAGCAGCTTACTTTTTGCTATATGATGCTTATGTAAAAATAGACTTTCTAAAGACATACACACAATGACAAGGTTATACTTAGATGCTGCACTTTATTGAATCAAGAGATACAAACTAAAAAGAATAAGCATTCACTTTCTAAACAGCAGTTGGCATACTTATGTTCCCTCAGTTGCTTCAATGTCTTTCCTACCAGAAGTTCCCATGTCTGTCAACAGAACAGCTCATGCTTAGTGCTCACTAACCCAGTCTGAAGCAGTTGACTGAATCAATTTACAGTCTGAACCAGTCCTGCTGATTTGGTCCGAAGAAGATAATGCAGCACTGACATGAATTCAAATGACAGCGCTGTGGGCACAGTGGCATCTGACAAACAAACAGATAAGCAGGTAGAGATGGTGTAATCATTCCAGCAATTCTGGAAACAGGAAAGCATATTCTGAACTGAGCTTGGGCATCTAATACATACCATGTATACATTTGTTTGTTTAAAAAGCAAACAAATCCCAATACAGTTGAACAGCAAAATAGATGCTTCTATTGCAGCCCATTCTTTAAAAGACCTTGCAGTTAAAAAAGCGATTTGTATTTCCTACAGGGCATGGCACTGTTTGTATAACTTCTAAGAAATATGCTGCTATAATAAATTATTTATCTGATAAATATTTAATTATAATAAAATGTCTTTAAACAATTTGGTGTGAACAGAAAAAATCTAAACAGAGCATTTTAAATATTTGCACTTACATTCCTCTTTCCACATATACACTCACAGAATACACTTAATTCAGAAATACAAAATAATTTAAAAGAGAAAGATAGCTAAACAATAAGAAGATTCATTATCTTGTATTTGCACATAATTCATTATTATTGCACCATTAAACCTTTTCTTTAGAGTAAATTCAGTGTTACTCACTGGTAACAATTTCAAACTGTGAAAGAGTTTTCAGTCCCTCTGGAAAGGCCAAAGATCAAACAACATTTGTCCGAGTATCCTGGAGGAATCCTCTCAATTAACAGATTTTAAAATTTTTTTTACATCAGTGAAGTCATTGCATATCTCACTGTGGGAACCCCTGGGCAGGTGCTGTCGGGGTGACTGCCTTCCCAAGAGCAATCCCCTCCCAGTCCAGATGACCAACTTCCCCAGCCCACCTCATGCTCGGATGGAACAAATGCACACTCGACCAGAGAATATAGGAGGGCTCTTGACTCGAGGAATCCAACTGGGTTTTATTACAGCAACAGTGGAGGGTCCAGGGGAAGTAAGAGTCCAGGTGAGGTGAAGGGTAGGACGGATTGGAAGTTCCATAACCACAGCTGAAGGGTCTCGGGATCAAGGAGCCAGGGAAAGAGGGTGCTGCTCTCTCTCACAGACCCACTAACACACTCATCACAAGGCACTGAGAAAGGGAGGGGATGAGGCATATAACCAGGGATGAGTGGGAGGGGTTTGGACACAAAGTAATGGGGATAGGGGAGAAGGAAGGAGTTGGGAAGGAGCAACACAACTATAGCCAATAGAGAGCAGAGAGGGGAGTGGTGCTGAACAGAGACCAATGGGCGAACAGGAGGTACAGAGTCTTCTAGAGCAGACGAGGGAATATTAGTTGAGTGATGAGGCTAGATTTACAGAAAGGAATGGAGAACCTTGGGAAAGTGTTTCAGTTTCTCACCCTGAACTCGAAAGGAGTTTCTTCCCAGGGCATTCCCACTTCAAGGCCCAACCCATGGCCTCCCACATCTCACCACAATGAGTCCTTCAGATCTGGTCAATCAACTCTTACTTTAGTAATTTTCAGTAACAATAAGAGCTTGATAGTGCTGTAAGTTCTTGTTCTTATCCTGTGTAATTGCGCTAACACATTTTTGTGTCCACTACGAAGACAGGCATTAGCTGAAATTGAGCAACTCAACTCTTTGTTATCACACAGTTAATCTCACAATTATATTTTTACAATAGGGAAGACAGAAGTTCAGGTGTGGGAAGACGGCCTTTAGCAAGTACAGTGCAGCATCGCAGCTAATAATTCATGTGTGTTCTAGGGAGCTAAATCAAAGTGCTAGCAAATTCTGATTCTTGGAAACAATTGGGAAAAAAAGTACTATTCTTCAAAGAAAAGAAAAGAAAAAACCCTTCATTTTACCTCTTCTCCCATCTCTGACATCATGTTCTTATTACACAGATATGGAATGGTTCCAAAATGACAGGCACCCGAATCCAGCCTACTGCGAATGCTAAATTAACTTGCAGTCATAAAACTCTATGAAATGCTTCATATAGAACACGTTGTTTACACAGTCATTTAAAAAACATTTTGATTGTATGTTTGGAATTGCTTGACTTGGGTTTTTTTGATACTGATTGTGAAGCTGCTAGTCCAGACCTAGGATTAAATAAAAGAGAGGAAAATAAAAACAGTAAGAGGTTAAAATACACAATGCACACCAACACAGGTTTTACAACACTGAATATTTTTCTAGACTTCATTATTTTAAAACAAGTTGCATATTCAAACTCCCAAAAGCTATTTACCTTTTTGTTCCTTGTGATGGATTTGTGCATGGCTGTCCTTTGCTTAAACCTCCTTAAAAGCAATTCAAAACAACCAAAATTAATTACTTCAACAAAGAAAGAATGCTTCTGAAATTACATACATGGAAATTTAATATGTCTCAAGAAGCAGGTAACATTTTATTATCTGCAACTTGAATATTGTAGTTTATATTACCATTTTTAAAAGAAAAAAACAAAAAGTCTTTATTTTATTGAATTGTAAGGGATTACTTTGAACCTTGTAACAGTTTTCAGAAATATTTCAGATAATGTTGTTGATTTTCAAGGCGGTTAAAAATCATGGTTTTAATTTTTTTTATCCTGCAGGGGGCAAAAAAGAAACTTCACTTAAAGTAAGTCTTCCATTTAAATTAAAGCATGCTTGCACATGTAACAGCAATATCACTTTGAAAAATTTCTTGAAAAATATTCTTATTTTAAGTCTTAATTGTATTCTGAAAATTCTAACACACTAGCATTTTAATTTCCTTTCATAAGGTTCCCAAAATAGATGAGGGACTACTTTAGGCAGATACTTGACTACCTGCACATGCACTCTAATCTGGCTGAAGAAGAACTCTTTGTCAAAAAGAGAAACTATTTCACAAAACATGAATGATACTGCTGTAGCATGTTACAGATGAAGTTACGTGATATATTTTATTAGCTATAAAACAGAATTGGAAGTTTCTTCCTTTAAGCTCTAGTTCTCATCTCTCTATTTTTGCCAGCACATGACATAATGGAGCCTATCTGTTACCTGAATCTGAAACAATACAGGTTGATGTTTTCATTAATCTTCACTTTAATCTCAGTGGCCTTACCAACACCTTTCTGAATATGGTTGGGTATAACCAAAATACAATTTCCATAAATGAGCAGCAATTCCTGTGTCACCTTTGTGGCAAATAGGACAAATTAACATCACATTCAAAAATCTAGTTTGTCATGGAAATCAATTTGATATTTTTTAAATAAAAATGTTCACTCCTATATAGACCTTACTTAAATAAGCTTGTTGAAAAAAAAATTTCCAAGTCCCAAAAAGTTCAAAGTATACCACAGTATCTTAATTGCAAAAGCAGACAATTTGAATAATTAAATATATACTAATGCATATGCTTACCAGAGAAAACTCTGTTTGAGTTTTTCATATTATAAGTCTTAGTAGGAAAATCCTCTTTTTCTGTCAGCTCCTGGATAAGGCCTTTATTTAAGCAGACATCAACATGTCTGTTAAATGACATAAGATTAGTAGTTTTCTGTTCTAAATTACAAACTGGACAAACAAGAACACTGTCTTCTTTGGCTTCAAAGAAACAGGATGAACTACTTCCTTCTGTATCTTCAGTCTTGTCAAAATGGTCTTCACTGTCTTGTGATATTAGTTTGGGGAAGAGACACTGTTTCATACACACATTTCTAGCAATGTCACTGAGATTGCTAGGCTGTCGTTCTCTGGGTGATTTATCAGGTATTATCTGACCGAATTTTTCTGTGCTATTGTCAGTAGAGCTGTCAGATACACTTGCAGACTGGTCTGTTCCTGATAATTGATCTGTTTCATTTTTTTGACATTTATCAACCCACTCATTTTTAAACTGTGGAAGAAAGTTAGATGTATTTTCTCTTGAACTGTCATTCTTGGATATTTCCATAGTATCTTTAACACACATCCCACTGAGGCACTCATCAATGTGTCTATTAAGTTCTTCCAAATTATTGCTGCTTTGCTTCTCAAAGCACACAGGACATGTGAAGATCTTACAAACATTAGAATTCAGTAAATCTGTGACTTTCTTTGTTTCTTCCACAAAATTTGCTGATGATTTGTCATCATGAAAGAGCTCCTTACTGTTTAGTTGTCTTGCTGCTCGCTTTTGATCGAAAAAACTCCTTCTATGAGGTGCTTCTGAATTTTTTGTGAAATACTCTTGGTTGGACTTCTCTGGCTGAAGCCTAAAGAAACCAATTTCTTTTCCTGATTTTAAGAAACTTGTAATGCTTTTTTGTTGGTATTTCTTTTCTTCTTCTGTTAGAAATCCTGATACTCGTACACCTAATGATGAAAAAAACCCTTATAATAACAATTCTATGTTCTATGAAAGCTTGATACTAACTCCTAATTAACACCTTCTGAGGTATACATTCACTCAATAAAGGCAAAATTTATCTTTAAAAAGATGCTAGACTACCTCCAAACACATCACAATGTCAATACAATTTTATCAGACCCAAGCACTAGTCCAACCATATTATTAATTTTAGTACTCTGAAGTTTTAACTCATTGCATTATAACAAAAAGTTATAAATACAGTTACACATAATTCAGTCTGAAGGTTTTACATGAACTTCACCCATCAAAACATATTTTTCTTCAGTACTTTCTAATATCTTAGACAAGTAAATTTTATATACCACTCAATGTTTTAAGCAGAAAACATAAGACCTGAAACACGTCTTAGGGTCACAACACAGAGTTTACTGTTAGAAATGTTCACATCTCCTGCAGAACACTGCTTTTTTATATCTGTAAGCACTTCTGTTGTTGTGGTGCAAAGTAGATTTAGAAGTTCTTCTAAAGCAGCAGAATTAAGTGCTGCTATGACTGAAGTTTCTAGGGTCATGATGACGTGACTGTTGTTGCATAAAAAAAGTATGACTTCAATTAGTAAAACTTACTACGTCACCATTCAGCACTCATTAGTAAAACTTCCTAAGTTACTCACTCAGCACAGATCTGTTTCACTTTGAAAAAATTACCAGGGCAATAGAACAATAATAAGTGCATTAATACCAGTTTTACTTTAAAGTATGGTGTGTTATTTCAAAACACTTTCAGATTTCCTGACTCTGAAAAGGAAGAATGAATTTGAAAATCTTACCCATAAGTCTTATCCGTAGTGGATGAGGAGCAACACTATCAATTTCTGTTCCTAACAAATCTTTAGCAACAGTAAATATTTCCTCCTCAGTAGAAACAGAAGACAGCACAGTTGAAGCTCTTGTTTTAACTTCGAAGTTCACATTCTTAAGCTTCAATGTAACTGTTTTACCCTAGGAAAAAAAATGCAATTATAAAGAAGGTTAAAAGGTATGTCATATATGGCACAAAAACAATTATTATGTAGAATCTATATAAGGGCTCTTAAGCCATAGTTAAGTGTGCTTATATTCACTGTGCTTATCTGTGCATACCAAGGGGCACTCCCAAGAATTTGTCTGCAAGATTCTGTACTTGCCCCTAAATTTCTGCTGAAGTTAAATTGGGTCATTTGACTGCAGTTCTCAGCAGACCATCTGCCACTAGTGTATGTTCAACTGAGTTCATGTTTTGATTACAGACTCAACTTCTATCCCATCTAAAACAAATTATTTCCTCATATGGAAATTTTCAGTGCCAGATATCCTAACTATGAAGAACAAAAAAGTGATACCCCCTTACAGATTCATAGAAAAATTACTTCCTCCTGCACAGTGCTATCACAACCACAAACAATATCTGTGTTTGGTGCAGATATTTCCCTGGCAGCACCTCCCAAACAATTTGTATGATTCATAATGTCCATCCAAATGTAAATAACTAGCACTCTCTTTGGTGCTTTTGTAAGCTTATCCCTTTTGTCCTCCTTAGCTGATCATCTCCCTTTCAAACTGTCATCTTTTGAGACAATCTTTTATGGCTGAACATTAACAACAATTATTTCAAGCTGTAAATGTAATCCCTTGGTTTACCGTAAGACCCTCAAAGAAAATATTTACTCTTTCCAAGTAAAAAACAGCTATCTGGGGAGAAGGAATAAAGGGACTGTTTCTACTATTGATACAATTCAATGGTGTGAGTAACTGGGTCAGCAAGTTCAGCACATGTCAAGTTCTTAAAACTAAAAAACTGGCTATTGACTGGATCCTGTATGTATATAGGAGAGAAACAGTATTTTAAATACATTAGTATTACACAATTGACCAAAACATGGCTTATGGATGATCAGCTCTATTATTGCCTTACAAACATTATGATTTTAGCATAAAATGTTTACATACCAAACAACTTGATTAATTTTTCTTATTTCAAAACTCCATTTAATTTTTATGCTACACATACTGCTAGACAGCCACCTGCACAACAACAAAATGCTGCCTAAGTCATCCTAAACATCTGCAAATTAAAGAATGCAGACTTCTGAAGAAAGATTGTATGGTACAACGCTTGCTGAAAGCACTTATACTAAAGCTGCACAGAATTGTTGGAGTGCAAAGCATCTTTTTGCAAGTAACCTAAATAGTATAAATACCTTAAGTCCCTCTTTCTGCAAGTCTTGAGCAAGGTCTCTGCAGAGCTCTCGACACAAACTGTACTGGTCTTCTGCTGTGTTTATTTCACTGAATGTTCTAAGACAAAAATATGATCTTTTTCAGTATGAATCCTATAGTATGTTCAGTGTGTGCAATCTAGAAGTATTTTTTATACAGTTAAACAATACTATAATCAGAAGAATGTTATATAGGTTAAAATTCTTACTTCAAGGCACAGTGATTATTAATAGCAATATTTTGTTTGCAAAATGTTTCAAAGACCCTTCAAATAATGAAATAATTTGGTTTCAATTTTTCATGCACTATTTGAAAATTATTCAAATTTAATGTTATTAATGCTTAAGCATTTTCAAGACAGAACACTAACAGTAAGTGAATTCATACAGCCAGCCAAGTTATTGGTATTTAATCTCATTTGTATACACCGTATAACATCAGAAGAAAGCCAGGAGCTGAAGGTCAACATCAGAGCCAAGTATCAGAAATACATAATGCAGATGCTGAGAAAAAGATGCCAACTAGGATAATTATGTCTAGCCTCAGAGGAGGAAAAGCTATCTTTCTGCCAAAAAATGTTGCCAACTGCCTTTGCTAGAGCTTCTTAGAACAGAAATTACAGTGGTTTTGTTTTTTGTTGTGCATTTGCTTTTCAGTAATAACATCACAGGAAAAGCAACCTTCAGTTGTTCCAAGAGAAATGGAAAGCAAAACTTACAGACAGCACAGGCTTTGGAAAGGTCTCACATTGTTCCTTGTCAGGCTTTATATTTACAAATATAAGGTCAATAAGATTACAGTGGATTTTGCATCTCTAAGTTATAGTCAGTTTTACCTGACTGTACCGAAAAGACAACCTCTATTCTGATTCACATTCCCCTAAGAATGTTTGCATGCTGTCAAACTAATCGGCTGAGTATTTCACTGTGGGTCCCATACTGCTATCCAAGGAGTAACTCAAGCTATTCAGACAATACTGCAGCGATTGAGAAGTTGTAAAAGTCCAAGGCTTGAAAGGGACAGGATAGAGAGAATGCTATTTCAGAGGTGTCTTTTCCCCCATATAAACTAATTTCATGATCTCAGAAGCCTGTAGACATTTCTGGTCTAAAACTTTTCCCTTGGAGGAAAAAAAAATAAAGGAAAAAAGCAGTACAGAAAGATACTATAAAGATGTCCAAAATCTGTCTGATTGCAAGGCAGCATAACACTAAAACCATAAGTTTTTCAGCTGTGATGGTACCAAAATAGCATTAGGCTTTTTTAAGCTGCTCACAGCTAGTAAGTCACAACATGACAGGACTAAGCATGTTTTCTTACCACCTTTTCTAAGAAAACACATGATGATGGGGATAATTATTACAGTGCTTTACAGATTCGTCTGGCAGAACTGATTTTTAAAAAATTAACTATCTTCTTAAGGGACTTTACTCTGGTAAAGCTTTAGTTAGGAAATACATGTGACTGCAGACTACCACACTGATATTGACATTAAGCTTAAACAGATAAAAAAATTTCAAGCCCTTATACATCTCCACCTTATTGTTTAAAGATCACTTTGATGCATTAGAGGCTCTAGCAGAATTGGATTATAAGAGAATACTCAAACAAAAATACCTCCATGGAGCTCTGGAGCCAAGGACAAAAAATAATCAAAGCTTGAATCTGATTAAGTGAGATTGTTGTATATGTGCATTTTTAAATAAATACACAATAAAATGATATGACTAATAAAAGTATACATTACTTGGTATTTAGTGCTTCCAATGGTTAATGTAGTTTTTTCAGTATTAAAGAAGCATACCTTTCAGTGCTCATACTTTTTCTTTCTCCATCCCTTTAAAGAGAAAAAAGTTGATTATACTTACTTGATGTAGAAATGTTATCTTTTCAATAAACTCAGTCAATCAATCATGCTCAAATAACTAACAGCAGTCTTTTCTATGAAGTTGGGATGCTAATTTTTTCTACAAATCTTGTACATCAAGTTTAAGCAAGTGCAAAAAGGAGAATTAAAAAAACACTGTAGCTTAAGGAAAGACACAGATCAGACTTAGATGTCTTTAAAAAAAAAAGTTTTCAAAAAATTCCCTCAGAACTCACCTATTATGTCAGAGGGAGCCTGATTCAAAAAGAAAACAAACTACAAATCCTGTGCTGTCTTAGCTATAACTGTGAAGCATGGCTATTAGAATCCCATACATACATGTATATTTGAATATTTCTTTTATCTGAGGACCTGAGGAAATATTTTGCTTTCAGTCTAAAAGATAGTTCAGCTTTAAGTTGATATGTTAAAGCTTTTTTTGTTTGTTGCTTTCTTGCTCAGTGTTAATTGAGTATTCTTTAACAACTCTTCTGCATATAAGCAGATACCTCAGAGCAATTTCAGGTCATTCTTCTGTTTTCAAGTATTGGAAATCACAAATTTGGTATTGTCAAATTTTTTTAAAAGAAGGTAGTCAGACACAATAAGATGAACTATTTACTGTTCTATTTACTATTTACTGTTTTAATATATTAAGTGTTTGCTTTCTCTACACTAAAATCACTGAAATCAGGTTGGTGCTGACCAAAAAATAAAAAAAAATTTCCTTTTTTTTCCAAAATGTACTGGGAGATATCCCAGGCTGTAAAACACCTAACCACCAAACTAGGATGAATAAGAAGAAAGAGCACCAATTGTTAAAAGACTATCCAAGGTCTGTTTATATATTAACAGAAAAAAATATTTTGAAAATTGTGTTTTATCTTTTATCAAGTCACCTTCACCAAGTCAGTCTTACCACATATTTTAAAAAAATATTTTTATACTCTTAATAGAAAAAAAACCACACAAAAATTTGTGCTAGCACATTACTGGGCTTCAAACTGCTAACTACCTATATTATTTTGCAGTCAAATGGAAAAAAGGGAAAATTATTGTCAGAGAAATTACAGATATAATACAGAATAGGGCTTTCAGAAGTTCATAAGACACTTTGGAACTTCGAATAAAATCAAATCATTGTCAAACTACTTTAAAATAGAATTTCAGTGCTGTGGAAAGGAATATATTTCAAAAAGAAGTCAATTCTTAATAAAGGCTCTTAGTTAAACAAACAGTAAAATGCTATGTTTTGCGTCTTTTTAAAGAACATGTTTCTCTCCAGGACAGGCTTAGAAATGACAAATATTGTTCAAAAGATATATGCACTGTTAGGACTGACTTCTCCCATCCTAAAAAGGAGGCTAAAAGCCATTAAAGCACAGCCAACCTTAAAAGAACATGTATTAAGAAGGATATAATAACCTTCAGTTCTATTCCACCAAATTCACATGTTGGTATTACAAATACGTAATCCTGATAAGAGACACAGAAACTTCCTGACAATTTGTGATTTTCATTATAATTCCAAAATCATAAACACTAATGAATGTGCATTGTTTCTGAAGAAAAGGGAGTGCACAACTCTTCTCAGGATATCTCAGTTATGATTAGCTATTTTGATAATTATAAGGTTATCCTGCCTAGATCTCTTGACATACATTTATGTACAACTTCCCTGATGAGATTTTTTGGATTGCATATTTAGACATGGCTGTACAAACCTTTGTTTTCTTCATGTTTGGATACTGCATCTTAGACGTAAGTATAACAATAACAGGCATCAGACATTTAAAAAAATATATGAAACAAGCGTATTTCCATAACATTTGCCAATTAAATAATATGTTCGTATGTAACATACACAAGGAAACATTCAGAAAAATGTTAACACAGAATGAAGAAACCCCCATGACTTACTTTTCCAAATGTGTTGAGCCCAAACCAAGGGAAATATCCAAGAAATTACGCCAAGATATTTCTGAAAAAAGAAGAGAAAGCAGTGCCCTCTGCTGGTACAGTTCTGAGCAAGTCACAATTCCAAGGGCTTTTAACATCTTCTCTGTTACTTTTCCAATACCTGGCACCTAGAAAAGAGTATGTAACATTATAGTGAAAAATTTCAATTTGTAGATCCTTTACTAAGAAAATTTAAATCAAACACAACATGGAAGATTACCTAGAAAATTCTACCTCCTCAGTAAAACTCTTGCTTCTAGAACATAAAAACATTACATGACAGAATAGTAAATGTCCTCGTGTCTCTTACCTTTCTAATGGGCAAATCTTTTAAGAAGTCTAGCACTGCCAGTCTCTCAGGAGAAATTCTGTATTGGCCGTTAGGCTTATTACGATCACTGCACATTTTTGCTAACATTGTATTTGGTGCTATTCCTGAAAAACAAACAAAAAACATGGTAATTTAAAAAAATATAAGACAAAGTTTAATTTCAACTACCCAATATTTATAAGCTACAGAGTAGTCTTTATACTTGGCAAAAACTAAAATAAGGAAAAGAATTATGATTACTGATAACCACCTTTGATACAATTCTGTGAAGAAATTTTGTGACTATCACGTAACACATGTAATACATAAAATATAACTTAAATAAAGTGTACTTCCTATTTTAAGATAGTCAGGGAAACGTAAAGAGCACTAGTTGAGAGGGCTTAAATAATAAGTCCTCAAAAATAACATCAGTTCACGAGTCAATAATTTTATGATGGCGATTATGGTAAGAAAGAAAATACATACTATGGTAGTTACAATGAACTCTTAAGTAAGGAGACCTTTCTTCCTTGTATTTCAGCAAAAAGACTTTTTTTGAGAGAATTTAATAAATTCTATTATTTTGTGGGCTACCACTGGAATGTAGTAATTATAAATTTATATATATTTCACAGACATCAGAGGAATTAGGAAGGATAGCTCTCTTCTATCAAAGTAACTGTTTTTACAAATTAACTCTGGAATTTGTTTAGCAAAAAAAAGAATAATTTTGTCCTACAGCCCTAGAAGTCTGCTCACTGATATAACATATTATTCAAGATGGCAGAAATAACTCTACTTATTATTGACTATCAGTATTTTTTCAGTTACCCTTTTAATTATTTTTAATTTTGGGGCTTAAAACCTCTGTTTGCACTTGTAAGAGCTATGCCTGTTTTCTACACACTAACTTATCCTTAAGAAGACAAAACTTTAGTAAACAAAACTGTTATTCTGCTATTATTTATCAGATAACATACATGGGAGGGGGTTTCATCCTGCTTCTTCTTACTAGCTGTTTCTCCGCCTCTGCTTACATTCCACACTTTCCTGACCCTCTGCAGCTGCTTCATAAGCTCATCGTTTCCTGATGCCTCACTGACCTGGTTCATGAAGCAGTTTGGATGGCATCCAAAATAAGTGGCTAGAGACATACACTGGTTTTAGTCAACCAAAACAGCTGAGGTATAAAAGTGGGTTGTCTGAAGCCAAGACATAGAACTTGATTGATAAATATTAAAAAGCTATTAAAGAGTTCATTAACTTCAGTTCATTTACTTCTCTAGGACTAAAATTTTAATGAATTTTGATATTGTTTTAAGCAAGAAACAGTGTGAAGTTAGAAACACATAATAGCACACATTTGCTATTCAAACTAAAAGCAGTATAGAAATCAGATTTCACTATGACACACCATCTAACAAAAGCAATTTACACAATGCACTAGACTAACCAGCTGTGCTAAGATTAGCTCAAGTGCACTGGTCTTCCATTCTTCCTCACTGCTTACTCTTATTTCAAGTAGAAAAAAGCAAAAAGATGACATATCTGTTTCAATTTAAAAAATAGTAAATAAGAAAATAAACAGTAGTGGCTTGGATATTCATGACATCTCTTGAAATAACTGGAAGTCACATTCTTTGCAGACCTTCAAAGACAGCATACTTTTGTTGCACAAGAAGACTGTGGCAAGGGTAAATTCTTAAATTAATGGCCTCTGAGATTAAAGCAGAAGACATTATGGAAAAACAAATATTAATTTTCCAATGTGTCTGAATACCTGCACTAGCAGTCAGTTGAGTTTTCTGCTCAATCCTAAAGCGAATTTCCTTCACAACTTCCTCTGCAGAAGTTCCAAAGACAACTGAGTTTTCCATTGATAGACTTCTTTGTTCATGTTTGTCATCCATCAGAGATGAGTTGTCTTCAAACAGTACTGGTGAAGAAGAGACTTCACCTTCATTAAATTTGGCAGACACATTCATACAATCTTTATCTAAGTTAGAGAGAAACACAAACAATTAATACGTCCACACAGACTGATTTCCTTCTTCAGTGTTCATAAGCAGTTTTATTTCTTTCTATCTTTAGTTAGAGAAAGCAGTTGCATTGTTTTTTTCTTTAAAGACTGGAGAGCTGTAACTGCTGCATTTTTGCTATGATTTGAGCTTGGCTGAGATTGAAGGAATTGGTTAGTAGACTGGACATAACTTCCAGAAAAGCAAAAGTTTTAATGGCCTGTTACTGTAGCAAAATCAGTGAGATTTTATCATTATTGTTGTTTTATACCAGATTGAAGGTCAGATGCTCTCTTCCACAGAATTTTTTTCAATATTCTCCAAATAAAATTAGGATTCTGGAATATCTAGTTCTACAATGATCAGCCTGATGAGCTTCTCATTTTCAACTGCAAGCATAATAGAATAAGTTATATCAGCAGGCCTTTATTTGACTCTATAAACTTTACTATTACAGTTTCACACTCTGAGCACTTCTTTGTGTTTGGAACTAACAGAGGAACTAAGATATCATGCAAGTGTGAAGAAGCACATGACCACGTAACAGTGACACTGATTTTGTAAAGACTATTCCAGTTTGTTGCTTTATATTTTATTAATGCTTTTCTGTAGTAGTGTACACTTGATTATCCTCTTAATGACTGTTAGAAATTTTGAATACAGGTAGTATAAATATTCCAGTTTGTGCATCATTCAACCATTGTATGACTACTTCTATTATTCTCAAGTGGATGTACAAGTGAAATCCAGTAATATCTTGAACATTTCTAAAATCCTGCAGTGCTTCTGCTACTTATTTCCAAAATTATCAAGCTGAATTGTAATGCAGACCTAAACCACACCATTTGGTTTAGAAAATCTAGCACCACTTTTCAAACATTTTATTCACATCAAAAGAAAAAAAATTCTCCAAGTCCAAGTCACTAGCAGTGTACATTTTATTCAGAGGTGAGCAGTAGAGTAAGTTAATCTGTAAACTAAATTGGATGCAGAAAATATATGAGAGGACAAATTATGGAAGGACTGAAGTATCTACACTTTTAGTGGGTGCAGCTTATCTGAAGCTTATAAGCACATGACTGGCAACCCCTGCTCCCAACCCCATGTAATGTGGTCAGCATGTCTTATGCCATTTCATAAGGCAAGCAGTCATTCTCTGCTGCCATGCTCACTCCGCTCCTTGCGCTGCTGCATATCCAACAGCCGGCCAGCCCAGTGCTGTGGATGGCCCTGTTGCAGCACTGGGAAGCTGCAGCTCCCAGAGCAGTGTCTGCCTGAACCCTCCACAGCACTGCCTGCAGCCCCACTGCCTGCAGCCCCACAGCACTGCATGAACCCTCCACAGCACTGCCTGCAGCCCTACAGCGCTGCATGAACCCTCCACAGCACTGCATGAACCCCCCACAGCACTGCCTGAACCCTCCACAGCACTGCCCTCAGCCCCATAGCACTGCCTGAACCCCCCACAGCCCCACAGCACTGCCTGAACCCTCCACATCACTGCCTGAACCCTCCACAGCACTGCCTGAACCCTCCACAGCACTGCCTGCAGCCCCACAGCACTGCCCTCAGCCCCATAGCACTGTCTGAACCCCCCACAGCCCCACAGCACTGCCCGCAGCCCCCACAGCCCTGTCTGCAGCCCCCACAGCCCCGCCTGCCTGCACCCCCAGAGCTGTCTCTCTGTCACCTCTGACAGGCCTGGAGGAGGACCTGTCAAAGGTGACAGAGACCAGAGACCAGAGCTGGACAGTGAGACCTGGGACATCCCAATGGCCAAGGACACCTCTGCCTTCATCTGCTTCCTCTGAGGATTGAGGGAGTGACTTATGTTCTTTTATATGATTTTTGTGTCTAGATTATGATTGTTATATTGATACAGCAGACTGTGTGCTATTCACCCAGTCCAGGTCATATTGTATTGTAAGTTTTTTGTTTTGATTCTTATAGATTGCACTGCACTGATTCTGCTTGCAGAAGTCCTTTGCCATTTGAATGACAAATTCTGTACTACTGTAATAAAGTAATCCTACTAAGGAAAATAAAGCTTAAATTCTAACTCTAATTTATTGCTTTCATGATTCTGCCTAAGATCTCTAAAAGAAACACTCTGTCTCAGTGTCTGGTGACCTCATGAAAAGTGAGTAATTTGCTTACCTATTCCTGTAGTGCTTTCTGTATTAAAAAAGAACCTTCTTCTATCTTCAGGCCAGTTCAGCCTTTCCTCCAAGTGCTCTGTTATATTCAGGTAGGCTTCATCTAGGCCCATAGGCATAAAATTGGGATCATATTCAGCCAGTATTTCTCTAACCTCAATAAATACATAGTAAAAGTTTAAAGCCATGTCGCTATAAGAGCAGATCTTGACACAAAATCAGGACATGAACAAATATACTCAGAAACTTCCAGATGATCAATAAATAATAAAGATACTGACAATACAAATTATTTCTTGATATTGTAAAATTACAGCAATGCTTCTCCAAGTAGTGAGATATTAATAGTAGGTGAGAACTAAACAGATTTTGAGCAGTGTATTTAACAGCAAAGGGTACTAAGATAAGTGTATAAGGACTGCACAGCCACTGGGTTCACTGACACTACAATAACCATCTGAATAAAACTCTGAGGACATGGAAACTCAGCAAAGCAGATAAACTGATGACATTTTCTGTGCTCAGTGTGTCAGATATCACATACACAAAGGTTAAAGAAATCCACTAGCAACAAAAAAATCCTAAGTTTTAAATTACATTAAATTGAAGTTACAGAAAATATTTCAGAGCAGTGGTTAAAGCCACAGGCAAAACCCATTGGAAAAACTTTAGTTATAAGTCCATTTTTCTAGAAGGAAACAAAATAAAAGGTCAAAACAAAAGCTCTACCTTCTCTCTTTTTTTTAAATCTGGAGGAAAACCTGACTATGTTATGATTTTTTCTATGTTTTTTCCTATCAGTTTGAGTCAAGCTCTTAGGTATTACAAGATTTGTCCACATGACTATGTTATGATTTTTTCTATGTTTTTTCCTATCAGTTTGAGTCAAGCTCTTAGGTATTACAAGATTTGTCCACATGCACTTCATCTTTCTGAAACTGAATGAAGATAGGATTCACTATGAACTTTAAAAGACAAAATGAAATAAATTTAACTATTTTCAATCCAAATCCCAAGAGAAAAAAATAACTAAAAGGCCAGACCAAGCCAGATCTCTAATTATTTAATACTTTACCCTATCAAACAACAAATGAAATAAGCATTGTGAAATACATATAATGAAATCCAAGATCCTTAAGTTCAAACCCATTCTGAAATATGGCATATTTATATATGCCTTTTTTTTTCAGATGTGAAAAAAATAAACTAATATCTTACTTTATATTTGTACATTTGTTGCTTCATAAAAATAAAGAAGGACTGACACAATTTTTTTAAAGTCAGGAGATTTGTGCCATGCACTAGTTTGATTAAAATGTACAAAAGACCTCTTATCCTTTTTTTTTTAAGAGGCTTTTATCTATCATAACTATTTCCTCTGGCACTAAGTAAAACTACTTCCATTAAAGCAAAACATTATTTATTTTCTCCGTATTTCTTTTGCTTTATGAAGTCCCTTATTTTTTAAAAAAATCAATTTGCATTTATAAGTCACTAATGCTCTGTTTTTCTCTCCAGTAATTAGCATTCAAAAGTACGATTACACATTGCATGAAATTATCATCTCCACGTCTCCTAGGTACTTGCAACTTCCTAGAAACTAGATTATGTTCCATGATTTTAACTTTTAAGAATAATAAAACTCAAGAGATTTTCAAAACGTCTATCAGCAACACTACTAACTTCAGTAGAATTGACAGACTGGGTAAACAGCTTTTTCATCTCCTTGTCCAAGAGTACCAATATTTTGTTAGGCTTATGTTTAAAGCTGCATTACTGAAGAATTTAATACTTAAATTATCACTTTTTATACTATTTAGAACTGATGTTATTGACACAGGCTAAAAACAATACACTCACTTTTGGTTAGAGACCACTTTCAGACTTACCTCTCTACTCACTTTGCCGTATTTTTCAAAGTTTAGTGGTACTATAGTTAGATGTGGACATAGCCTTTTAGCAATAAATCCAGGCATGGCTGCACGCACCCCGAATCTCCTAGCATGGTAATTTGAGGTGGACTTAAGAGAGATTAAGTAAGTTTAGTGTTCAGTAATCAAACTTTAAGTTTAGAATTAAATAATAAAATTCTAATCATGTATCTCCATACAGAAAAGACTAACAAAGCCAATACTTTATATACATTTTCACTCCCCCTCTTCCTGCCTTTTCATTTAAATATGCTTACATACTTTAAATTTTAACTAGTACACTTTTTTACTGAAAAATCCAGCTTACATGGTCAGGTCGAACAATTGCTGTTTCCTTTATTATTTTTGGGTTTTCCACACTTCATATAAAACAGTGTCATTATATTTCTGCTATTTTTTTATGGTTTATTAGGCTTAAGGTTCATGCAATTGATTTTTGTATTAGTTTAACATTCAGCCTTACCAACATACTCATTGATCCCACTGCTATAGGTTTTTTCTTCAGCTCTGGATTGTCTCTCATTTCCACAGCTGCATAGAAGGCATCCATGTCAATGTGTACAATTGTACTGCTAAGGTTACGGTTCTGTTCCAGTTCTATCACAAGTCTGTCCACCTGAACAGAATAAACCAGTCATTTAAATACTACTAACCTGGCAGAAGTGCAACAGTATAGATGATCCTAAAACTCAGATGAATCTTGCATATAGTTAGAGAAAAAAACCTCAACAAATCAAATCCCCACCAAACCAGTACCAACTAAAAATCCCAAAAAAGCTTTGGAGGAAACTTGTTCTCAGAGAGAATGCTGCTGCAGCAATTGCTGAAAAAAAATCACCCCAAAACCCAATGGAAAAAACCACAGCTGTTGTGGTTTAGCCCCAGCTGGCACCTAAGCTCCTGCAGCCACTCAATCCCTCATGGTGGAAGAGTCTGAAGAATAAAAATAAAAAAACCCATGGGTTGAAATAAAGACAATTTATCACAGAAAACAAAAACTGTGCATGCAAGTAAATCAAAATAAAGAATTCATTCTTTGCTTCCCATGGGCAGGCAAGTGTTCAGCCATTTCCAGGAAAAACAGCTTAATCATATGTAGGAGTCACTTGGGCAGACAAATGCCATAGCGGCAAAGCTCCATCCTTCACTCATCTACATCCCACTTTGTAAGCTGAGCCTGATGCTCTATGGTCTGGGATATTCCTGTGGTCATTTGGGGTCAGCTATCCTGGCTGTGTCCCCTCACAGTCCTTGTGCACCCCCAGCCTCCCACTGGTGGGGTGGGGAGGAGCAGAAAAGGTCTTGGCTCTGTGCAAGTGTTGCTTGGCAATAGCTAAGTATCTCTTCATTATCAACACTGCTTTCAGCAGAAAACCAAAATGGCCCCATGTGAGCTGCTGTGAAGAAAATTAACTATCCCAGCCAAAACCAGCAGATAACCCTACCCACCAAACAACAAAACTCCACATAACATGACAAAAAAAGATGTATTTGAGTCAAACAAACTTTGTAAGACCCTTTAGTATGAAGTTTTACTTAAAAGTACTTAGTTTTAGAAATGCAAGTTGTTTAAAAAAACATGAAAACATGCTATTAAACAATTTCCAGCATTCCTAAATAAAGCTATCACACTTCAAAAAATTGGCCTAGAATGGTGAAGAGAAGATCAGCAGCTCACAGGACACATCCATCTATTTTGTCTTATTTGCCAGAAATAAGGTCTCAAACATCCATGTTCTATTACCACAAAGTAAGCTACTGTCAATCCCCCAGGTAAAAGTCCCCAACTTTTGTCACAGGAACCCATATCATATAAGGCTAGATTGCTAAGAAGAGTGCAAGTTATTTACAGAATAGTCTATACACGAAGTGTGTTTCACTCCAAATGTTAAAGATGTATGTCTGTGTGAGCAGTACTGTTTCATCAGCTCCATGGTGTTTTGAGGCAGATTGCTTTACAAAGTACTTTGTGCTTAAAATGCTTGTGTTTTTACCAAAAGTCATACATATCATGTGCTTGTTCCTGAAATACTGTTGGCCTATGAATAAAGTATGAGCTGTGCTGTCATGAAAAATTGTGAAATATTTGACAAGGGATTTTTATTATAACTATGTTGGCAGCAACATCACACATCATTCTAGAAGAGAAAATACAGGAAAAAAATCCCAAAAGAACATGCCGTGAAAATAAGATTACCTAATCATATTCATGACTAGGCAACCTTAATCTACACAACAAAAGGCTGCTACTGCTAGTAAGAAGTCCCAATAGGCTTCACAACAAGATAACACAGCAAGAAATGGAATTAGCAAAAATGAACCAAAGTTTTACTTTGCTTGCAGGCACAAGGACACACACACTCTCGTGACATCAGGGTACCAGTACAGAAATGTCTCTGGACTGACTATAATGCATTTGTAGTTCTGGAGAGGAATGTTTACATGCAATTTGCATGGTTCTTCTCTTTTTTACTTCCCTCAACAGAATTGCTTAATAAAAAAACATAAAAACCTCATCCACAAGAACCGTCTTTGAGCTCAAAACACTTCAACCAAGGCAAGTGAGCTTGGAATTTTCTATTTAAATTGCTGATTAATAATTTACAAAGTCTTAGTTTTTTTCCAAGTTGCTACAAGGGATGAAATGCTAGAGAGCCTTAAACTAAGCTACTCAATACAAAAGAGCACAGTATGTTCTCTGAGGCTGAGAAAACTAGTTCAGACAGATTAAACATACAAAGGGGAAGCCATTCAAAGAAACAGACAAAAACCAAATAGAAGTGGTGTATTTACATTATTTCCATATAGTACTAATTCAAAAGGATTCAAGTCACAATTCATCAAAAACATCCTTATTTTAAATTCTACTTTAAAGATAATTTTCAGGTTGCTCTCAAATTCAAGTTGTGTAATTAATACTATCAAGTGCTGCTCTAGTAGCATAACTTCTGCATTTCAATTTATCACGTTTATAACTAACTTCTGGTTTGCTTTTTCTCCCTAAATATATTGCTAACATCACACTTACTGATTAGCTAACATACACATCTAAAGAATGAAGCAAAATTACATAAAACTAATAAATACAAAAAGATTACTCTTCAGCAAAAGAAACTGATACAAGGATTATGCCAAAACAAAACACAACCAGATCTACCCAGAGAATTCTTGGCACCTACAAAACTCCTTAAAATTTGTGGAGTAATTCCTTACATGCAAGCCAGGCTGACAAGTATTTAAAAGCTGCTTTCAATAAACATTTGTAAAGTAGAGATACTTTTTAATATATATTTTTAAACTAGGCTAAAAAAACACCAAACCACCAAAGAACCAAAATTAGAAGTTTAATTTTCCTTATAACTGCTTTTAGACAATTTGAAGAGTAACTTCTCCTTTTTTTCTTATCCCACAGTAGAATATATAAGTTTTCAAAGCAAGACAGAAAAGTCATTAAAAGCAAGACAATGGTAATTATTTACAGAATAAACATCCGGGATAAACCCGACATGGATGAAAAAAAACAGCAAACATCAGTACAGCAGTTTCCAAATATGGCAACAGCTGCACACTTTTTAATTTATTACAAATTACTGCTGAACCTCAAGGAGTTCCACACATTTTAATGGCAAAAACAACAGTATTGTGTTGCAGACTCTACATTTTATTTGTATTACTGTTTCCACCATGTAACCAGGATTTTGTCCAAAAGTCCAGTATATGGAGATGTTTTGGTTTGGTTTTACCTTACAGGACTTAATTCAACTGCCAGCTTAGGAATCCATGCCTGAGCCTCTAACCATCCTACAAACAAGACTTCACTTGCAGACGAGAACACGCAGTGTTCATAGAGGTAGATATACAGATACCTTTCTAATTCCAGAATACTTCCCATTCACAATTTTAGCAGAATAGGCTCTCTTATCAGAAGGCAGTAAAAGAAGAGTCAAAAACTCAATAGATAAGAACAACAGAGAAGATGATAGTAAGAACTGACTATATCCACAACTGATTGGAGCTGATTAAACAACACACAGCAATTATTAAGAAAACCAAACAAGACAAAGCAAAAGGTGAAGGCCTCGGGAGATGTAGCTGGCGGGTAAGAAACAGAAAAAGGGCAAGGTATTTAGAATATCAAATACAGAGAGAGAAGACTGGCTTCAAGTTCACAGATTTCAATGAGGACTCTGGAACAAGGACTGTTTTGTAAAGAGGACTGACGGTGATCTGTGAATGTGGGACAAGAAACAAAAATTCAGGATATGACAAATTAAAAGAAAGCAGAGGAGAGAGCAAAACGATCAGAATTTGTGCTGGGAGAATAACGGCAGCAACAATCATAAACCAGAGTTTATGTGTATACAGAGAATAGAACAAAAATCCAATGTTTTTACAGAAGTAAGGATCTCAAATTAGCCAGCAAAAAAGTGTGCCTACTATACTCCTCTAATGACATTTCTCATGCAGTATGACCACTGATTTTACAGTTTATTTATTGGAAATAAAGATGACTGCTACTTCAGCAAGAAGCATAAAGGTTTCAAGCATGGAATTTGAAACCCAAGTCCCAGTAAAAGACATACGAGATAATTTAACTTAAGTTTCTTTTTTCCTCTATATAAATCAGTTTTCGTAAGAAACATTAAAAGATTGTAAAATTATATTGCAATATCAAGGAATCAATTTCCAAAAAAGACAACATGAAGATAGACAAAGCAACAGAAATTTTTTGGTTTCCACAAAGTGCACTACATATTCTCTCATTACATAACTATATAATAACATTATTTATAAAATTTGTGTTATTAATGTAATTCATCCTATAAGATAGACTATTCTCTGTAAAATAAATAGTTCCCTGGTGAAGGTAGGATGGAAACAGAAGCATTTTTTCTGTAATTATATTACATAAAAGCTACATTAACTAACTGAAAAAACTCTGGACAAGCAGAGTTTGTCAACAATCTGCTTGTTGACCAACAATCCAGGTTTAAGATTCACTGAAAACAATTGTGACACACAGGCTTACAACAAACTTTTCAGAGGTACTCAGAATGGCAAACTTTTCTTGGAACAAATTTGAAACACTGGCATCTAAAGTACTGAAGTGGTTTGTAAACCTGAAATGAACAAAAAAGGTTGTACACCAAAAAGTGCTCAACCTTTAATCCTCACAATGGCACTGAAAATCAAAGGATGTGTTTAATCTTCATGTGTTTCAGCTCTCCATCTACAAATAAAAAAAAATCGATCTACTTTGCTGGAATATTGCAAGAATTAAGAATTCACAGCATGTGGTGTACAATATAAAAAACTCTATTAGGAAATCAGTAATTCTGTATTCAAAACTGGAGTTCAACAAATAAAGCTTAGAGCCACCCATCGAACATTACGGACAATGGTAAAGAGTGAATAATTTGCCCCTCAGTGAACACAATCTGCTATGTGCAGTGAATAAAACAGGAATCCTGTCAAGGAAAACTAGCAAGCAATCATTTAAGACTGAATCACAGCAAAAATGAAAATGGAAAGGAATTCAGCTCCTACAAACAATTTTAACTCTGTAGTGCCTAGTAATGTTTGGTGTGCAACCTTTCTTTTAATGTTTCATACACTGTAATACTTTGGAGACTACAATCTATCATTTGAAAAGAAGAACAGCCTCTTCACCTGCCTAGTTCCGGACACTTGCATTTCTTTTGACTGCTTCCCATGATGATTTTTATTAATTAGCTTAAAACAGGCATATTATTGACAACTCTGATCTTTCTCATCCCATCACAGGCCACTGGACACAAATATATGTAAATTCCAAGCTCAATAGTGATATGATACTTATTAGCAAAGTATTTAACAAACCTTTACATAAATCATAATGACATAACTTCAAATTCATCAGACTTGGAAACACAGGAATTGATTTGTTTCATTTTACTCATTTAGAGAACATTTCAAAATAATTTTATGAACTATTCTTCTTACAAGTTTATATTAAGATGACCGTCAAAATAGTGTGCAGTTTTCCTTGTATGTCTAACATCAAATGGTAGTTTAACATTGTGCCTGCTGGCAAAATTTAATGCAATAAACCAGAACACACCAAAATCTTTATGACCCAACATTTAGCCCAGTATGTCTTTAGAAGACCAATACCTGCATCTGTGCTTTCAAGAGCTGTTGTGCTGTAATTTTCTCTTTCAGCTGCATCATTTTTTCAATTCGTTGGTTAACTTGTTGATCTTTCTTAAGTTCATTTTCATAAAATTTAGACCCCTGAAAGAAAAAAAAAAACACAAAACCACCGTGTTTTTCTTTTTGGCTTTACCTTGTCTTTATGCAACCACTTTTGATCTTTAAATACAGAAAACATAGAACACAGAGATGGTTTCTAATGCATGCTTTGGATTTTCATATAAAAAAAGATCACTGGTTCTTTACATCTCTTCAAATGACACATATATTTCTCCTGCACAAAGGAGTTTAAGGAGTTATTTAAAGAACTTTGTACGTTTATTTAGCCTAACAGTTGACAATAAAAATTTTGAAAGAGTAGAAAAAAGTCAAACTATTCTTTGCAACACCTCCAAGATATGGATTACTAAGTTCTAATAAAAATTTATTTTAGCATTTTTTCAGACTTCCAATATTAAGCTATATTTATTATAGCTTAATAAATATGGAAATACATAACGACATTGTATAAGTCAAATTCACTTGTAATGTTGAATATTTTGTTGGCCATTTAATCTTGAAGGACACTGCAGAATCATAAGCTACTTGCAAGAGGATGATGAAAACCAAATGAGTATAAAAGTAGCCCTGTTGCTCTTACATATGTAATTGTTCCTTCAAAAAAAGGCATGAATACAAGGAGATGTAATAAAAAGACATGTTATAATGTGACTCTCCCTCTTGACTCAGAACAAAGAAAGGAGGGCATATAATGAAGCAGAAAAATTCAAAACTAGGAAATGAAGTATTTTTCTTGCAATATGTCTTAGCTTACAAGTGAAATAATATTTGCAAGAAATCTTTTGTCAATCTACTTGGAAAAATCTGCAAAAATGAACAGATCTTTAGGTCAAAATGCCTGACCACCAAACTGTCACTGATACCAAGAATTCAGCCATAGTCAACTCAGATTCAAGCATTTATATAAAAAGCAAAAATATCCACTTTCATAATAACTATAAAAAAGATGATGGCAGAGCTGTAATATGTCATGTTTCATTAGAAGTAACATCTCATTAGAAAAAATTAGGGTGTGTTTTCTTTGAATGTCAGATATGCCCTTTATCTTTTCTCCCCTATGCCATCAAATATGGCTTGCTGAGACTCACTGAAAGAAATGAGTGCCAAAATGTAGGTGTAGAAAACCACAAAGTTATTGAGATTATTAGTAAGATTTTATTTTTTTTCTTTATTTCTCGCAGTATTTCACAGTTGAAATGCTATAAACCTTCTTGCAGTTTGTGCAAGTGTGTACATCACAGCAGGTGGTGTCATTTTAAAGATTATAGAAAAGCTTAAGGAAAAAAATCAATGCTTCTTTTCATATTTCTTGATGTGTAACAGGCAATTATAAACCCTTCCACTTTTTTGACAGAAATATAGTCTAGTAGTCAGACGCCTGTATGTCAGTTTTGAAAGCCTATTTTATAGTTCACTCAATTTCATACCAGGAAATAAAACAGTAATTGCAATAACAAAATATTTTATGTAAGTATCATTATCTGGGATATGTCTGACAAAGCACTATTTTTCAGAATGAGTGAACACAATATATAGAAGAAACATCAATAATGAGCTAGATAGCATATAAAGTATTATCAATGTGAAACTGCAAGCAAGAAAGGGAAAAAGCTTGCTACGTAAGAACTGTTTGCAGCATGTTTTCTCTCTCTCTCCTCCTTTCTCCCTCTGTCCCACCACTGCAGATCACTGCAGAGCAATATTAGTCAGTACAGAATGCATGAGGAAAACATCAAAGCACATAATCTTCAGGCCATGGTGACACCAAAAAAATACACATTTGTGCAAGGAAAAGTAAGAAAACCCTGAGCTTCCCAGATAAAGTGTTATCCCTACATTGTTCTATTGGAACTCTCCAGTAACAACTAGGATGACAAATATTTCAATGGTTTGAAGAGTTGTGAGGGTCTCTGTGGATCTTTAGTATAAAGCTGCATGCTATTGGCCACTTCTCTGGCATACTGAGAAGACAGTCAGAAAGACAGGCAGCAAAAACTTGACTATAAAAAAAACTTGATTATATCGAATTCATCAGTTACAGGAAGGTGACCAAAAGAAGTAAATCTGCTTGGCTGATAAATGATGGGGTGGACAAAAGGAATGGAAAGGGGGAAAAAAAGAGGAAGATGCAGTCTTCACAATTACCTCTGGAAAATGCTGTAGTATTTATGTACTGCTTTGGACAAAAAGGGAGCACTTAAGCCTATACTCAGTTGTCCTCCCCCATGTCCTTGTGGATGAATCCAACAATACTCTGAAGTACACTAAACTATGGCCCCTTCTCCTTCCTCCCCACATATAAATTTCTTCTAAGAAGATGCTACCCATATACACATGTGAGGGATAAAACTTGGGGAAGGAAGAGGGCCTTAAAACACTGGACCACAAATAAAGCATCAAGAAAAAAGTAATCAAACCAACCTTGGTAGCTTCCATGATGATTTTATTGATTTTCTCCTTATCCAAACCCTGCATTCCAGCTTTGTTATCATTAAGGCCCATTCTAAGTAGAACTCCATCATTGCAAGAGCTGTTAGAAACTTTTTGCATGTCCATTGTATTTCTTGAAAACAAGTACCTGTTTTATGACTTAATATCTGAAAAAAATAGTAAAATATTTATGTTTCAACTGAATAACAACAATAATTGGATTAGTCATTAGTTTTATTTATCATAAATATGAAGACTTATATTCCTACAGAGTGGCTGACCTGCCACACACACCACATCAAACCACCTATAACCTATCAGTGTTTCAAGACGGAAAAGAGAGTACTCTCTTTTCTCATTAAATTAAAACCATTTTCCTTTAAAACCTCCCTTACACAAATAAGTGAGCACAAACCAGCCCCAGGTAAAAGCTAGTACCTTTATATGAAGTGGACTATATACCTTTATGTGAATGGACATTCACTATACCTTACATATGAACACGACTTTTGTGCCTGTACATTACCCTGTCAGATGAAACATTACCATCTTACACACAAAATACTGCTCACTATTACATTAAAAGAAAAAAAAAAATTACAATATCTTTACATTGAAGAAAACCACTGCTCATTTGGTCATCATCCCTGCCTGAGTCAACCTGTAGAAATGTAATTTTCAATAATTTCTAGCTCAAATTTAGCACAATTTTTTTGTGTCAAAACCCCTATTCTAAAATCAGATGGCTTCAATTAAAAGTTTTTAATAAAACCTTAATTCAGGATAAAATTTGTGCACTTTTTTTTTTTATGTGTTGAGCCATGGTATCCAACTGGTGCAACTTACCAAGTCATCTGTAATTTCTTATACATGCAGATACTTCTGACACCTTCCCTTGTTCTTTATGAAAGTAAATTGCTGAATCCTCAATAGGATCTTATTATATGGTGAACTGTTTAGTTATTAAATTAATCTCAAAAAAATAAAGAAAGCAGATTTCATCTTCTGTACCATGAACCAGTGGTCTTATTTTAGCCGATTCAAATAGGCAGACTCACAGATTAGTTTGAGTTGGAAGGGACCTTTTAAAAGTCACCAGGTCAGACCCTCTGCAATGAGCAGGGACATCTTCAACTGCATCAGGTTGTTCAGAGCCCTGTCCAACTTGCCATCAGATGTTTCCAGCCATGGGGCGTCTACCACTTCTCTGGGCAACCTGTCCCAGTGTCTCACCACCCTCACTGTAAAAACATATCTAATCTATACCAATCCTCCTCAGTAAAACCATTATCTCTTGTAATACTGCAGGAGGCCCTACCAAAAAGTCCAAGTGTGATAATGCCATAAATTATTTAACATGTATTCATTACTGGAAAAGCACACAGAAACCATTTCTTCCTACCCCAAGTCACTGACTCATAAACCACTCGTTTTATTGTCAGGCAGAATGGACATTCAACCGTCAACTTTACCGTGTTCCCTGTGACAAGAACCCTTGCTATTTGGAGAAACCCCACCCTTTTAGGCAAATACACTAGTTTCCTTAATCACAAAATACACAAACATGAGTGTCATTTTTCCTTTAAATGCCCCTTTCCCATGCCAGAACTTAAGTCGGCCTCATTATCAACCAAACACAAGAAAGTCATTATGTGTTTTTGCATTTAGAGGCGAATTTTTGTTACTAAAGAACCACACGAGTAACTTCTAAAAATTAATGATGGCAATGTTCATATTTTCCTGAAGTTCTTCTACTAAAACATACTAGCCAACTGAAGGCAAGATATTAAAGAAACGCATGTTTACAAAAAAGGCAAGATATTAAAGAAACGTTTTGCATTCTGTCAAAAACACACCATTTCAATCATATGCTGTTAATTCACATTACTATCCATGGTGTCTGCTGAAAAATGCAAGATCAGTTACATAATGCTCTCTTTATATACAGTGTGTTGTATTACAAAGAACATAAGTTGATGTAGAGATCAGGACCCTTCTCTTAATTCTTTGGTAGCACTTGAGCTTCTGGGAATGGGAGTGGCTTCATAGCTCTTATGTATGTTTATCAAATAAAAGACTACAATGCTGAACATCTTCACAAATTTTTCAGCTGCAGTAGGACAATCTCTTACATTTAGCAAACACATTTATCAGAAGAGGTTTGCTAGACTTCAATCAAAGCAAAAAGCACTGCATCCCAACTACCATTACAAATTTCATCTGATGCTTATAAGCACCCCTGTATAATTATCTCCCAGTAATTCCATGGTTACTGGCAATCTCTGGTAAGCGACAAGCAACATTTCCCAGGAATACTTTCATCAAAGTAAATATTCCTCCACTATTCTCCCTGCTTCTTTTATCATCATTGCATTCAAGAAACAAGAATAAACACAAGATTGCTTCCATTTTTCAAAATTTTTTTAGCAGTTCCTTATTCCTGAAAGTGTCTTACTCCCTAACATGCACAAATCTTTCCTCTTCCTCATTCAGAGCACTCTTAAAGGCTCAGTATATAGCAGAGGCTTTAAAAACTAATTTGTTAGTCAAAAGAAAGTCTTCTCTATCTCATTGTTACATATCTAACAATAAAAAATTACTATGATAATCACAGTGATGGAAAAAATTATTTTCTTTATAAAGTCTCATAAATGGTGATCACCACTTATGAGTGTGGTGTATTTTATCTTTGAGCTTATTGTGTGGAACAAAATATATTGCTTGTCTCAGATGAGAAAAGGTATAAATAGCAAATAATACCTTAGCAGAAATTAAGAAGAAAATATGTACCTGAGGACATGACATTTGTGACCCACCAGAGCTTACAGATGTACAGAAAGGAAAACATGAATAACAGGTGATACAATTTCTAGCTGCTTAATATTAAAAGAACCTGAACATTATCTTAGTTTCAAACTAACAGGTCCGGAAAAAAATTCCATAAAATATTTAACATATTGAAATGAATCACAATAGCTACCACAAGACAACTGATATAGAACTGTCAGATAAAGCCAGTCCTCATTTGCCACAGATGAAAATGAAAATATTTAAATGTAACAGAGAAGCAGCAGAGTTTTCAACTGTGCAAAATGTGAAAAATATGTCAACATAGTAACTGTTTCAATTAGGCTAGAGAAAACACTAAACTTGTGGTGACAATTTTTTTCCTAAAAAAATTTGGAAAAAGTGGGTAAGGAATGAAAATCTAATGAAACAGTCTACACACAGTGACATGCTTTTGGCATACTGTTACCTCAAGAAGCTGTTGCGAGACAAAGCTGTTTCCTCTACAAAACATGACATCTCCCTCAGTACCATACTAAGAAAGTAGGATGTGAAACCAGAGGAATCTATGATGGTAGTCTACAGTAATATACTACCCTCTTATTCCTGTAATTGGGGAATGAGGGGAAGCAGGAAAATCATATGTAAGTGGAAGGAGATAACTTTCCAATTGCTAGGGAAGGACTTCTACTTTGGCAATGAATCTCAACATTCAATGTAAAGCAAACCACCAAACAAGCAAAAACATTGAGAAGAACCACAAAATACCATTACTGTGTAGAAAGTTTCATGAGTAAGCTGTCATGCCTACAAGTGGGAAAAGATCATTAATTACCAGTAATCAAGCTCTTCTAGAATGAGGCACAGAAACTAAACTAACTAGTAAGACAGGATTATATAATATGTGAAAGTGTCAAGAGATTGAAACAGCAATAAAATCAGAGCAACAATTTAATTTCAAGTGTCTCTACCTTCATTTAAATTTAGCATTTTTTGACAGTTGAACCAATATAAAGGAAATGGCTAGTATTTGATCCTGTGAAACTCTTCCATCTTGTCTTCATTAAAAATCCTTCAATTCCAGCAACTTAAACTCTGTATACAGTATGAGAAGTTAAATGTCTTCATATTACAGTTTCCATGTAATAAAATAATGCAAAATATATGATATTTGTATATAAGAATATTCAATTCAGTAGGCGCAGTGCTATTATGTACATTATTAACATTTGCAAATTATGTTAACAGTTCATCTTTTGTTGACCATGTTAACAACATGGGAAGAACTATCAAGACTGGAAAATGACACTAGTATGGAAAAGCTTGAAAAATAGTTTATTTGCATGCTGAGTTATTGTTTAATGCATGTAAGTTGTGTACTTGTCCTCATAATTAAAACAAATTCTGATATCTTTGCTATCACATATTCTCATGACCATGTGAACTGCAAAGCAGTTACTAAGAGACACAATTGTCTACTGAGCCCAGAGCCCAAAAACTCAAAAAGGAATCCAAACATATAGTACAGACATAAAAGACTGTCTTTTACACCCTAATTATCCTAAGTAAGTCTCCATGGTATGCAAGAAGAATTGAAATAAATGTTGCAAATAGCAACACAAATAATAGAGACTCTTTCCCTGATGATCTTTTAAATATTATCCTTAGGATGTCTAAAACAAGCATCTAAATGAAATATTTTTCTTAATTTCTGTAAAACTCATAAAAGCCACCAATAGTATTGCATCAAAATCTGATACATCATTTACTGTAGCAAGAGCCCAAAATAAACTTCCTATTTTCTCTCAATTAAAACATTTCAGATATTCCTTTATTTAAAGGCATGTTCAAGGAAGCATATCAGACTTCTAATATCTGCTCAACTCCTCAGGGTGTTTGATTTTTACTAGAGGCTTGGCTTCTGAATGGCCCTGAGAAGACTCCTGTCGATTCTAATCCTGTAGTGATTTGCAAGGAAAAAACTGGCAGAAGGAACTGCACAACAGTGTTGTCAGCATTTAATACATATACATTTAACATACATGGTGTTAACCACATAGATTCCTAGCTAGTCTGTTCAAAACTACTGTTTCACTACTCTCTCTCTCTCAAAATACAACACAAACGAGTTCCTTAGAAAAAAGAATCTTTCAATAAAGATGTAATATCTTTACAAATGTAATAAGCCAGAGCACATGATAATATTGAACAGAAAACTGGGCTAGAATTCATGGAAGTGAGAATTCCAAGTGCTCAAGCTGACACATATCAAATGAGAGTACTTTTAAAGTAGCAGATGACACAGCATTTTACAAAAATGTAGATCCCATACAAGCACCTGGAGTAGCCCTGAAAAAATAAAGTCCTAGAATTATGTTTTCTGTACATTCACCAACTTTAAGATGCAACAAATTACAAGCAAATCCATCTTTTAAAACATTAAATAATTCACACTTAAAGTCAACAGTTAATAGAGACTGCTTCTGATAATGTTCAAAAATAAATGTCAAAATATTTTATGTCATTCACCAATCTGTCTGGATAATTCTTTGCTTATGTGAAGAGTGACACAAGTAAAATAAGTGGAATACTCACCCCTATCAATTTTCTGTAGGCAAGATGCAAAGCTATTCTGTTCTAAATTCTACTTTCGGTTTCTCTGCCAAAAAATACTCATGTCTTTAGAACATCTAAGTTTATTAGAAGTGTAAAGAACCATGGTATCTTATTCTGCCTCTGTTCAGTATTTTAAAGGACCTTTTCAACTCAATGCTTTATCTCAAGTCTTTAACTAAGTTTTCCTTGTGCTTCTAGATTACTGAAAACAAAGGCTTTAGTAGTTTAATTCATAAAGAAAATAATGAAGGATCTGAACACTCATCAGTAAAAACTACACTAGAGATAGTGCAGTTATCTGCAACTGGGCTTCTACAGACATATTTAGTGCCAACGGATTCATATATGGTTGTTTTGGGTTTTTTTTACTTAGAAATAAAAGCCTAATACAGTGATTCACAGAGAGCAAAACTGTTTTAGAATAAAGTGTCTGAATCATTAATATTTCTAAGCCTATGCTATTAAGCAATATGCTGTGGCATAACAAAGCTCCTTTAAGGATCCTCCTAAGAAAAATAGTCTTAAATTTCTGTCCTGGCTTGTAAAATAAGCATGTATTCTATTTTTGCCATCTGTTGGGGGTTAGGCAGTTTTTCTTATCTCTTTCAAGAACAATGACACTGCCAGGAAGATAATCTCCTGCTAATGGGCTATTGAATTACTCACTGTGGCTGGTAAGATTAGTTACATCATCCCATTGGGAGATGCTCCACCCAGAGGGAGGAGCCAAGCATCACTGCCACCATAAAACAAGCACTTCTGAGACCACAGACAGCCTTCTTCGCTGGATTTCCGAGAGGAATCAGGAACCGAGGCCCAGCTGCTCCTTCGCCGCATTTTCGGAAGGGATCTACACCCTTCTGCAGATCGCCGCTCCAGGAGGAGCAGCCACCATTTGGCTGGACTGCTATCAGCACCCTGACTTCTCAGGGTGCCAGGTCTTTTCTCACTCTGCCAGTGGTTGTTTTGCTTGTGTTAAATTACATTGTTATTTAGTTTTTTTCTTCCTAGTAAAAAAACTGTTATTCCCATTCCCATATCTTTGCCTGAGAGCCCTTTTAATTCTGAAGTTGTGATAATTCGGAAGGAGGGGGTTTACCTTTTCCATTTCACAGGAGGCTTTTGCCTTCCTTCACAGACTCCTGTCTTTTCAAACCAAGACAATTTCACAACAAACATAATAGTAAGCATGAACACACTAGAAAGTGACGGAGATTCTGTTTTAAAAACATGAAATAAACACCCTAAAATAGAATGTATCGGAGCGGAAAAAAGATACATAAAAAGGGAGAAAAAAAAATGTATTTATAAAGTTACACACTTGACAGTGCTTATTATGACTGACATTCCAAGCAGCAAAACTCATTTTTGTAGTATGAGTAGTATACACAACAGTAATACAGAACACTATCTGTTCCGCTGTTCTAAAAAAGATGAGGACTATTTCCACTTAAAACAGTAATTGGCAAACTTCTTGCAATCCCTATGACTCTAGAATGGTACAGACTGAGTACAGAGACACTTGCTATGAAAGAACAAACACAGCAATAAATCACAAAATAAAGGTTCAGTAGAAGAGATATAGAAGGAGTTAAAGACGAGCCAGTGCATCTGGAAACTAGTACGATTTTCTACATTTCCTATGCTTTGGTTCGCATCCCAGATTGGTCTTGGCACAGGCAAACCTGATTCTTTTCAAACAATATGTAACTGGAACACTACTTTTCCAGAGCATACCTGCTAAACCACAATTGTTAATGTAGTGCCTTCCAAGGGATCAAACAACTGTAGTCTGAAAAAAACACCTCTCAAAACGCAAGAAGAACTTCAAGTCCTCAGCGTGAAACCTTTTGTTTACAAATCTATTCCCACTGCACCCCATGGTTGCTGAAAAGGGTATGGCCTTACCTCATTAAGAGTGACAGACAGTATGTTATGCTTCTAAAAAATGGTCAGAACATTGGAAAGAAAGGTAATTTACACACGGCATTCACAATTGCAGTTCAGCTTTTGGAAGAACATAAGCTGGTGATGCTGTGTTGAAAAACAAGATCCATTGGGAGCATGCGGCAGATGTAAACAAAAACCTAATACCTAGCACAGCCAATGCATTAGATGAAAAGCTGAACATGCAAACCTTTAAGCATTCAGCATTTTTCCACTTAAAGTTTGTAAAATGCTAGCCACAATTAATAAACAAAACAAATACTCTCTCTAAAAAGGATGGGTATGTTTGTTGAACAACCCGAGAAAATATCTACCCAACGCATTCGTAGAACTGATTGATTCAATGTTCGGGGGGGGGGAAAGAAAAAGCAAGCTTCCTCTGTAACTAAGCGAATAGTTTCAGATCAAAAGCATGACAAGAAACGTCTTGCGCACATGCTACTGCCACTGCCAAAAGGACTTGCTCAGACATGTCTCTTCAGCTCCTGCTCCTGAAAAGTTCATTCGGAATTTAAATGGGAAAACACAACTGGCTTTACAGGTAATGCCAACTAACTTTGACAACATATCGCAGAGAAGAAGTATAAATTATTCTCACACATATCGATACTTACAAAGCCTGCTTGACAAATACAATACATTGAAACCAACGCTAAGGAGAAAAAATATGCACTTGGTTTCTTCTCAAAAACGTAGTGAATTGGTTTTTGGCAAACTGTCTAAAGCAGCACCCACAGTAGACTTCTGTAGAAGTTTTTTCCTGTACATTGCAGTGATTACACAAGTATTAAGAGATCTAAGACTATTTTTTATTTCTAATAATTTAGGACAATGATGCTGCCTTTTGAATTATCCTCAGTTCTGCTTTCATTGTAAATATCTTTATATCTGAGACTTTGAGCAGGTGTGAATATTATTTAACTTTTAATTGCTATATACAAAGAATGCATATAAGTAGATGTGTCAATGTTCTTTCAAAAAGAAAACAAACCCTCAATGGAAACTTTCAAACAGCCTAACAGGGAAAAATTACACAATGATTTGTCATAAGGAAAAAGTCCAAGAAAACAGAATTGTGCAGCATTGCTCTTACAACAATAACAGAAGTGTATCTTCCCAACCCGAAATTTCCTCAACTAACACTCTTTAACACACTTTTCCTCAGCCCAAAAAATCAAGAGAAAGGAGTTAGTACAAACCTTAAGTCTTTCCCAAACCACTATATTCGCCGCTCACAAACCGTGAAGTGACAGGTACCACAGGGTGGGGTTTTTCCCCAATCCTACAAATATATCTCCACCCATAAATGTCGACGAAAGCACGTATTTCAGACGAAGTCTGAGGAACAAAAAACCAAAATCTCACCGTTTCTCTCCCCGAACTACGAAAGCGGTTTCCCAAATGGCAGACAGCCGCAGCGGGACGCGGACCCCTCACTCCGCCGGGGAGCACAACCCGCACGGCTCCGAACGCCTCGCCCTCCCCTCCCGCTTCACCCACAGCCGGCACCATCTCCCGCCCCTTCCCGCCGCCGCCTCCACCATATTTGATTAGGGAAAAATTTGGCGCTCAACCCCCTCAACTGTCCTCCGGTCTGAGGCGAGGAAGAGAGCCTACATCTCCTTGCCCTTGAAAGGAAGCAGAGTCGGACAGACGCTTCGCCTAGCTAAAGATAAAACGAATACCTCAGCGCAAAAGACAAAGCAAACACCGCCCTGGGCAGCCCCGTCGCCCTTGGTGGCGGAGCGCCCTTCCCCCGGCGGCACTGAGGCGATGCCCGCCGGCGCCGCCACAGGAACGACAAAACCAAGATGGCGGCCGCGCTCCGTCGGAGTGAGACTACATCTCCCAGCACGTCCTGCGGCACCAGTGAGAGGCTGTGGCGCCCAGACTCACGGCGGCGCGGAGCCGGACTACAACTCCCGGGGGGCGCCGCGCCGGGGCGGGGTGCTCGTCTGTGGTGGTACTGAGCGCCCGCCTCACCTAAGATGGCGGCGGCGGGAGCGCGCTGAGCGGGTGCCCGGCAGGCGGACGCGCGCTCGCCCCTCCTCCCCTCGCTGTCCCGGTGTTGTGGCTCTGGCCGCGGGCGGGGTCTGAGGGGCCGCGGCGGGGGGATCCCGGGGCTGTGAGCCTGGTTGCCGGCCGGTTGCTGGCAGGGGCGAGCGGCGCTCGGTGACGGCATCCGCTCGAGTAGAGCCCGTCGCTCCGGTCCCTTCGGCAGAAGAAGGCTGCTGTGGGCGGGGGCCGCTCCGGCTCTTTCCCAGCTCGGCGGTGGCTGCGGCTCCGGTCTCCATGTCGGACAACCAGAGCTGGAATTCCTCCGGCTCCGAGGAGGACCCCGAGACCGAGCTCGGACTGCCTGTTGAGCTCTGCGGGGTGCTCAGCAAGGTAAGCCGCCTCTACCCCATTCCTGCGCCCTGCCGCCACCCATCTTCCTCGCTGTCAGGCCCGGCCGCCCCGGGGGCTCGGGCCGAGGGGCCCGGTGGCGGGGGCGAGGCGGGCGGCTCCGCGGGCGGCGCTGGCACGGCCGGGGCACCCCCGGGCCAGCCGGCCGCACTGCGCGGGGCTCCGGCCGCCGCGCAGGGAGGGCGTCTCCCCCGCGCCTCGGGCTCCGGCCGGAGCGGCGCCGGGCCTGGGTGTCGCGGCTACCCGGGAGCTCCCGGAGGCGCCCACAAGCAGTCGTGTGTCCTCGGGAGCAGGCTTTGAGTGCAAGTATCCAAACAGGGCATTGAAATACTCCTGCGGCAAGAGATAGCGGGAGGAGAGGAAAAGGAAAATGGCTATACGGCTTATTTCCCCTTTTAAAAATAACCATCGTTATTTTCGCTTTTATCACTCGGAAGGTGGCTTCCCAGCATGTGTCGGTTTATACTGGAAAATTTTATTTTCAGCAGTACTTTAGAGTATTGAATTACTTAGTTTTCATACGGATATTTTATTTTTTTATTACAGAAAGTATGTTCAGAACAACATTGAGATATCTGTAAGATTAAAGTACTATGTTTTGTATTTTTTTCTTGTCCTACTCAATAAAGCTAGGCACAAGCCAACGTAGGAGGCACGGGATACGGATATCTTACACTGCCTTGAATGCGTAGAAAACAGCCATAACTGAGTTCACGCTGTTGTGAGGGACTTTGTGAACTCCTTCCAGGCTGGAAATGTTTCTAACCCCAGAGATAAGAGGAATGATTAGAAGAGAAGGATCTCTGCTCTCGTTTGTAAGATCTTATCTAGTAGTGGGTGGGGGAAGGAGGGGATGAGATGGATGTGAGATAGTGTTAGAGCAGTTACAATAAGAGATTTTTGTTTGGTGTGCTTTTGCTGTTTTGTTTGTGTTTTTTTCACAGCAAAGTTTTCCTTGGGTAAGATGCTTCCGTCGTTAGAAGGGAAGTAATTTGTAGGATGTAATTAATTTTTATGTTAGCAAATGAAATACAAAGTCCAGGTGTTCTTTCTCAGTGGTGTAGCAGGTGAAGGCATAGCTTCAGACATTCTAGCTGAGGTATGTGCAAACTTTTTACTTCTGTGGATGATTATGCAGAGTGCAGCAGAGAGTGTCATTCCCATGAGAACCCAGAATTTAATCTGAATAGTCAAGTATGGTGAAACCTGTCTCAATGAATATGTTTGGGGGGTAAGGTTACCTTTTGTTAGTTGATACCTCAGTAATTATTAAAGTAAACTAATTAAATGGAATGGTAGCATACTGAACCTTATAATAAGGAAGTAGCTATTTTTAATATCTTACTGTGAATAATTAAGTTCTAAAATCATAGAAGTAGGCTGCCGTTCACTGTGTGAGTAGTAGTTTTAGTAGTTCTTGCCGTCAGTAAAGAGAAAAGTTGCAAAGGTAATGGAGGAATTTGGTAAGAGAAACTTGTTAGAAGTATACCCTGCTGCTCTTTTGAAATGTTTTGAAACTCTAGGCTTTTTTCCATTGTATTTCCTGCTAATGCTTTTAAGGTGGATACAAGGAAAGAACTTCAGTGGAAGAAGCTTTCAGGAAGCATGAGAATCTAGATGCTTGGAAAAACACTGATCTTTTCTCTGCCAAAACCTCATGCCTACCCAAGTATACTTTAAGGATGGCACATTTGGATTGCAACAAGCTTTGATTGCGACAGCAGATGCAAGATTCATTGCTATATATGTTTCTGTTAACTTTTTCAGAGAAGGAAAGGCCGTTGTCTTTGCTTTTTTTTCCCCCAAAATAACTTTGGACTCTGCCTTGCACATCCTGGGAGGAGTTGGGAACATGAGAGATATGAAAAGAGGAAGGCAGGAAATAATACACCTCTGAATGCTTATGCTACCACTTCGTGCACTAAACACACTTGAGGCTTTATTTAAGTAATGCTGTATTTAACAATTAGCTGTATTAAGAGATGAAAAAGGGCTTTTTATTCTAAGAGCAAATCAAGGTCTTGCCTACATTTGAAAATTGTTAAGAATTTCTTAGCTATAATCTTTTTCTTTAGACCTCATTGTCTTATTACTAAAGTTAACATGTAATTATGGAGTATGTGTTAACTAATGTATGTAGTATGAAGTGGGAACGAGACTGAGAGTTGACTTTTCCCCCTCATTTTTTTGATTACAAAATAATGAATGATGGATAGACTTAAACGTTAACCAGAGTTTTTAATCAAAAAACATTTGTCAAAATCAAAGAAATGCTTGCATGCTAAGATTGGTTTCAATGCTTTTGTCTCTATTTTTATCAAGTGTATGACATTGGCACCATGCATTGTCAGAATTATGGGACAGTCCTGATTTTCTGTCAGAGCCAGATGATTCTATGAAGTTCATATGAGTCTACAAAGTGCAGTCAGAAAAAATGTTGCAATTGTGAGAATAATAATCAGAACTTTTGGTCACTTCTTACTAGATGTCTTTAGAATGAATCCAGAATTTGTTCCCTGAATATTGGTTTTATTCAGTATGTGAGTGTGGAGTCCCTAGAAAAATCTGAATAGCAAAAACCTGATTGGCTGTCTGCTGATAAAGCAGTATGTATGGGCAACATTAAATTAATAAAACACTGAGTCCCCTAGGCACTACAATAGTTATTTACTGTGCTGTGGGATAATGGCATGTTTGTATTTATATGAAGATAACTTTATATAGTATTTTATATAAAATAAATTATGCGGTGTTCCACTTAAATCTTTTGGCCTAGCTCCAGCTTTTAAATCAGGTGCCTAAACTCGCCTCAGTCATTAATGTTTGATTTTTTTTTCCCCCTCCCCTTTTTTCCTCAATTTGTGTCAGTACATTTATTGCCTTTATTGTGACTGGCCTTGGCAGTGCAGTTGGAGTCCAGGTATCTGTTGTCTTATTGACCCTTCAAAACAACTGCTTTTTGGTTGCTTTGGGAGTTTGTAAAATTATTCTAGGATCTCTGAGGAGAAAAAAATTCTAATTTAGAAAGAACTTGTAAAAATAAGTTACCTTTTTCTTCAGGCACTCAAAAGCCTAGAAAATATGCATCATTCTTTTATTGTTGTCTTTCTGTTGGCTGATCTCTGGAAAATTTTTTTACAGTGGACCAACTACATTCATGGGTGGCAGGATCGATGGGTAGTTCTGAAAAGCAACACACTCAGTTATTACAAGTCTGAAGACGAAACAGAGTATGGCTGCAGAGGCTCTATCTGTCTGAGCAAGGCTGAGATTACAGTAAGTACAATTTTATTATTGACATGATTCATGTTTTGAAGTGCTATATATTTGTGTCTGGTGAAAGCAAACATGGGTATGGCAAATTCTTAAAGGTCATCTGCTTATGACATTGGTGTCGGTGGAACACTGTGGAGCAGGGCAAGGAGTTCCTAACGCTGAAACAAACTCTTTTAATTTGTGGCTTCGGCAAGCAACTTTTCTTACATTAGAGGGTTTTGTGGGTGGATTGTCTGCCTCTGAAGGGTGCAAAAATTTCTCCATGGGTCAATTGAAGACCCCAGACCAACTTCCCATAGGAGGTACCATCCTTCACAGTCTTTGCTTTAGAAAGAGGGTAGTGGTTCTTTGTCTGTGGTTGTTGACTTTCTGAACACAGCTCTGTCGGTTTCCAGCATAAAATATTTTGTGCTTCTTTCTCTGAACAAGTTAGTGTGTTGCTGTTTTTGTCAAATGCTAAAAGAAGGTTTGGAATAGACTGGTAAGAATAA